GGCTTTTAATTTGTCCCAAACGCTTAGAAAAAAACAGCACATCTAGACTTTGCTCATAAGATAATGTATTGATTGTTAAGTGCATTGGGTTCCTGGCTTATATTAAGAAAACTTTAGATAAATGAATCTTGGGAAATGTTTTTTAAAATCCGTTTTAGTATCCTGAATGTGATCCAAGTTTTTGAGATATAAGAATTAGCCAAGTGTAAATTTAAATAAGCTAGCAGGGAGTTAAAAGAAAAAACAAGTTGACAAGGGAGTAATGGATGGTAATTTTAGGCAGCAAAGCAACCTTATTCTTAGGCAAAACCACAGTGCTTTTCTAAACAAGAATATAAGGTTGTATTTTGTAATCATTTATCATTAGTTTTAGAGTAGACTATACATATAAATGCTGAAATATAGGTAAATGTATAGATAAACTATGATGATGTGCAAAAGTTTAAGGTTTTAAAGAGTACTTTGATAAATACATTATTTTTTGTTATGAATATATGAGTAAAAATGATTCATTTTGAGTGTGAACCCTTTTGAGATAACAAATATTTATAATAAAAATGACAAATGATTAGCTTTGAACTATTATGTTTTATGTATGGACTTCGTCTCTGAATGTTAAAATGTCTCTAGATACCGCAAAAGACAAAAGATGCACCATTTTGTATAGACCCAGTATTCCGTGGTTACTTCTACAAAAACTAATATTGTAAACTACTATTGACCCTGGGCATTTCTGTACTACACTGCTTTCTCGTCATAGGAAAGATTTATCCTTGTGACATTACCATCTCAGTGCAGTGTACAGTAATCCAGCCAGTCAGCTCTGATTAAAGGCCTTCATTTGAGATGCGTCCATGTAAAGCAGGAGCCTCAAATATCACACTGACCTTGGGCTGTGCTGATCCATCTCTGCCTGTCACTCTGGGTTCACATAGGATTCCTCAATACAACATTTACCTGTATACTTAAAATGTATAGTCAAAAGAATTGCTTGTATTAATAATAATCACATACACACATATAGTATTAGTAGCGTTAAGTTATGTGCCTAATATACTGACATAAGATGGGAGAGCTATACTGAAAAATTATATGCGATGTGTCAGTAATAATATGTTTTTTAAAATGCAACAAGAAACTGGTTAAAAATAAAAATACAATAATATTTCAGGACATTCTTGCACAGAGTCGGTCTAATATTTCTGCGCTTTTGTGGTTCATTTCACAGTGATTCTTGAACCTCAACCAACACATTTACTGACTTGTTGTGGCACATTTCTGCTGGATTGCCAAAACTGTGTCAAAAATCGTACTACTTGGAGATTTGAGTAATTGGGAGATTTATTTTCCACCAATATTGCCCATCCCAAATAGTAATACAAGCTCTAATTTCTACTGCAGAAAAGTAACATGTGACCCAATAACTTATCATTACTCTTAGATCTTCTTCTTTTGTCTTACTATATATTGTTACTGATGACTAGAGATAGATCTGTGGGCCAATATTTGCACTTTTTAACGATCTGCTATTGGCGTTAAACCCCCAGCACAGGCCGATATTTTGTTTTGGCCAACCTGCTTTCTAAAATGTACACACAAAACTTTATTTCAACATTAATGCAAATAGATAACTGCTCAAAATGTGTCTGCAAAGCCCTTTTGTTGGTTTGTAATTTAAAAAAAGGGACTTTACGTGAGTTTGTTGTAAATTAAAATAACAATTTGGTGAAAATAATCAAAATCTGCCCTTCATATCGGCCCCAGCATCTTTTGAGCTTGTGTATATAGCTCATCTATTACTCACAATCCATAGCATATTTCTTAACTTTGTCTTAAAGTTTTTAGTAAAATGTAGAATGTTTAACCCAGAATACAATTTTTAGTTTTACCACCTGTACCTACCATATCTTCATATTTATAAGATGTTACAAAAATAAACCTACACACCTTATTCTGGTTTCACAGTAGACACTAAGTCCATAAAACATTACACCATCCACTTTACTATAACATTGCACATCCTGTCACTCCACAAGCCCACAGTTCTTTAGTCAAATGCAGTAAAGCACTTTTCGCTCTTCTCCGGCTCCACGCTGTTGTTGGGTGACATTGTTGGCATACTTGTTGTTTTTCTTTGGCCTTGGGGACTCTGGCAGAGAGGGGAGCCCGGGATGAGTGAGCCGCCTGGTGTAGTACCTGTATGATTTACTGCCCCGTTTGAAGTCGGACAAGCGGAATTCACTCCACTTTGCTCTTTGTGATCACTCCTTCCAGATTATAGCCCTGTCCCAGCCCCTCACGATCAAGCACAGGATAGAGGAAGTTTGCTGTCTCTTCTAGCCCCTGGATATTGTCTGGATTTATCTTTACAAATGTTGAGCTGTTTAGAGCTAAAGTGTGTGTAGTGACAAACACGGTTGCTAACGATCAGCTAATTTCTCAATGGTGGATTTGAATTCTGTGAGAATAGCCCGAAGCGTTGCTGTTTTTGTGGTTCCAGACATGGCTCCTCTAACCTGGCGTCAGTGCAGTCTTTGTCAAACCAGTTCGGCACGTGAAAAACAAGCCAATAATTGTAATGTTGTCAGTTTTTTTTTTTCTTTCAACACATAGCGGCCCTGCTCGTCCCAAGATTGCGTTTTCCAAAGTGGGTTTTTATTCACTGATGGGCTGTTAGGCTGTAAGTGCATGCATTGGAAAAGCTGGTGTGTTTGTGTAGAGGATGCTAAATATTTATGTTTTTACTTCAGTTCCAATCAGAAGCAGCATTCGGGCTCCAGGACAAAGCCGTATTGGCACGGTTTGGCTGATTAGAGTCAATCAACACTGGGGTGAAAGCAAACAATTTCTTTTAAAACAACCACAGAGGTCTGGTATCACCTAATAGCATGGCCAAATTTTCATAGACCAAATAGTGGCTTGATTGTGAGGGCTGATTTGGTGTTGTTAAGAAGAGAAAAGACCCGGGCTATAATCAGGTCGAACAGGACAAATGCATCAGAGGAACTGATTGGTGGAAGATTTTGTAAAGGACCTGATGCCTCCAAAAAACAATTTGACATTTTGTTTTGTACAGCAATCATATCTGTGAATCACACTTGTTTTCCAAAGTGTGGAAGGAAGTGATTCATTGAAATGTGATTATGAAAAGAGAAAAAGTTGATTCTGCCTCTTTTTTTAATTTTTAATCTTGCCACAATCCAATACACTGTTTTGTGTTTGTCACAGGCTCGATGAATCAAATGTGTTCTACAACAAAGGGAATAGTAGCACTTTTGCACTGCAAGAAGAAAGTTTTTTGTTGAATTTCCTTATTTATTTTGGCAATACATTAAAAAATAAATAAAATTATCAGGTGCTATGATATCCTTACCACTAAAATTGAGGCGATCCCATAGGATTCTATAAATGGGATTGTGAATCTCAGGTTGAATTATACAAATAAAAATAAAACTATTTCTTTTTGTTAAAGAGCCCAAATCATGCTATTGTCTAATCTGTTATAATGTTGTTTTCTCATCAAAAACATACCTGGAGTTGCATTTTGTTTTATTTCCACGTTTGACACACAAATCCTGAATATGTAGGTTCTTCTCTCAAACAGAAAACACTCTGTTCCACCTTGTGATGTCACGTGGTAATACAGGAAGTGTTCCACAGCCCTGGAGTTGCTAATATCTACTGAACTGAAGGTAAAAGGTAGCTGTTAACTTGAAGCAAATTACAACTCCACGTAGATTTTTAATGAGGTAACAACATTATAATGGGGCCTAAAGTGCACAAGAATGCATTTTGTGTAATATAGGACCTTTAATCAAACACAAACTGGTGAATCAAGACAGATTATTATTTATAAACAAAAATTCAGACCAACATCTATACTTTTTTTCACATATTTTCACTGAGACTTAATTAAATGTTCCTCCCACTGAAATGTATTTTAATGCCCGTGTCAATAAAACCATAAAACTAATAATATGCCCCTTATTGTTAGTTATGGGGTGATTTCAAAAGGCGGGCCCCCTTTGATTTGACAATAGCTGGTTGCTGTGACATAAACATGACTTCAGTGACTTTGATTAGCATGCTTCAGATAAGAGACTTTCAAGTGTCCTTACACAACTGAATTAGTGCAGTTGGCGGCTTTAGCATTTCAATGGACGCCTTAACTCTCAAAGATGTCATTGTTTTTATTTAAGGCCAGGCCCTTTACTGCTGCTATCAGTTAAGGGTTTCCCATTGAAGAGGAAATCAGAAGAACCTGTAAATGGGGTTAAGAGGTTTGAGGGAGTCAAAAGTTGAAGAGGAGCTGGTTTTGTCTTGCACTACTGTAAAGCTGACTCAGTGACCTCTATTACCTCCAGTGAAAACACTAGTGACAGCATTCACATTGGGCCTAATACATGCTCATTTATACTTCTATTGTAATGGTTATACCTTTGTTAAAGAGTTGGTGTAATAATGTTGGTGTATGGCTGGTGGGAAGTACATAATGATGAAATACTGTAGAAGTACACATGCACAGACTGTACATTCAAGCAGGTGTAATTTAGACAGATATACCAACTCATATCTAAGAAAATGAAACAAATTTCTCTTTTAAAAGGCACAATGTTGTAACTGCAGAACATCAGAAGTCGATGTTTGAAGTTTTAACCAAATGGTGAAACTGAATTTTTCTAAACAGAGATTTTACATTGTAGGTAATGGTTTTATTTTATCTAGCAAAAAGATTCAAGCCAAATTTGCTTAAAATCCTTTTGCAAATCACCCAGGAAGGCAGGTAATTTGTAACAATAAGCCTAAAAAAATTAAGCTAACATACTGGTAATCGAACGAATAAACAAAAGATAATAAATATATTTTTGTCATTGTTGGGTCTCTGTAAGATAAGAAAAAAGCACCCAATTAAAATCTGTTGATAAGTAGACCTAGCTTTCCTATAGATAACTGGCAACAAAATATAAATAACTTGTACGTATGTTGTTTTTATTTTGCAGATCTCGATCTAAAGGCATTCTATAGGGCACTGACACTATGGCAGACCCCACGCAGACTCCAGGAGGCAGCGGTGAGTCCCAAATTGAATTACATGCACATTTCTCAGCCACAAAGGGGAGCCATCACTAATTAAAAGCACGTGATTGATGACACTGACGCTTCATGCCAGCGCAGAATGAATCAATCTCCCAGTCACTTTACTGCATTGCTTCCTGCCTCCACAGCACCGCGTACTGTAAGCCCAACACTTAGTCAGCTCTCCTCTTAATGCAATGGACGCTTAATGTTTTGTTGCTTTTTAGTCACATAATACAAGAAACAAAGGCGGCATTAACACTAGCCTGTCTACTTAAATGAATGCTGCCCTTCTGTAAACATACACCACTTGCTCTTAATAGTGTTAAGTTGAGTGACACTTGACCTGTTAAAAGGGAACGTGTCAGTCTCTCCATACTCACGGTGTAATCGGCCTCTAATGGTTTTCTATGCTTTCCTGTGCTCAAGTGACATCTCTAATACTTTAATAATGTTAAAGTCTTATCCAGACAGTGGATACATGGATCAAAATCACTGAAGGTATATTATGGTATACTTAAGGCTAATTTATATCAGCAAAAAAGTTCATTCTGTGTGTTCTCTTTGTGCTGTTGTCATTTCTGTTCAGTATCTGCCCAGATTACAAATTTGAATTTGCCAGTATAAAAGTGCAGGGTAATTTTGAACCAAGATAACTGTGTCCAAGGTCCACAGATTCTGTCAAATATTTTCCTCTAATTCAGATATACAGAAAGAAAATTAATGTACAATCTGGATAAAATATTTATACACTGCATTCATGTTTTTGTATAGTCATAGTATCTTAGACCTTCAGTATTTTGTCTGAAATGTTCACTATTTGTTTTAGATTTTATCTAAAGAGAAATCACAACAGAACTGCAAAGAAGAAGCAGTGAAGAATCAAATTGTTAATGGTTTCTAATAGGTCCTTTAGTTCATTACTCAGTCAAAAACATCTTAGTCGACTATTTTAATTTGATTATAAGGATTGATACAGTTTGTAGCTGAAAGGAGCTGAAGATTTGGGAATAAATTGTGTCTTTATTCTGTTTAGTACTTCTCTTGTCTGATCAGTGCACATATAGAGATAGTTTTACTAACAGAATCTGGGGGCATATGCTTGTGTATACTTGAGTACTGGACCATTTTGAATTGCAGTTTGAATAACACTTTGAACGCATTACTTTTTATATTCTCAGTGGTTTTGCTGTATACTTTGACAGTAGCCTGCTCTTGAAACTACCCTCAGGATGTCACAGGTGCATTTTATCCTTTTACTTTTTCACAACAGGCCGTATTTCTTCTCACTGCCGGTCGAATTTTTACACTAATTTCATCTTTAGCTGTGTGAGGAGCGTTGTGAGCCTGCGTACATGTTGAATCCTGTCAGTGGGCTAGTTCTGTTCAAAGGACCAATTAGTGGGTCCTACCTTAGCCTGCAGCTAAAAGGTCTAATGGGGGGCATCTACCTGAGAGGACTCCCCCTCCCCACCAACTTCTCTTCCCCCAAACAAGCTTTAATTTGAGGGAAGGGGTGGGTGGCTGCTGCGGGAGCTTTTTACCATCACACAGGACCCAATTGTGGCTGCTGACCGTTTGATCTTAAAATAATTTACTTAATGATCTCACCACGGGAGCAATTGGTGCTGCTCGATTAGTCTGCAAGGTCTAATGGACGAGAGAGAGAGAGAGGGAGGGAGGAGGGAGCGGCTGAGGCCAGGATGGGAGGGGGCATCCATGTAAGAACTAAATGCTTATAACCTTGGAGTGTTGTACATTTCTTAACACAAAAAATCATTTCTGACGGCGCTGCAGAATTTGAAATGCAAGGCGAAGCGGTTTTAAAAAGAGTAAATGACGGGAAAACAAAAGCGCAGTGCTGTGTTTAACGTGGCAAAATTATAAAACATTAATTACTTTATTATTTTCATTCATCTGTAAAGCAATGGGAAGTGATTTGAAATTGTTCAATTAAACATTTACATATGACTAGTTAATATAATTTTCCCCACTTTAATCCATTGCCTGTAGTATACAATAAACTGCTTTGTTAAGACAACCAGCATTTAATATTCCATATATTTCATTGCTTTATTTATGTTTTGATGTTCATATTATTTTTATGAATGAATAAAGAGATTATTTTTATTCTGCAGTGTTTTAAGATATTTTTTGTAATTGTTGAGTGAGTCAAAATGTGCATTTTGTGTTGTAATATAGTGAGTTCAGGGTTGTAGTCACGAATAAAAATGATGAGGTTTAACATTTGTGAATTTCTCTTTTGGATATTTCATGGCAAATTACAATGGGGAAAACTGGGCCCCATCTGAGAGTATGACGTCATCACAGTCTAGACTCTGAAAACTCCCAATAAAAAGACCATTTACACTTGAATCTGAGAATATTTATTTTTGAAACAATACAAAAGCTTTCATGGGTAAAGAGCAGGCAAAATGGAAACATTGTGGATCGGCAGTATAAAAAAGCTGGAGTTGAAAAGGTCACACCACTTTGAGCCTGCAGTTCTTAAACAACTAAAGGCCTCTATGACCTCTAATTGAAGTAAAGGGGGATGGGCATAATACTGCAGTATAAAAGCAAAGAAGATGTAGTAGACCAGATAGTCGTTGTCAGGTATGTTCGCTAAAACCCTCTGGCTGTGTAAGAAAAGCGGAAAGCAATGGAGCGATTACTACACTGTCATTAAATAAAATAGGAAGACTGCTGTTGACTTGTCTTAACAAATCATATCTCAAATGCCTGAAATATTACTGAATGGAATTTTTGGGAAAAGGGCGTAACCGTAATCATGACATTTAATCATAAACTCCATCTGTTTCTCTCATGTAACCTTTATCTTACAACACTGCTATAAAAAAATTGTCAATATTGGCTGGCTTTCAATTGTATTTCCCAACATATGTCTAAAACACATAGAAATGGAAGTGTAGCATATCGAGACTACTGCAGAGTAAATTGTCATATAATTAATTCACACGATCATTAGTCTGACAGCAAAGACAGCAGGAGGTAGACCCACTTCCCCAGCCTTAAGAAATAGCACTTTTAAATGTACCCTGGGTTGTAATTCACTTAAATGATAAAAAGATGATTTGCCGAAGCTATAATTAAAATATAAACGCCTACTGCGGCAATGAAAGGGGGAATACTTCAGTCCTGATAATTCTGTTTGCAGTGCACTTGATTGTATGTTAAAGGACTTTTACAATGACACATAAGCCAAGGTCAACCTCTTCAGTTTAAAGAGGGGCTCAAGCAAACAGTCAACAATTTAGTCAAACAAGAGTGCCTATAAGTGAGTTTCCTACACAAATATTGGTCATGGTTTTGAATAGGATACTATCAGTTGTACAAAAGAAACAATTATATATTCATTTACAAAGCTCTCACTAGACTGACCTGCCAAGGCACTATAGTTTCATTTCACAGTTTATAAACTTAAACCCTTACATTTTGTTATGACCATTTTGCCCATTGAGCCTTAAAACTACTTATTTTTCTTGTGTAGACGCCTCTTTTGTAGACCTCAAAATGATCAGAGATTTAAAATATGAGAGGGGTCCACAATAATACGAAAAAATGCACTGAAATATGTTCTTGTTTCTAAAGGAAATGTGTGTTTTTGTCTTCCAGGTACAGCCATCACAGATCTGTCCAGAGATTCCATACTGCTGGAGATGTGCGCTGCTATGATGTGTAGGCCTCAGATGAATTTTAAACCAGTATTGACCCACCCACCCCCTCCCACTGAATGGCGGTAATCCTTGCTCTGTACCCTGCCACTGACCACAAGCTCTGCATATTAAAACAGCTCTGCTCAGAGGCCTAACACCTGTGTGATCCTCTCACCAATGAGCCATGCACCAGCAGAACATAAATCAAACTGTAAGTGGGATATCTCATGGCTCGTGCTAGGATTCAGAAATCAAAAGGGCAACACTGGCGGCAAATGGTACACAAGATCCTCAGTCAGTGCTGTGTTGTAAAATGCACAGGCTCACTCAACTCTTACGCATGGTACAGACCGCTAGCATTTAAACAAACATATATAACATCAAAGTGGTGTATTATTTAGTGATACTGCAGTCATATTACCTTTATACTAAAACCTGCACCTTTTATTACTGATGGGCTATTTTTTTTTATTTTGTCTATAAGCCTATAAATGTATTCACTTAAAGTGTTGTACTTTGAACAAAGAAAGCACTACATAAACTTTATGATGATAACAGCCTTTCTATTCTCAGGTATTGTGTCTAAAAAGACTAAAACTAAACAACTTATTGGCCTACCAAAATCATACCAATGAATCAAAAAAAATATAATCAAAGCAAGTTATTAGCTTACTGCTTGGCGACATATTGTTGCTCGTTTCCCTCATGGCTACAGGCCTACTGGAGTAAGAGCCTATGGAAATACTATCTCAGAAGGATTGGAGTGAAGCTTTTGAGTTACTCTCCACCAGAAAGGTGGTAGTATAAGGTATAGTAGACTTATACTATAATGTTGAATATGTATTTTCATAAACAAAATAGTTACTTATTGTAACATATCTTTGCAGTGTGAGTGAAAACATTAATTAGCTGAATTAGCATTTATGGAGTGAATGATTACTGGAGTACACTTTATGAGGAATAAAGGGCTGGCTCAGGTTAAGGCTGATTGACAGAACTATTGTCTGGGCGGCTTCTCTCCATTTTGAACAGCTCATGTGACCCCCGGCATTATGGCCATGGGGGCAGTGCCAGTCTCTCAGGATGCTGCTGATTAAGTGGGATAAACCAGCCCCTCACGCACAAGTGGCCTGGCTCTCCTCTGGGACGTCCCATTTGAAGACCTGGGCCTGCCCACTCCACAGCATCACCTACCTGTTACCAAAATATTTGCTTTTTAAACTGCATATTTTAATGCGTCTTGGCCTCAGAAATTTCACATTAAATTTAGCTGCCTCTTAACCTGTGTGCTTATGGCTTATTCATGGCATATGCTCTAATACCTACGTGTGAGAACTAACTAAACAATGGGGATTGTACAACTATTGTAAGGTAATGGGCGCCCTTAAATCTTTTGTTTTCGGCGGAGGCGCACTTAGAGCAGGCCTTTCAAGATAAGCGGCCGGCTGTTGTAGCGCGCCTTTCCCCGCTCCCCCAGGAAAACATATCCATCACAGATGCCCCCGGGCGTGGGCTAACAAATTTGTTCATTCCGGGTCTTACATAACACCCCGGGAGCCTGAGCCCTGAGCGCTCGTTATGTGCGCGGATTTGGTGTGATCCGCTGGAGACATCAAGCGCAGGTAGAAGGCGCTCTGTTGTTTTTCCCATGACAAGCGTTTCATCAAAGAGCCATACTGCGTTTTCCCTACGTCCCGTCTATTATGGTTATTATTACTTTTCACCTACATCAAACTAGTTTATTTTGGAGACAAGTGGCGCAATGACGTGTGACGGATTGACTGACAAGTTATTATTATTCAGTCAAGCCAATCACTTATTTCAGGGAACGGGGGGTCAACAGACGTCAGGCTCACGCAGAGAAAAACAAATTACAAATTTGTTGTTGGCGCTTTTGTCAGCCACCTACCTGAAATGTGTTTGGTTGTTCCTACGAACCGAAATCAGGCTATTAATGAGTACGTATTCCTTAGGCTATTTAATATGAACACAGGAGAAAAATGAAAGCGCGTGTTTCTAAAATCGCCTTGGCTCTTTCTGTGTAAAATAAGTTTACAGACTACAAATCTCACCTCTGCCCAGTGTTTATTCTCTATGCTAAACAGCGATGTGAAAAGAGACAAGCCAGTGCCCTCTGCAGGAGGCTGCGCGCATAAACGCACCAACTTCACAAGACGTGCCACGCCATAAGATTTTTACTGACTTAGAGTTATAAGTAATAGACCTAATCATAACAATATAATGTTTGCACGATTATGTAAACTGAAAAGGGGAATACATTTCTACTCAAGTTTCTGCCTTTACAAAAATATAGCATTAGCCCCTGGCATGTGTTTTGGTTTAGCTGCAGATGTCATCACATACAGTAGGCTAATGAATTAATTATATAAGAAGAAACAATTCTAAACAAACAGATATTTTTAGAAACATAGCTTGGCTTTGATTTTTTTCCTAATTTACTGTAGTCAAGTGTTTTAAAAAATTTGGGCATTAACTTTTACACACTCCCAATTTTTCTGTGATACAACATCACTAAATCACATTAACAGCATGAATTAACTTGTCGATCTAATCTGTGTTAGTTTTTTTTTCTTACACATAATGAATCTGTCTCTAAACTCTAGGTCACTTTAAACAAAAATACAAAACAAGACCAGCTTCACAAAAAACAACTGCTCTTCTACTTTGTGACTCACATTAAAATGGTCGACTATTTGACCAAAGATGAGAAACCTCCAACATTAGTTTGCATGTATCAGCCTGTTGCATTGACCCGGTGCAGATGATGGAGTGCTGCTCAGAGAGTCAGCTCTGGGATCAATATGGCACCATCAACAAAAGCCTGCTGTCAGTGTCCACCATTGATGATCTGTTTCATATTACAAATGTACAATTCCTGAAGGCCGCTGCAACAATGTGAACCGCATGGAAAGAGGAGACAATAATATAAATAAATGATTTAGAAGAACAATAGCTAAGCAGTGTGGGGACTGACAGATTCTGTGTTCATGTATAATTTTCTACATTATGTGTTTTATAATGTAGGGGATATGACTTGTGCCTGTAATGTTTTATATTGATTTTATAATGTGTTGAGAGATACAGGATACTAACACAAAAATAAATTTATTCTCTATCACTGTGGAATATCCAGTAGGTACAGATCTGACTCCTATATTCTTACCATTGCTGATAAATGCTTAAAGGTTTGCAACTTTTACTTTTTTTGTCTTTCCTTATACACACTTTTGAAATGTGTAAAATTCAAAATAAAAGAAACGTTTTGTCTCTTCATCATGTAAGCCTCATATTTGAGACGCGCCATGTCTAGTGTGCTGCAGACTAAATGTCTCATGTATCTGCACCGTGTTAACATCTGCACTGATTTCAGAGTAAAATGAGCATGTAGATTACATCAGGAGCCATCTTCATCTTAACTGCTTGAATGCATTGCTCCCAACTTGTTATTAGCACCATAGCAACAGGCCTACAATCTGTGCCTCGTAGGTGGTCTTGTCATTGTTAGTAATGAGGTCCAAAACGGTACTGCCACCTGCAAACATGAGCATCTCACGAATTTCCATATGACTGCATTTCATATGAATTACATAGACACCCATGTTTTTATTGAACGTATTTAAGCATTTCTGAGTTGCCTCTGAAATGTCCAATCTTTAAATTATTTACAACTAGTCTCCAAAAGTATTTTAACACCTGATTAAATTTAGTGAAGTAAAATGAATTGGGGATGACATTTGCAAGAGTCAGACCAGTGCTGTGCTGCCAAGACAACAGTGCAGCAGTCGCCCACTCTAAAACATCTATCACATTTACAACATGGTTTCAGTGTACACAAACCCTTTTTGCCCAGGCCTCTTTAAAGGGGCACTAGAGGGGGCTCTTATTTAAACATGTGTAAAGCAGGAATGTGCAACTGTAAAGCCTGCCCAATGCTCACTGAACCATCTCACCTGTTATAGTCTGACTGTAAAATATTAAATGGGCCTGTAATATCTAAGCTGATATCTAGAAAAGGCACACATTTACTCAGTATAAACACATCTTGGAATAAATCGCTACAATTTCACTCATATCCATTTCCATTATCCTTATCTAGCCACTAGGGGGCATAGTGTATTTATTGTGTCAGTCCCCAGCCTATCAGAAAAAAGTGTGTATGTCTTTGGTGCGTAAAACCAAATTGCGCAAAAGTATGCAAAACTAGTACTACAGTCCTTTGTAGAATTCATCATCGTATTAATATATTTGTGTGAGGTTATTTGCAACATAAACACGTACGAAACTCAGCACATGCAAATCTCAAAATGTGATTACGTTTGAGCTAACCCTGTGTTCAGTGTTTATCGCAGGTCCCTTTAGCCGAAACCAGGTCCTCTATTTATTTTACACACAGCGGCAGTGATTGAATGCAGGAGCTGTCGCTTAGCAACAGAACGCTGACCCGCCCACACAGAGTGCCCAGTTTTCAGTCAAACTCTGTAAAACTAATTTCGACCCGGATTCATTAATGTTTTTAAAGTCGTTATCAAATTTCCGCGTTATTGCTAAAATGGTAAAATAGCAATATGACGAGGAAAGTGTGCCATGTTTTCTTGAGGACGTGAGAGTGAAGCTTGTGGAGGGAATCGTGTGCAGTCTGCTACGACTGCAGCGCCAGACGTGGGAAAAGTCTGCAACCAGCCAAGAGTTTCAGAGTCTGCTGCAACAGTTTTTCGACAAGAATAATGTCATTTTTATCTTTGTATCTAAAAAGGGCGTTTTGGAGGTTTCTACTGAGGTATGGTTATATGTCTTTTTTGACACTGGATGTGTGTGTTTCCATTGACTTTAGCCCACATGTTTCTGATATAAAAAATGTATTATTCATTTTTATTTATTTTATTTTTTCATTTTACAGAGCTTTCCGATGCAAAATAACCAGATGTATATCCTTAAGAAAAAGTCTGTTCCACTGAGCACTGAAAACTACAGAGAAATCTTGACTTATGGCCTGGTGTCTCCATCTCTACTGTTGCAGTTGTCTTGCACTATTGAACAGGTGACTTTACAGTGCTGTCCCAATGTATAATTTAATATGATTAAATGCAATTGCACCGGTTTTGACTTGAATACACTTTGTTACTGTTTCTTTAGTTATGTGCTCCACTTTTGGCAAACACAAACAACCACCAGATGTGGCCCCGCCTTCTCTCCCAGGACGTCATACGACATGTGGAGCGGATCTCCAGTAAAACAGCAGTCGTGCAGGGTCAGATTCAAGGAAAAACTGTTCTTCCAATCCCAATGTCAACTCAATGGTTAGACAAGCCGCTTAGCCACGTTCAAATGTGAGGAAAATTAAGTTATCTAATAGTGACATCAGTAGTGTTGTTGTAGTCCACAATCTAAAAAGTGTCGCTTCTAGGTCTGAGAGCTTTGACAGATCACTCACCCATACAATTGAGACCCATGTAATTAACTGGACCAATCAAATTCACAAAACTTTGATGGAGGACTCTGCAGACATAATGAAGACTGGGAGCAATCCAGGGCCCTGGGCTGAGCTGAAGTTTTGGGCCTCCCGAAAGAACAATATAGAAAGCATTTATCAACAGGTTAATTGGCCTCATACCCAGCAACTTTTTACCAGTATGTTACTTGTCCATCCTCTGTATTTTAAATAGTATTTTACTCTTTAGCTTCAGAGTCCTGTGGTTCAAAAAATGGAGAAGGCATTAGAAACTATGGAGAGCAGTTACCATCCAACAATACAGATGGTGATTGGAAAAGTATTTAAAGGTAAGATTATGTTTAATGTACAAGAGAGCACGCCATATGTGCAGTAGTTTACGTACCTTGCCTACTAAAATGTTTTTTAAAATTTCAAATAGCTCTAAAAGAAGCTGAAGACATTGATCTACATCTGCAGCCTCTCCACACTCAACTTTCACATGTGGAAAAGAGTGGCTTTGTCGAAATAAAACAAATTATTCCTTCATTGTTTCACACAATCTTACTAATCTGGACCAACTGTCGATCTTATCAAAGACCAGCCCGTGTTGTGGTTCTCCTGCAACAACTCTGCAATCTCCTTATTTATCAAGTAAGTCTATGGAAGTGTTAAATTATAAGTTGCTTGCCTATATAATTGTGTTGGTATTTATGTTTTTGTTTAGGCTGGAACCTACCTTTCTGAGGATGTGCTACTCAGGGAGGATACAGCAGAAAGTCTACAAATGGTGCAAAGGGCTCTGGACAGTTTTCAGAGTTTTAAAGAAAATTATGAGACTCAGAGAGAGCACCTGGCTGGCAGCAGGAGTCATGCACCCTGGGATTTCCCTTCTGCTATGGTTTTTACACGTTTCAACAAGTTCTTCAATCGCATGCAGCAAATTGAGGTGAGACTAGATTGAACTGTCAAGTAAGATTTCTTATACATATTATATCCTAATTACTATGTGCGTTTATCTCCATATATCTTCAGGATACACTGGAAATTATGCTTGACTTTGAAAAAATGGAGAAACTAGAATTTGGTGGTGTTAAGGGCAAACTTTATAATGACCAAGCTGCTCAACTGTATGCAGAGTTCAGTAACCAGTGCCAGATAATTAGACACACTGAAAACAACCCCCTGGATTGTGACTCAAAGGTGAAATGGATAAATGATTTACAATGTTTGATGACTTGATATTCATGATGAAATACATTCTATTTTTGTGTTCAGGTTTTTGAGAATGATTACAATGCTTTTAAAGAGAAAATTGTGGACTTTGAATGTCGCCTTGCCAGTCTCCTCTGCTCAGCCTTCACAGATTGTTCTGGTTTGGATTCTGCTTTGAAAGTATGTACAGTCACATTGATTTAAAGGTGCTCTATGTAACCTTTTAGTGTAGTGATCCCCACCTGCTTGTCTCTGCCAGGCCAATTTACAGGTCAGTGCTGTGGAGAGGTGATCCTGCCTACACCAAGAAAAGATGTTTTTCAAGAAATTTTGAGCAGTAATGTCACCCACAATTGAATAATGAATTGGTTATTTCCATACTTAATTAAAAGCAAGAAAAGCAATAACATTTCCTTGGAGATAAGCAGGTGGCTGACCCAAAACCAGAAAAATTACATAGTGCACCTTTTAACCTACTGGAAACGTGAACTGACACAATACAACACCACACAGCAAATTCAAGAGTGTTAATTCAACTTGTATATTGTTAATTTTAACACTTTTACCATGTCATATGGGGTCCACAATAAAATAAGTTAAAACTACACTTTCTAAACTGTAGAAGGCTCAACACTGGTGATGTAACCACACTCTTCATAGTTGATTAAGATTAGATTTTTTTTTACACTGTTGTATAGTGAAAAACTAATAACTCTATATTGCTGTTTTAACACTTTATGAAGTAGAAATAGTGTAGAATGTTCTTCATGTTACACTATTCAATAGTAACTCTTTCTTCCCTAAATACAGTGTAAATGTGGTCATTCTAGTTCATAATCCCTTTCACAAATGTAAAATAATGAAAACCACCACAAAATTCCATTTCAACTGAACTTGTATTAAAACAATGCACATCATACACTCAACACAATTTAAAGAAGTCATATGACACAATACTGTTTTTCAAAATCCAACTGACAGCAGGAATTCTCTGTGCCCTCAACAGTTTGTCACAATGATTGTCATTTATATTTTTAAAGTTGATTTTTCAATGCAAGCAGTCGATGGATGAATCAAGATCTTGTTTTGAATAGAATTCAGGCATACTCGTCTCCAGAAGTGAGAAGAGCATGTCTAAATGTTTGAAACAAGATTTTCTCTCAATTATATAAACATAACAATGTTCAGAATAGAGGCAGTCCTGCTAATTATGAAACATTAACATTGCAGAACCTTTTTACCTCAAGAGTCAGTCTTTCACTCTTGGGGTTTCTTTTGACACAGGCAACATCCATGTTGTAGACAGTTATTTGGATAAAGGTATAAAGTTTGTGAGAGACTGAGGACCAAGTGCCTTGAAGTGTTAACCAGATTCAGCCAGGTCTACAATGACATAAAAAAAAAACTTTATCCTTCCCACTTCAGTCACAGGTAGAAAGGTCGTCCAGGCTCAACCAGCAAGAAATCTGTAAAATAAAATATAAAATAGAATAAATCTAACATATTCAAGTAACCACCTTGCAAAACGGGCAATGCAATAGTTAATGAGACCTGAATAAAAATTAAAAAGTAAATATATTAAGGTGCATATATCATTATTTGTTTGTTCATATAAAGCAAGTTATTCTGTTGCATGAGCTGTATGTATTTGTATACAGAAACCATTCAAATAAATAACTTGAAGGGTAATTTGAAAAAATGTTGCCCCTTAGAAAGGATTATTTTTAAATGCAAGACGCACATGAAACAAAACACCTAAATGCCATTAATTACAAAAATAGAATGAGATTAAGGCAAAAATTATAACTACTTAGCACATATACAATATTCAATTAATCAATTACAAAACTATTGGTGAGATTAAGTTTCAGTTCTACATTTAACCATTTCATGACAACCTGCAAATCTCTGACGAGATGGCTAATGGCTTGAGCCTTAATATTTTCACTGTAGCCTTTAGGAGCTGGGGATGCATGTGAACCAGCAGCAACACACTCACCCTACAGAAAATATAAAAAAAAGAATGTATCATTAGTCTTTTTGACTAAAGGGCAATAGCATGTTAAGACACTGTATTGGGTAAGACATCATATTTGAAGATATTTTATTTTTACAGGATACTACTAACCCTTTGATTCAAATAATTTTAATAATTCTCCACTTGGTACAATATCCTACCCCAACACACCACACAAAAGTGTGCACGTTTATAAGCTATTAAAAGAAATGTGAATACAGCGAATGAATGCAGCCCCAAAGTGAGAAAAACAGTGAAAACTCGGAAGAGCTAAGCTAACGAATACTAACCTGCCCTTCACTTCAGTATAGACCGGGGGTCCGTGTCGCAGCCATTAGATTTTCGTTTGGAAATGGGGACTCAGTAGCGGGTGCAGGCAGACATAGGGCCGTGTGAGGGCGTTTGGATCGAGGCTGCGTGAGATCGTGGACCCGCTGTTTGCGGTCTCCTCGAGATGGAGCAAAGGCAGAGCGGGACTCACCTGGTTTAGGCGTATATGGGTGTGGGGTTAGACCAGGTCAAATGCGGGTTTAGTCCTTGTTTAGAGACGATTACACCTCCTCTGGTGCCCAGTCCACTCCAGGCTACGGGGCGTATACCGCTGCCCGCTGCCCGTGATGTACAGCTGCCAGAAACACCGTGAATCCCGGCAGCTCCCCTCAGAGTTAGCTGCAGTGTAGCCGCTGAGAGTCTCGCCAGTCCCGCTTTAAAGGTTGTATAGAGGATTTTCCAAGGAACGAGAAATCCAGCGACTGTTTGTCCTTTTTCAAATGTTGCGCATGCGTGAAACCACCCCCCCTCCCCTACAGCTCCCTACGTAGAAACGCCTCCTCCTGCCTCCTCCTTACGCCAGAAACAGGTTTGTTTACAGCCGGTGCGCTGCACATGACTTGTAAACAACTAACTACAGTGTTGGTTAGGCAAGGCGGAGAAGTGAGGAGCGGGTGCACAGACATTTCGTGCGTGGACGAGAAGTGAGGAGCAGGGAGAAGAGCGGAGCAGGGAGAGGAGAGAGGAGAGGGGAGCGGTGCGCGGAGATTCCGTGCCCGGAGAAGTGAGGAGCAGGGGGAAGAGCGGATCGGGCAGCGGGGAGAGGAGCAGGAAAGGGGTGCAGAGAAGGTTGCGCGGAGATTCAGTGCGAATGAACTAGCTACAACACGCAGCAGCAAGCGGACTCTTTCTTTGCCTTGAAAATTACGTTTTCAGACATAGGATATCGCTTTCGTGTCCTGAAAAACGTTTGACTAGCTCTTGGAAATAAAGTACGTTTTCATAATAAGCAGAAGTGACCTGTCCAGGAGTAATTTGGCGACCAATGCGTCAGTCTTTAGACCCTGCGTCTGCTTCAGTTGCGCCATCGCTGGAATGAATCTTCAAGAATCACCTTAGTTTGGCTTCACTGCTTTTCCCCTTGTCTTCTTCTTTCAGCAATCTCAAAAACGGACTTTCTTTTGCGGCTAACTGCTCCTGGATTCTTGTCTGCCATTGCAACAAACTTTGTGCTAATTGCGAGGAAGATATAGGTCAAAAAAAGCCGCTAAGAACTGTTGCGTTGGTGGAGTAAACAGCGTCTGTGCGGCTTGCGTCTGTGGACTGCGTGACAGGCGTACGTAAACCACGTACCGGCGGCGCGCAGGCAAGTCAGTTACGCTAGAAACGTAGGGAGATTGATTGACAGCCTGTCAGCTAACAGATAACGAGGCAGTGTCGTTATCTATTAGCAAATGTTTAGCTGGCCCCACCACGTCCAGAGCTGATTAATTTTTATTCTCTTTTTTTTTGGTCATCATAATTACAAGGCTACTGCATCTCTATAATGCTATCATTGACAATTTGAAACAAAACAAAAAATCCTCCATACAACCTTTAAGGCAGTGCGCCGCTGAAAGTCCGGAAAGTGAAGAGCATTACGGACACTTGTGACGGGGCTTTGAGGGCTGCTGGTCTGCTTTACGACAAAAACACGGACAAAAAGCAAATAGGTTTTCGGCTTACAACAAAGTGTTACGATTTTGAATTTCCCATTTCAATACGGAAATCGAATGCAATGTGAATATACACGGACCCAAGAACCCCGCATGTACATGAATTTTTTATTTATTTTTCCAAGTAACAGAATCATCAATGGAACATTACTCACTCTAAATACGCTATTGTGGCACATTTGATAACTTCTTAACTCAGTAAAGCATGCACAAGGCTAAGCGCCAAGTAGCAGTTAAAGCTAGAACAATGTTACAGTCAGACATTTGTACATTGTACAGTCCTGGTAAATTCAAATAATTTTACAACTAACAATTTACAGTATTATAAGTAAAAAGATGCTACTAAGACCTTTCAAAAGTTTTAACTTACATGTGTCCCGCTCCCAGCGCAGTACAGCTCGCATGTAAAATGGCTGCCGTGACTGAGAGTGTAGGGCAGGTGTCACTAGCATTACAATGACCTAATATACATTTACTTGAGTCACTCATTACAGATATTTTACTTTCTTTCCACTGTGAAAATACCAGACATGAGTACTACTGTAAAACCATGTTAAAAAAAAAAACAACATGTAAAACCCAGACAACAGGTGACAACAATGAAAGAAACATAGGAGACATTATTTTACCACCATTTTTGTATTTTTCACTTGAAATAGCTCATAAATAGTTCATAACTGTCCTAAATCATCGCGTTACATACACTGAGTGTAGGGCAGGTGTCACTATATTGTACTTTCTTCCCACTGTGAAAATACCTGACATGAGTACTATTTCATGTTTCATCCTCATAACTGCATTAACTTTAAATGACAAATCAGATGTTTCGTCCAGTTACTTTTAACTTAAGTTACTTCAGGAGTAGTTTCCCCGAATACTTTTACTCTTAGCTACTTAACACATTTTTTGTACTTCTACTTTTTACTAAGACTTGATTTTTTTTGTTTTGTTTGTTTTTTAATTTAGTACAGTTTGTGGCTATTTTACCCAATTTTCATGGACATCAGTGATGGCAACTTTGACTATCATCGCCAAGTTAGTCAGCTTACTACTACTCAATACTATTACTAGCATTAGACCAAATATATTTAGTATTTTTATGAATTAAATTTACTGCAGAGTGTCCTAAAAAGTACTCTGACCCGGGGCTTGTGAGAGTTCAGGTGGTTGGATTTGAGGCTCGTTGAGTTCAGGTTCTGCTCAAAACCAAAGCTATTAGCTGTTAGCTTTGCGCTGTTAGCTCTTAGTTTAGCTTCGGACGGTGAAATGTGGCTTCTCTCTCTGTAGTTCTCCCGCTGGAAACTTGACAAAGCCCAACACTGATGTAGTGTAATATTCAAAGTAGACACTTTGTAAGTGTTTGATGTAACACTGTGAATAAACAACTACTCATTTTATGTCAACACTGTGAATCAACAACAATTTATTTTACTCTACAGCACTGTCATAGTTGAAATAACTCTTGACTATGTTGAAACATATCTGGATTTTCTTCACTTTACTCACAACAACACCAACACCGTGAATTTAACACTTTTGAATTGCTGTGCAGTCATATTTTCTGTCTTTTAGATGTTAACAATTGTTGAGCCCTTCATGGAAAGAAAACTAATCCGAGAAATATTTAGTCACAACTTCCTTGTACTGAAACAACTGCTCAGAGAAGAGCTGGACAGATGTAAACAGCTGTTGAAACAACACTTCAGTCAGGTATTCTTTTAGTGAAACCATTAATTGCTTTAGCTAATACTGTCATACATGAAGGAATATTTTCCATTTCTTTTTTGTAGATCGACGGGAGTCAAATGAAGTACATGACTCACACATCTGGGGCATTTAAGTGGGCAAAAATGCTTCGGGAGCGCCTCCAAGCCCCATGGGAAAAAATACGACTACTGTTTGACATGTCAGTATGAATACACTTAATTGCTATTTAATTTACCATCATCAACATTTTGTATAACTGTCCTTTTATGTCAACAAGTGTGGTTGGCATCAGAAAATATGTGTGGCCAATTGAAACATTCACCGAAAAATACACATGGCCAATATTTTATCCCCTGGTAAATAAGTTAAGAATAAATATGTGGTTTCAGGTCTGTCACAGGTGTGGATGTGATGGGGGAGTACCAGATGTACACTGAGATGTTGAGTCTCCTAGACCAGTATGAGAAAAGAGTCCACTCTGAATGGTGCAATGGTCTGGAACAAACATGCCTGTCCAACCTGAACCAGCCTCTGCTCACGAGAGACTGCCTATCTGGACTCATCGCTATCAACTTCAGCCCAAAGGTAAGTTAGTGAACTACTGATATTAGGAAAGTCTTAATAACACATCTATTGTTATGAATTAACACATGTACTAGCTTTACAATTGCATGCTAGTTAGAGAGGGAGAGTGGAGGTTCTTTTAATGCATCCTACTGGTTGGTATGACTTTTTTTTTTTTTTTTTTTGCTCTAGCTAATTGAAATTTTAAAAGATGTTAAGTACATACAGTCCCTTAGTCACATCAGCATCCCAGTAGCAGCCATGACAGTTTTTGAGAAGCGTGATATGTTCACAAAGGTAAAGTAAAAAAAATATATATTGAAAATATATATTGACTAATAGTTAAAATCAAGTCTTTATAAATCATGTCTAAACATTTTACAGTATGTCAGAAGTCTTCAGTTGCTGGTCCAGGATTACAATAAGCTCAAACAGACAATTTTGGCTGTTGAGTTTCCCCTCATCAGAGCTAAAATGGAAGTTATAGACAAAGAGCTGGCCAGAGCAGAGACAGACTTGACCTGGCAGGATCCGGGCTGTTGGGATTTCATAAAAACGACCAAAGATCTGGTTCATGATCTTTTGCGACGAGTCTGTAAAGCAAAAGAAAACTGTCTGGCTATACAAACAGTGATGAAAGCATGGGGAAAGCAGGCCATGTTTTTCAGGAAAGACAACAGAAAAGGGTCTCTAATACACATCGAAGAACGGGCAGAGCATGTGAGAAGAATGAACAGCAGTGTGGAGAAGGAAGCAGAGCTGATCCATCAGTTGGTTCAGGTGGGTGCCTTTAAATGTGAATTTCACGTTACTATTAGTGATTTCAAATATATTACACTTATTTGTTTACTTTATAATAAGTCCAAATCATTTCATAATAGAGAAGTGATGGTTTGTTAACATTAGTGGAAAATAAATTGAGATTATCATATGATGCTGTAGTTAATTTTTTTTTTTTTATTTACATTTTATAAAGTTTAATCATAATGGTAAAAAATGGGCAAATATAAGTTAAAAAGTATGTGAAAACATTTTACCAAACACTGGTATGATCAAGTATACTATGCACCTTTGCTGAAATAACTTGTTAGAATTTTCTTAAGTGCTCCTTGCATATGCTTTTTTAAATTTTTTTTTAATCCCGACTATTTTATTAATCTTCACCAGGAGAATCAAACTTTATTGGGTGCTGACCCTGCCTCCAGTGAATGGGAGCTTTACCTGGAGTATGTGGACGAGATGGTGATAGAGGGGCTCTTCAGCTATATTCGGCGGTCACTGCAGTTTTTTGTGGACAACATGGAGGCCAGGCCTTACCACACTCCCCTGTTTGAAGCCCAGCTTCAGCTCAGAGGGTCCGAGCTGACCTTTGCCCCGTCACTGGAGCGAGAGGCCGGAGACGGCTTGTATGAGCTGGTGGAGGGGATGGTGGGAGACATATTCAAGATTTCAGGAAACATCAACCGAATAGCAGGACATTTGAGCAACGAGAGCTATCAGGTACAAAAACAAATCTATAGTGTATGGCCTGTCAAAATAACACATTAACACTGATATATTTCTTATGAAAATCTTAGGATAAACAATAAAACTGGAGACCACATTAAGTCCTACTTACAGACCTACATCATGACAATCACTGAAAAAAATTCTATCCAAAATGTAGTATCCGAATATGGGAACCAGTGCTTTTGTGTTTGTGTACTTTTTCCATCCTTTCATCTTAGACAGAACTGTAAAATAACTTCTCAAATACCGTTGTTGATATCATGAACTACTGATGAACTGTGATATTGCTCTTTCAGGAAGTGATGGATAAAATGGTGGATCTGTCCGACCTCAGACAGGAGATAATGGAGCGAGTGGGAAACGTACTGAAGAAGGCCATCCATTTCCAGAAGAACTTTGATTGTTACTCCCACCTGTGGCAGGAAGACAGGGCCGAATTCCTCAACCAGTTTCTGCTTTACGGACGTGTACTTACAGCGGAGGAGATGGAGGCTTACAATGCTGATTTACTACCACAGTCCTCCCCAACTATTGATAAATTTGAGGAACAGGTAAGAAGTGTTTTCCAATGATAAAATGACTTTCTAACAAAGTGATATGTTTTTGCAATCCCGCTGCAAGTGTTACATTTACTCAGTTACATTTACTTGAGTTGCGTTTTGAGGAAATTTAACTTATGAGTTTTCTTACACCATACTTGTAGTTGATCGTGAAGCATCTTATTTAATAAAAGTTTTTTGTCACTCTTTTTAGGCTGTTAGTAACCAATGCCTTGTATTGACAATTATACATTATTAGAACATTAATGCATTAATGAAACCATCAGATATTACTTTAGTTTTTCACATTTTTGTGGTGTATTTTTTAAAATATTTCTTTTATTTATTTATTTGCATTTATTCAATATTTTACCAGGTAAGTTAATTGAGAACATCTTCTCATCTGCAATTACACCCCAAGCGGCATCATAAAACAGTACAAGTAGAACACGCTCGCAAACAGTCACACACCAATCATAACACACACAGTGAATCGTGCAGATTAAGCAATACTAGCATCTGTACATAACTGTTTTGTCTATCCAATTACATTGCCAAGTAGGCTACTTTAGTAAGATTAGATACTATTTTACTGATTTGAGTCAGTTGTATCCTGTTTCTTACTTCTGCGTGGTTAATGTAATTTTGTATTAACTGTACCCATACTCAAGAACAATTATTCTTATACTTATTACCTCATTTTGGTGTAAATTAAATATCTATTATGTTTTAGATCAATTATTATGACGATCTACATTCTGAAATTTCCAAGTATGAAGACTTCAAATTGTACGATGGCTGGTTTCGAGTTGACATCAAGTTATTCAAGGCAACTGTCCTTAATATTATCAAAAAGTGGAGCTGGTTATTCAAAGAGCACCTTCTAAGATATGTCATTAACAGGTAAAACACTATTAATTCTGCACATGTAGTCAGCGGTAACTACACATATTGCATTTAACTATATTTTCTTGTAGTCTTAATGAGTTAGAGGAGTTTATCCAGGCCACTATGGAAGGACTTGGTGTTCCTGTTGTTAAAGGAGACAGCTGTGGATTGGTCAAAGTCATGAGTCATCTTGTAGCTGTAAGAGACCGACAGAAAAATACAGACAAAATGTTTGATCCTCTCCGACAAACAGTGATCCTTCTGGAGAGATCTGGGGTCAAAATACCAGAACATGTCTACTCACAACTAGAGGTGGGTAAATGCATTCTTTATTAGTTTATACAGAAAGAATACCTTTAAAATAGCCATGCCGTGTCCATGTTTAGGATCTACCTGAAAAATGGAATGCGGCTAAAAAACTGGCCTTAAAAATGAGGCACGGAGTGGCACCTCTGCAAAATATTGAAGTCATGGTTTTAAGGAAGCAGTGTGTGGAATTTGAGGTGATCATGATATAGAAACAAATATCAAAAAAGTAGTTCTATCCATTTTCCTTACTTCTTTCATTTTATAATTTTTTTTTATTATTTCAGGTGAAGCAAAGAAAGTTCAGAGAGAAATTCAAAGCTACAGCACCTTTCAGTTACAAAGCATTGGACCCCTATACTAGTCTTTGGCAGGCAAGTATAACTGAGTCCTTGATACCACATTGTTTTTCCAGATTAACCAAAGCTAAACTATATTTCATTTGCAGTCTGAGCGGGAGATCCGAGCCATTGAGAAAGCTTTAGCTGATCTGCAGGAATCCACAAACCTTTTCGATGTCACTATCCCAGAATACAGAGAAATCAAACTGTGTCGCCGGGAAATTACAGTCCTCAAAGAACTATGGGACATTGTCATATTTGTACAGGTGTTTATTCACTTTACTCATTCATCCAGTACTATTTCTGCAGGGGGTCTTGAGTGTTGGTTATGTATGGCTATGGGCCATAAACAGGGGCAAATGTTTTAAAAATGGTACGGTACTAAAACAAGACATGTGGTTCCACTGGCTAGACTGAGTGACTGAGTATGGCTTTAAAATATATATATATATATATATATATATATATATATATATATATATATATATATATATATATATATATATATATATATATATATATATATATATAATATATACTGAATATTTATAAAACTATACTGAATATAATAAGGCTGCAGAAACTATTCTGAAGAGTAACCAGGTTTTTGTTTTTTTTTTAATTATGTTTTTGCGGAAAACCCTTGTAACCCTGTATGACCTTAATCTTTCCCTTTAACACCATTGCCCATTACTTTTATGTGTCTACAGAGCAGTGTGGAGAAATGGACACTGACCAAATGGAGGCAGATAAGCGTGGACCAGATGGATGCAGATTTGAGGAGGTTTGCCAAGGTGAGGTCCCCAACAGTGCTCCATCACACCAGTACATCTCTCCTGCTGTCTCTCTGTCACGCGCTACTGCCGTTTGTAACAGATGCCCCAAACTAACTAATTATGTTCCCCTACCTTCTGTTTGTGCAGGACATGAGGAGGCTCGACAAAGAGGCCCGTGTTTGGGACGTGTACTCTGGGTTAGACCTCTATGTAAAGAACTTGCTCACATCACTACGGGCTGTGAGTCAGTTACAGAGCACAGCCATAAGGGAGCGCCACTGGGTTCAGCTCATTAGGACTACAAAGGTGATTAAAAGGCAAAATTATTCCAACAGCAATACAACATCTGTGCATCATAATGCCAAAAACACTGGACTGCACTGAATGAGTTTTATATAGTTGTTTATGATAATTGAATGACAAATGAACAACTTAAATAATACATATATTTTTGACATAGTCCTAATACCACTTGGATAGTTGCTGTTTTAGTCCTTACGCAATTTAAAACAATTGATAACATCATTTCTTTTCCACAGATGGACTTTAGTGTGACCAATAGCACCACACTGGAAGACCTCCTGGCTTTAAAGCTCCATTTGTTTGAAGATGAAGTCCGCAGCATTGTGGATAAGGCAGTCAAAGAAATGACCATAGAAAAGGTTGGTTATTTTCTCTTGCCAAAAATGAAATGAAATATGAAATTATGTGAATGAAGAAAAAATAAACTCAGTATTTAATTTCATTTTAGATTGTAACAGAAATAACTCAAACATGGGCAGCAATGGAGCTTTCTTATATCGACCATTACCAAACCTCTGTGCTGCTTCTTAAATGTGATGAACAATTGATTGAAACCCTTGAGGATCATCAGGTAAAATCTTTATTATTTAATTATTATATGCCTGTGTTGTAAAGTCTATGTATTGCACAGGCCCTTAAAAGTGTCTGGTAGAAGTGGTGAATAGTGCACACAAAAGGGCCTCGCTGTCTGAGTGTCTAACTGCTCTGGCGCGGGTGAAGAGGTCCCTATTGAGCCATCAGATTTATTGCTTGTGTGCTTTGTTGCACTGTGGCTATCTTTAACTTGTACACCAGATGCATGGGGGGTTACAGCACCAATTAGATGGTCTGTCTCTTTAGTGCATCTTATTGTATAGAGCTCGTTTGACTTTCCTTAGTTTATGGTTGGGTAGTCTAATTAGGGTACACATACACCAGTACAAAGTGCATATGACAGATTGGAGGGCACATTTCACTATTTAAATTAATTATTTTAAAAAGGAGGTATGTTAACCCCACAAACATAATAATCCCCACAAACGCAATACAAATCAATGAAATAAACCCACAAACATCATTCTCCACAATACACCATATTTGTAATAAGCAAATTTCCAACAAATGTTATTTTTATCACATTTGTGGGTTCAAACATAATTCAATATTTTTTGGTTTATTTTATAACTAATGGCTACCAACTATATTATATAACAATATTTTCAACTTTTTGTCTAACTTCTCTTCACCAACTGCCGCTTGACTGAAAAATAATAAACAATGATAATTAGTTACCACAGGTACTACCAAACTAGATGATAAGAAAAGCATAAAAACCTGTCTTATACGCACAGTGTTATCTCATGTGGTGTCTGTTTTGTTTCTTGGTAACAGGTTCAGCTGCAAAACATTTTTCAGAGTAAGCATGTAGATCATTTTCTGGTGCAAGTGGTGACCCTCCAGAAGCAGCAGCTGACCATAGCAGACTCTGTGCTGATGGTGTGGATGGAGGTGCAGAGGATCTGGGCTTACCTCGAGAGCATCTTTAAAGACTGTGAAGACATCCGCCAACAGCTTCCAGAAGATGCACACAGATTTGAAATTATAGATGCAGAATTTCAGGTTTTAAATAGTAACTGCTAACACATACCTGGGTGTTTTGAATAATTTAACAGGTTTTGTTTTGTTTGTTTTACAGGAATTGATGCAAGATAGTGCTAAAACTAAAAATGTCATTGAGGCCACGAATAAACCAGGTCTATATGAGAAATTGGAGAACCTACAAAAAAGGTTGGCAGTCATTATTCAATTGAAACACCTAATCATCATGTGATTATGTTTTCTAGCCATTACAAATATATATAGACATATTTCATGTTTCAAAAAGGGAACCTTTTGTGTGACTGTGTGTGTGTGTGTGTGTTTTTTTCACTTTTAGGCTTATGTTGCTTTAACTTTTTTAATTCCTAGTTTTATACTCGTACAGGTTGGCTTTGTGTGAAAAGGCTCTTGGGGAATACCTAGAGAGCAAACGCCTTCTATTTCCACGTTTCTACTTCATTTCCACTGCTGATTTGTTAGACATCCTTTCAAAGGGCAGTCGTCCCAAAGAGGTACTGAAAAACACCTTTTCTTATAGTTGAATGTCACCAGGTATGTGGCCTGCATTTTAATTAAATAATGTGAATCTTGTCACAGACATGTGTTCATCTTGCAAAACTCTTCGACAATGTGTCTGATCTGGAGTTTGCCAAAAATGAGCATTTGGATAATCCTAAACTGGCTCTGGGCATGTACAGCAAAGAGAGGGAGTATGTGCCTTTCCCAGCTGAATGCATCTGCTGTGGACCAGTAAGATTGTCTAAAACAAAACACCTCATATAACCCAAAAATGACCACTAAAACATTTCTATATCTTTCATATCAGGTGGAGGGCTGGTTAAGTTCTTTAGAGAAGTCTATGAGGGAAAGTGTGAGAGCCCACCTGTCCGAAGCCGTGGGCACGTATGAAGATAAACAAAGGGAACAGTGGATCCTGGAGCTGCCTGCACAGGTGGCCCTCACTGGCTCTCAGATCTGGTGGAGCAATGACATGGAGCACGTATTCAAACGCCTGGAGGAAGGATTTGAGTCATCGCTAAAGGATTACAACAAGAAACAGGTACAGTGATTGCCTCAAATTGTAGAAAAAGTGGTGGACATGGTGGGGCATGGATGGATGGACTTGACAAATGTAATCTCATACTTAGAGAAAAACTGCAATAACACCATATGAAAAAAAATTTCAATGTAATTTTTTAGAGTTTATGCAGTTTACGGGGCATCAAACAATTGGGGCATTTTCTAAATAAATGGGACGAGGGGCAAGGGCCAAAATTGCTGTGCAGGACAGCCAAAAGAGGGACAGGTGGTCATCCTAGAAACAAGTGTAGACTAATATGCTAATGTGCTGTCCAATCAGATAGTGCCGCTGTATTGAATTAGCTGTTAAATATGTACTTACAATGATTGACATATTTTGTTTAAAGTTAATAATTAGGTAATAAATCAATGACCTGATCTATTTGTACAAGCTGTGTATGCACCTTGCTCACACTTCTGTTATTGGTCTTGTCAGTTTCATTAGCACTCTTTGAGGTTAGCATGTCCTTGGCTGCTGTTGAATAATCTTTTTCACCTTTCATGTCTATGGACTGCACTGATTGAATTGGCAGCTCACATGACTATTGCTAAGCACAAACTGTTACAAAAATGAAATAAAAACACCTCATCTCATTTGAATATCTATTTCTTTCAGATTTCCCAGCTCAATTCTCTGATTAGCATGCTTCTGGGAGAGTTGAGTCCAGGGAACAGACAAAAGATTATGACTGTTTGTACAATTGACGTCCATGCAAGAGATGTTGTTGCTAACCTCATTGCTCAAAAGGTTTGTACAACTGAGTAACCCAAGTTCACTATCCACTGCTATTACTTACACTGCAGTCTTGTTAAGTAGTTATTTAATTAATTTGTATTTCTTTCATTTTAATATCTTTAAATCTTGTCTTTAGGCCACCTCCTCGCAGGCTTTCCGCTGGCTTTCCCAACTCAGACACTGTTGGAATGAACAATTGGGTCACTGTTTTGTTAATATCTGTGACGCTCAGTTCCAGTATTCTTACGAGTATCTTGGAAATACCCCTCGCCTGGTTGTCACTCCACTCACAGACCGGTGACTATTACTTCACTGTTACTGTATTTTATTTGGAAAGGGCAAGTTTGTGTATTGTTCAAACATGTACAGTATTTTTTCCACAAGGTTTCTATAGTATGGATCGTTTGTCATTTCAGGTGTTACATCACCCTAACACAGTCGCTTCACCTGATCATGAGTGGGGCACCTGCAGGTCCAGCTGGTACAGGAAAAACTGAAACCACCAAAGACCTAGGCAGAGCATTGGGTGTCATGGTGTACATCTTCAACTGCTCTGAACAAATGGATTATAAGGTAAGCAACGAGCAACAAGAATCACATGAAGAGGTTTTTTTTTTTTTTTTTTTTTTTTATTATATAATATGGTGCTTTTTAGGTATTTTAGAACATTATACTTAAATAATTGCATTCAGTCTTTTTTATGTAAACAATTCAAATTGCAATCTTAATTCAAAGGAAAAATGATTTAACTATAGACTGTATAAAGAACTGGACTAAGGGAGTGTGATGTTCGGCTCCAGTCAAGTGAAGCTCACTGAGGCAAATAGGTGCCAATTTGGAGCTGAGTTCCATATTAGGAATAACAATAAATAGCCTACTAAAAACACCAGGATCACATAGAGTGGGTTCATACAGACATTTTAACACCAAAATGATGAGTCTCGCTGCAGCAGATAGAGAAAGAAGGGTGATTTTCAAATGTGAAGTCAGTTGGAGCCAGAGTTTATGGAGCCAGAAGCCCCCCCATGTTCGATTCCTATTTGGAATGTGGTAGCTAACGGGTTAGTTATGTCCATTTTTATATACTGTCTAAGGATTTAACACTGTGGCTTTGCTTTTCCTCCAGTCCATAGGAAACATCTACAAAGGCCTGGCTCAGACTGGAGCTTGGGGCTGCTTTGACGAGTTCAATCGGATTGCAGTTGACGTTTTGTCAGTAGTGGCTGTGCAGGTCAAAACCATTCAGGATGCAATTCGCTCCAAAAAGAAAAGGTTTTCCTCTGTACTTAATGTAGCTTTTTTCATAAATGAATTATAATGGCTGTGAATGACCTCTCTAAAATATTGTAGGTTCCTTTTCTTGGACACAGACATTGCTCTAAAACCATCTGTGGGGATTTTTATCACAATGAACCCTGGATATGCAGGACGAACGGAGCTGCCTCAGAACCTCAAGACTTTATTCAGGTGCGCCTCATTAGTTATACACAACTTATTATTTTTTAATTGTGTCTGAATTATGTTTATTTTCTTGTATACTTCTAGACCCTGTGCCATGGTGGTGCCCGATACTGAGCTCATTTGTGAGATTATGTTGGTCACTGAGGGTTTCCGTAGTGCAAAGATTTTGGCCAGAAAGTTCATTACTTTGTACTCCCTGTGCAAAGAGCTGCTCTCAAAACAGGTAAACGTAACCACTCCATGGAGTTTTAATAATGTGTTGTTATGTTATGTTGTGTAATGTTAATGTGAATTTTGTGACCTCATTGTTTTGTTAGGACCACTATGACTGGGGTTTGCGAGCTGTGAAGTCTGTCTTAGTTGTGGCAGGAACACTGAAAAGAAGAGACAAGGCAAGACCAGAGGATCAGGTAATTTTTATACCCATACATTTTTTTCTTTGAAATATTATATTATTTTTCATAAATTTCAAACTTTTTTAAGGTATTGATGCGTGCGTTAAGGGACTTCAACATGCCCAAAATTGTGACAGAGGATGTATCCATCTTCCTGGGACTACTTGGTGACCTTTTCCCTGGCCTGGATGTGGAGAGGGAGAAAGATTTGGAATTTGAAAAAAGCATTCGCACCACCGTCCTGGAACTTCGCCTTCAGCCAGAGGAGACATTTGTCCTAAAGGTTAGATGATAATGACTTACTTTCATTAAAACAAGTAAAAAAAATCTATTTTTCTTCCTCAGGTGGTGCAGTTACATGAACTTCTGGCAATACGGCATTCAGTGTTTGTTGTTGGAAATGCTGGGACTGGGAAAAGCCAGGTGCATTATTTAGATTTTTTTTTTTTATTATGTAAATTTTATAACTAGTCATTTGAGTTAACATCATTGATTTCATAGATACTAAGAGTTCTTCATAAGACGTATGCAAACTTGAAAAAAAAACCTGTCTGGAGTGACCTCAATCCAAAGGCGGTGGATACAGATGAATTGTTTGGGTTCATTCATCCTTCTACACGAGAGTGGAAAGATGGTAATGCAGATTTGTTTGAATAAAAAAAGATTTATTTAGGAGCCAGCCTAACTTTATCACTCTGTTAATAACATAATTGTTTGTTTAGCCTTGTGGTTCATTGGCTGTTTCAGGTTTGCTCTCATCTTTGATGCGAGAGCAGGCGAACATCTCCCACCCGGGGCCTAAATGGATTGTGCTGGATGGAGACATTGATCCAATGTGGATTGAATCCCTCAACACTGTAATGGATGACAACAAGGTCCCTCCCTCCTGTTAACACATTCACTGTTGTACAACACGGGGTACACAAAGACAGAAAGAATAGGAGGTTTTCATTCAGTATACTTGAATATCATCCTGTCAATATTAGGACCAGATACAATGTCAATAAATTAGATTACAGAAAAAAGAAACTATTACTATTTTATTCAGGACTAAAGATGAAATTTGCGCTAACTCTGGCATATTTTTATTAAATCTGCCTGCTGACCCATTTATTAGTATGCATTGTCCTAATCCAAATAAATAAATACAAATTTCAGACTTTCAAAAGTAAATGCATGCATCATTAAAAGTATTATATTAAAGTAAGTAAATTAATGAATGTTTATTTGTTTATTTTTACAAATTATAGTACATGTGTTTTTGATTCTAGATACTTTATTTATTTAAAGTGAGAACCCCAGAATCTTTCAGTTTCCTCACATGGCTAGATTTTGATTTTTTCTCATGATTGTAGACATACACCAAACCATCTCACATTTAGCTGGTCCCAGATGTGTAAACAGGAAGAGTGTAACTGGTCCAAATCATAGAGTGAATCATGCCACGCTAAGATGACTGGGGAGACAGGCTGACACAAAATTGGATGTTATTGTAATTGTGTAAAATGTTACCTTTCAGGTCCTGACTTTAGCCAGTAACGAGCGTGTACCCCTCACCTCATCAATGAGACTGGTGTTTGAAATCAGTCACCTCCAATCGGCTACTCCTGCCACTGTGTCCAGAGCAGGAATCCTTTTTGTCAATCAGCACGACTTGGGCTGGAACCCGTGAGTCTAACTAAAACATTGTTGTTTTGGGCGGCAGTAGCTCAGTTGGTAGAGCATTCGCCCACTGATCTGAAGGTTGGTGGTTCCAATCCAGCTCTCGACATAAACATCTCAGGTTGAGCGGTCAGATCCACTGACCCACAGGTTGGCTGGTGTGATTCCAGCTCCCACAGATGAATGCTGTTGTTGTGTCCTTGGGCAAAACACTTAACCCACCTTGCCCACTGTGTCTGTGTACACTGGTGTGTGAATGTGTGTGTGAATGGGTGAGTGGTTCCTTGTTGTAAAGCACTTTGAGTGCCTTGAAGGTGGAAAAGCGCTATAGAAAAATGTGACCGTTTACCCAATAATCTTCCATACAAAACTAATTAGAATGAATTGTTGTGATTTTAGATATGTGGCAAGCTGGATTGATCAACGGGAAAGGCAGACGGAAAGAGCGCATCTCACAATACTGTTTGAAAAGTATGTGCCACGTTGTCTAGAGCAAATGAGAAACAAGTTTAAGACCATAACTCCTCTCCCAGAAAGCTCGATGGTTCAGGTACCACATACACCAATGTACTTATAATGATTACATAAAACAATAGTAAAATAATGTTTTCTTCTTTAGACACTCTGCTGTTTGCTTGACTGCCTTTTAACAACCGAAAACATCCCATGTGACTCTCCACGAGAAATTTATGAAACATATTTTACATTTGCTTGCATTTGGGCTTTTGGTGGAGCTCTGCATCAAGATCAGGTATATTTATTTTGAATATATTTTTTGTATATTCATGGATTGGCTCTGAAATGTTTTGCTATATTTTCTCATTAGCTCTGTGATTACCGTGTTGAATTCAGTCATTGGTGGACCAAAGAAATGAAGTCAGTGAAATTACCAGCACAGGGGACTGTTTTTGACTACTACCTTGATCCACAAACCAGAAGATTTTTACCCTGGTCAGATATTGTCCCATCTTTTGAAATGGAAACTTGTGCACCATTACAGGTAAGACTATTGGAAACTCACAGTTAGACTTAAAAAGAGCAGCTTTCTCAACAGTAAATTATCCCTTGGCAATCATACCCCATTTAAGAAAAAAATAACCAAAAATGAACAATGCAAGCATATTAAAAATGTAAGCATGCCTGGGTGAACATAATAAGAGAGGGTAAAGTCACATCGTGAGGTTATGGTAGGGTGCTAGAATGGATGATAGGCTTTCCACTGTGTCTGATTACCATGTAGTGAACCCCATACCAGAGTGAGTGGGGGTGAAGTCATGAGCAACAAGGCTTGAGCTATCACCTACACACTATTATCTTTCTTTATGCTCCTGCGTACAGCTGTGAATGCTCTAAAGCTTCTCGCTGGGCGATAATTAGTGGGGTTTTGTTCTCAGCAAATGATGCTATTATGACAGAATAGTTGTGGTCTACTGGGGAAATACAAGAAATTATAAATCACATGCAATTCACTGAACACATGTCTGTCAATAAATCACTAAAAGAAAGCCATAATAAGCATGTATGTTTCTGTGCACGTGCTCCCTGCTGCTCTTATGATTGCAGGCTGTTCTGGTGCACACAGCAGAGAGCGTGTGTCTGCAGTACTTCATGGACTTGTTGCTGGAGAGGAGACAGCCGCTGATGCTGGTGGGGAACGCCGGAGTGGGGAAGTCAGCACTTGTCAGGAACAAGTTAGACTCACTTCAACAGAGTTACATGACTGCAAAAGTGCCACTCAACTACTACACCACCTCTCACATGCTGCAGAGTAAGTCAAGTTTTGGGTGGGATTTTGTTAAATTTGAGGCAAACTACAGCACCATCTACTGGTGATTAGACTTAGCCAAACTTCATTGAATTATGGAAATTACTTTGACACTATACTGTAGATAAAAAAAATCCTCTATAAACAAAGATTTAAAGAAAGTGATAAGATCAGAAATTATAGCAATATGAAGGTAAACACAGGCTAAACGTTAAGTATGAAACCTGCCTGTCATTGCATACGCAATACCCATTTAGTTTATACTGTGTTTTTTGTGGTGTGCCTGAACTTAACATTTATTCATATTTTATTTATTTCTTGCTTTGCAGTGAACCTTGAACAGCACTTGGAGAAGAGAACAGGCAAAACCTACTCACCTGTCGGTAACAAGAGGCTGATCTATTTTGTGGATGACATAAACATGCCAGCTGTAGACACTTATGGCACAGTGCAGCCTCACACTCTCATCCGTCAACACCTGGATTATGGCCACTGGTGACAAAAATGAAAAATATGAATTAACCTAACATTAGATTATGGTTTACTCACTTTGTTTTCTCTGTCAATACAGGTATGACAGACACAAACTGACCCTTAAGGAAATTCACAACACTCAGTATATTGCTTGTATGAACCCAACTGCTGGAAGCTTTAATATTAATCCTAGACTACAGGTAATTTATTGATACTTCTTCCAATTATGTTCTTCTACTAATTACCAAAATTATATATAATGATTTCAAAGTGCATATAAAAATATTTAAATATTAAAAGTGTATATATTTTCTCCCCAGAGGCATTTTTCAGTGTTTGCTATAAACTTCCCCTCGTCTGACACTCAGATGTCGATCTTTGGGCAGATTCTCATGGCCCATCTGCAGCAGCAGCCCTTTAGTTCAGTGGTTCAGAAAAGTGCTGCAGCTGTGCTCCATGCTGCCGTAACTCTTCATCACAAGATGGTTAACAGCTGTCTACCCACTGCCATCAAATTCCACTACATATTTAATCTCCGAGACCTATCTAACGTCTTTCAGGTAGTGCCAGCAGATTTATAGTAAAGCAAAGTGTTGTGTGACTTAATATTAGCATGGGCTGATCTGATATGTATTTATTCAGGGCATGTTCATTGCTGGGCCTGACACAGTGAGAGACGGTTCTGATCTAGCCCTGCTCTGGCTGCATGAGTCCTGCAGAGTCTACTCCGACAGACTGGTGGATGACAAAGACCTGCAGCTCTTCCAGAGGCTGCACGCAGAGACTGTACATGATTGTTTTGAGGTAATAACTTGTGTTTAAGTCATACTTCCCAAGACTGCCTTAAATACAAATTTTCATTTACAGGATTTGGACAAGGCAAAGATGACACAGCAGCCCCTTCTGTATTGCCACTTTGCTCAAATGGACGGAGAATCGTCCTACACCCAAATGAGTGACTGGTCTGTGCTCAGGGCCTTACTCACTGATGCTCTGGAGAACTACAATGAACTCAATGCAGCAATGGACTTGGTGTTATTCGAAGATGCCATGCAGCATGTGTGAGTATTTGGAAGCATTTAGACAAAATCTTCCAAAATAACATCCATGCCAAATCATTGGCAGCAAAATATTTCAAAATAATAATAAAAGTTGAAACTCTATTATCTGCTGTCTGTAGATGCCGCATCAGTCGTATCCTGGCATCTCCCAGAGCTCATGCTTTACTGGTGGGAGTGGGAGGCAGTGGGAAACAGAGCCTCACACGTCTTGCAGCTTTCATATCGTCTACAGAAGTTTTCCAAATTACTTTGACTAATGGATATAATATCCAGGACCTTAAGGTACGCTATCACATCAGTCAAATCAGTACAATATTGTAAATAAAAATACTGTGTCTTATTTTTTTTTTTGGTAGATGGATCTTGTGGGTTTGTTCATTAAGACTGGTGTAAAGAACCAAAAAGTGGTTCTGCTCTTGACTGAAGCCCAAATTCCAGATGAAAGATTTTTGGTTATTATAAATGACTTTCTGGCCTCAGGTTTGAAATAATGTCTTTAAAAGTGGTCATATGTGTGCATTTTTAAAATAATCTAAGTGTTAATCTTGTACAGGAGAGATCCCTGAGCTCTTCACAGAAGAGGAGACTGAAGGGGTAGTGTCGGGAGTGAGAGCTGAAGTCCGTGCCTCTGGACTACTGGATAGCAAGGAGAATTGCTGGAAGTTTTTTACAGAAAGAGTACAGCAACGACTTAAGGTCCATTTGTAACTTTTGTCATAGATTTATACTTGATGTGTGTTATGTGTTATGTGAATGTGACTAGAATTATTGCTTTTCTTAATTACAAACATTATGTAGTTGAAAACCTGCTCTGAATGATGTGGGGCCCCTCATAACCTGGAGCAAACCACATGTAAAATCTGTAAAATCTGTAATGGTGTTTAAAACACACAAAATGTTACTTGAATGTTACTTAGATGATAATGTTCTTCCCCTAGGGCCCAAGTTAACTTTTGATTGTACATATATAATTATATCAAATAACTGACAGTTCAATTATGATGCAATTAATTGTCATTACGGTATAACTGAGTTTCCATAACTGAGTGGTCCAAGTTAAAAGGACTGTGTCTGCTTGATACTTGTAGGTGGTGCTGAGTTTCTCTCCAGTTGGCACTGCACTTCGTACCAGGGCGCGTAGATTTCCTGCCTTATTCCAGTGCACCACAATCGACTGGTTCCACCCTTGGACAACAGAGGCTCTGCAGTCTGTCAGTCACAGATTCATTCACGAAATAGAAGGAATTGAGGTTTGGGCCTGATATTGTACATGATTGTGTTAAATGTTATTACTTATGTCTTTTACATCTGTTTTCATATAACCTTAGTTTCCGACTGATTTGAATGAACACCTTGTAATTACTATGGTGCAGCTGGATTAACTTTTGCGTAGATCCCTCTTCATTAGTTGTGCGCTGAGCTACTGACAAATTGCTGAACGCATGCTTGGAGACTCTAAGTGAGTGCAGGCATATCATTGTTTTCCATCTCAACCAGGATCATTTGTGTTAATGGGAGAAGAGTGATTAAGCACATAATGACCCTATGAGGAGGCGCAGCTGTCACAACCAGCAAGTGTCATCACATCTGAGCCATATGTGCCAGATTTAAGCCTCCTGTTCCATATAGATCCATATAACATGTTTGTGTTATATTTATTGAGATTACTGGGCTTTATTAAAGGTGCATTAAGTAACTTTTCTGGTGGGGATCTGAACCTTCATGATGTTTCTGCTTTGCCCAGGATGTTTCACAATATGACATTAAACTGTCTATCTTGCATTTATGCCTGTGTTCACGGAGGCACAAGTTGGTTGCAGACTCCACCAGAAAGTTCCATAGTGTATCTTTAAGCACAGAACTGTAAGAAAAATCCTTTAATTAGTAATGATTTCTATCTGTCTCCTCTAATAACATTGTGAGTTATAGTACGCTCTTCTCATCATTGTCTAAGCATTTGTTTTAGTCTATAATTGATTGCTATGATGAATGGAGTAGTTCTGTCACTATGTGTCATATCATAAGCACACTTTGCATCCAGTAGCGAAACTCTATAAGCATGTGTGCTGTGTTGAGAAAGTTAGAAAAGCAAAGGCGACTTAATGTAAACAGTGAGTCCCAGCCACATGACAGTGGCCTAAACACATTATTTTCACAGAGGTTTCAAACCCTAATCATTCCTGCTTGCTGCACTTAAATATCAGATTGAGTAAGTCAGGGCAGCCAAGTAAAACGGCAAAACTTGTAGATGAATTCAAAATTTATGAAGATAATATTTCAGCTCCATCAGGATGGGATGTTAAACTCTACTCAATCCACCTTGCTCTGCTCTCCCCCCTACCCCTACCCTCTGCTTATTTTTTACAGCCTGCTGTCCAGGAATCCATCAGTCTTTTCATGGCCTACGTTCACACCAGTGTCAAACATGCTAGTGAAAAATACCAACGCAATGAGAAGAGGTACAATTACACCACCCAAGAGCTTTCTCCAACAAATCAGCCTGTACAGAAACCTGCTGGAGAGGAGCTGTGCCCAACTCCAGGACAAGATGGGGCGTCTGGACAGTGGTCTCCAAAAACTGCAAACCACCGCAGCCCAGGTGAAGCACTTTACTGTGGGATGTGTGGCTGTGATTAGTTGGCTTATGTCAAGAAAAAAACTAACCTAAACAAATAACCCCATCAATACAAAATCACCACTGGTTATTCTCCTTGAGTTAGTGTAGATAAAAGCCTAGATAAATGCATTGGGTTGCATGAAAAATCATAAAAATAAACTAAATTCAAACTATGACAAAGGATATTAAAATTATGCTGTAAAGGAGATTGTTTGCTTTGGAGACTCAAGATTATTTTTACTATATGTCTTCCTCTTTTTTAGGTTGAAGATCTGAAAGCCAAACTTGCTTCTCAGGAGGCTGAGTTGTCCACTAAAAACCAGAACATTGAAGCTCTCATTGCTAAAATAGGTCAGCAAACAGAGAAGGTTAGCAGCAAGAGAGAGGCTGCAGATACAGAGGCACGGAAGGTGAGGAATCTAATCACACTCCCTTTGACTTGAATTGTTCTATTTAACATGAGTTCTGTTGTGTGCAGGTAGCTGTTATTCAGACACAGGTGGCAGCTAAACAAAAAGACTGTGAAAATGATCTCGCTAAAGCTGAGCCATCGCTAGCAGCAGCTACTGCAGCTCTCAATACACTTAACAAGGTGCCACATCTCGCTAAGCAGACCCACTTGAACTCCAGTCAAGTACAGATCTGATGAATGTTTCTGATTTTAGGTGAATTTGACTGAGATGAAAGCCTTTCCAAACCCTCCGGTGGCAGTGATCAATGTGGCCGCAGCTGTGATGGTGCTGCTGGCCCCTCGCGGTCGAGTGCCAAAGGACCGGAGCTGGAAGGCGGCGCGAGCCTTCATGGGCAAGGTTAAGCTGTCACTGTGTCACTCACATGAGCCTGATGAATGCCAATCTAATTCACACAGGCCTTGACCTGAGCTCTGCCCAGTGGCTCAGAATAGATCTATGAATATGCCTGTTCTCTAAAAGAGGGCTTGTGTTACCCCATACAAAATCATTAGATTGGTTTGAATCAGTTGTATGAAATTAATAGTTTATAATACAAATCTGCATACAAAATGTTGATCTGCTACATATATAAATGTGTTTGAAATACTGCATTTTCAGGTGGATGATTTTCTACAAGCACTGATGTCATACGACAAGGAGAACATTCCAGACACCTGTTTGAGTGTGGTAAAGCAGGAGTATCTGAGAAAACCTGGCTTCCACCCGGATATGGTTCGGACCAAGTCCACAGCTGCAGCTGGACTCTGTGCCTGGATCATTAACATTGTTAGATATTATGAGGTTTGGCAGTACATTTTCATAAGTGTTTTTGGGTTGATTAATATACAACACAAGATATTTTAGTTTGATTAACTATCATTATCATGATTGCAGATTTACTGTGAAGTTATTCCAAAACGACAAGCATTGGCGCAAGCTAATATAGAATTGGAAATGGCTACATCCAAGTTGTTGGCTGTTCAGAAGAAGTTAATGGTAAGTACTTCATAATCACTTACTCACACTCAGTACAAATTAAAATGTTTAACATGTTTATTTGTTGCTCGTAGGATCTTGATTCAACTCTACAGAACCTCACAGAACAGTTCAAAAAGGCAACAGCAGAGAAGCTGAGCTGCCAGGAGGAGGTGTCCCGCACCAACCAGACCATACAACTAGCCAACCGCCTGGTCAAGGGCTTAGAGGTAAGCGTTTGTGTGGCCGACCTGGAACAACTGTTCTGCTAATCACACACTGAAATGCATGGAAACTCAGTAGTAACCATCTACATTTAATCTGGTATGTCCTGGCAACAGAAGGTGACAGTTGTAGATAAAATTTAACACTGGGTGGTTTTACTGCCTGGCTTAGTATCATACTGGGGACTTGTGAGACAGGTAGAGAGGGCTGGACCACACAAAATGCATGACTAAGCAGAGAAACTGGCTTCTGAACAGCATCCAAATAGAGGACAAGAGATGCGCTAACTGCTTTCACAATTACCACTGTATGGTTTAGATTTCATAGCACAGCAATCAAGTAACAAAATATCTCTGCAGCTTTTGCTCTTCGCAAACATCCTGGTATCTTTTTTTCTTGTAAATTTCCTTACCTCCTGTTTGTCTGCACATCTATTATCTTGGATGGATGCTAATATGGAATAAACGATGGTCATTTCATTGGCCATTTTGTAAGTTTCGACTTTCTTATTCGTGAGAACAAATGTGGTTTGCATGGAGCAGCTTGGCTTTTAAGCATATCAAGATAAATGTTTTGTCTTTATGGCATTGACCTGGAAGTAATAGTGTTGAGACTAATAAATCAGAGCGTCTATATTTAATCATTAACTTACCTCAATGCCCCAACAGCTGTTGGAAATTAACAATGTCTAACCCCAGACTGAGTGATATTACAAGCAATCCATAATACATTAGGCTAAAATTATAGTGATTTTTAACTGTCTGGGAATTTATTATGTGACATATTCTAGATCCACAGCCCCTTGTAAGAAAATGCCACGCATGATTTATCACTGTGGGGCTGTCACAGTCATAGTATTGAAGGTTTAAATAGATGGAAAATTGATGCTAAGTAAATACAGGGAAAACTGTAAAAGAAAGAAGGAATAGTGTTTTTTTGGCTTTGTTATGATCATGTGCAGCATAATTATTGAGGATGCTTTCAGAATTTTAATTGTTGCTGTGCTGTCGTTTTTAGTCAGAGAAGGAGCGATGGTCTCATGCGTTGGTCAAGTATGAGAAGCAGCAGCAAACTCTGTGTGGAGATGTCCTGCTCACAACAGCGTTTGTCTCTTATATGGGATATTTCCCACTGCAGTATCGCACTGAGCTTCTGAATGACAGCTGGATCCCTTTCCTTCAGTCTAAAAAGGTACTGCAACTTCATTTTAGCTCTGTGTTTCTTGGATGAATAATCAGATAATTTCTGTAAGTGATCAGGAATGTGATTAAACATACTTGTCGAGGGTTGAGGTTGAAGTAAGTGGTTCTCAACTTTTACCCCTAAGCTTTGTTTCACACTCCAAGTATCCCCTAACTTGTGTAATGGTAATAAATGTCTTTAATAATTAATATTATATTTTCTTATTTAGTTTATAGACTGCTCAAAAATATTAAAGGAATACCTTGAAAACACATCAGATCTCAATGTGGAAAAAAAAAAAAAGTGGGATATTTATACAAATATTGACAGGGTAATGTCTTAGGAACAGAAGGATGCTACTATGGAAATTTTAATGGAAATACCACTTTCAGCCTACAGGGGGCTTCATTTTATAGACACCCTGACGATCAAAGTGAAATAATGTAATGGTAGGCTAGACCATTTCGCCAAAAATTAACTTCTGCAACTCAAAATGCTTCTCGATATTTTCCGTGTCCCCCGTGTGCTTGTATGTATGTTTGACAACGTTGTGGCATTCTCCTAATGAGATGGTGGATGGAGTCTTGTGGGATATCTTCCCAGATCTGTGTATGGGCATCACTGAGCTCCTGTGAACAACCTGGTGGTATCTGATAGACCCAAACATAATGTCCCAGAGGTGGCCTATTGGGTTTAAGTCAGGTGACCGTGAGGGCCATTCAATTGTATCAGTCCCTTCATTCTCCAGGTACTGCTTGCAGACTCTATGAGGCTGGGCATTGTGATGCATCAGGAGGAGTACAGAACTTACTGCACATAATGTTTGGCAATGGGTTCAAGGATTTCATTCCGATACCTAATGGCAGTCAAACATTCTAGCCCGTAGAGGTCTGTGCGTCTCTAAATGGATATGCCTCACAGATCATCACTGACCCACCACCCGCTCATACTGAACAATGCTTTAAGCAGCATACCGTTTTCCCTGTCTTCTCTCTTCTCATCTATGAAAAGCACAGGACACCAGTGGTGGACTTGCCATTTCTGGTATCATCTAGCAAATGCCAAACTCCACGGTATTGGCCGGTGAGCAGTACAGGATGTGGCGCCCTCAAGCTACCCTCATGAAGTCTGTTTCTGATTGTTTGGACAGAGACATTCACACCAGTGTCCTTGCTGGAGGTCATTCTGTGGAGCACGAGTTGTGCTCAACCTGTTCCAGGCAGATATAGGTTCTGCTGATGGGTTGAGGACCTTCTACGGCCCTGTCCAGCTCTCCTAGAGTAACTGCCTCTCTCCTGAAATCTCCTTCATGTTCTGGAGATTGTGCTGGGAGACACATTAAATCTCTAAAATGCCTTTGCAAGGCATGTACATCCGTACATGACTTTGCATATACATGAAGTATATTTATACCAAAATTCTCTTAAAAATCTTAAAGAACATTTTCTTTTTGAAATACTTTTCAGTTCCATCTTCTAAATCTGAAATCATTCCAAGTAGCGCCTGGTAAATGCTTATGTACTCCCAGTGGTCCTGTAACCCTGGAAACACTGGCCTACCCCACACATGTTAAATGAAATTATATACTGGATATTGTAATTTGTATAAATGCAAAACAACAGCTTTGATAACGTCTTATAACGTAATTGTAGATGTATGTAGTATCTATCCACCTATATTCTAAAGTAGGTGCCATACAGTACAGTCAAAGGTCTTTCTATAAATGCCTGTTATACAGTTGATTCCATCATCTTTTGCTCTCCCCATCAGAGTGGCATTAGCGTTGCTTTCTGTTCCAGGTCTCCATTGCCCTGACAGAAGGCCTGGACCCAGTCCTCATGCTTACAGATGATGCCACCGTGGCTGCTTGGCATAACCAGGGCCTGCCAAACGATCGGATGTCCATTGAAAATGCTGCCATCCTGACCACCAGTGAGCGTTGGCCACTTCTCATTGACCCTCAGCAGCAGGCCATTAAGTGGATCCAAAACTGGCTCGGGTCAGAGCTGACTGTGGTGCAAATGGGGCAGAGAGGGTGAGATGAGCTTTTTCCTTTTTATACTTTGTAGTTTACTTACTGAAATACTTTTTTCATACAGTTGTAGGAATTTAATAGTGGCAGGGGTTGAAAAGTTAATAATAAAACACCATAATGTAGAATAAGTAGTGTAGTCATAGTACTGCAGAAGTAGTAGTAGCAAGTTGTAAAAGAAGTAACACAAATTTAAAAGGGACAATTTTTATGTAAAATTTACTTTTGTGAGCTAATCATGTTATAACAATCATGCATATTTGAGTAATTCTGTATTGCTCTATATTTGAGGGTTGAGTGCTCACAAAATGTGCGTTTCACCTATCTCCCATCTCTGCCCAACTATACACACAAAAATTTAAATCCACTGGTAGCTACAGTAAAATGCTGCCATTAAAGAGGTGCAGGTTTGTAGTTTTAACAGGAAGTGAATGGCACTGTTTCTAATATTAAACAATCATACAATTAGCATAAAGTAAAATTATCATGAATACCGCAATAAATGTATAATGTGTTTTCGTTTTTCTAGTTACTCAATTTTTCTGAAGTTTCTAATTACATTAATAAAAATAAAAAAATAAGAGCACAATAGTCTACCCACTGCCTGAGCCTTTTCTTTTTTTATAGGTATCTCGCAGTAATTGAAAAAGCTCTCGCCTGTGGAGAAACATTACTGATTGAGAGCATTACGGAAAAGTTGGACCCGGTCTTAGAACCTCTACTGGGCAGAAACACCATCAAAAAAGGAAGGTTAGTAACAAACAATGGTTTACCAAAATTATACAAAAATGTTTTTGGGGAAAAGTTCACCAGTGCACATTTAAACTTGTCCTGGAGCATTATAATTTGAGAGAACTTTGAAAGAGGCTGCTAAACTGCATTGCAAGAATCTCAGATATTTTATAAAATCTTTGTTGAGGTCTAAACTACACTGCTAAAAATGTCAATAAAGAGACAGGATATTTTGTTGTCTGCAGAGAGCATTCTGTATTACTTAAATAATTGCTGCCTTTGCGATTTGATAATTGTACCTAATCAAATTGCAATTGTGTGTGAACTTGAGCATCTCTAAAATGTTATACTTCTGAGATGCATTATTAACAAAAATGAACACAGTGCAACTGATTTCAGCTGAAATGCTAAAGAACCTTATTCAGATCATTATACTGCACACAGGCCACTCTGCATTTCAGATATCTAAACAAAACCTTTTCAAATCACTACATGCTTTCACGCTGTTGAAACCAAATAGTCAATATACCCACAGCCTCTCCACATGTGTCAGTGGTACAAGACAATAGAATCAGATTTGCCAGATGGTTGAATCTCAGTGAGCTCGAAAATGCCACTAAGAGAAGACTGAATGCATTCTTATGGCTTGCTCTTTAGATTATAAATGAATTGGCAGCACATGCTCTGAATCCCAGAGGACAGCATATTGATTGGCCCCTCAACATTGGTGATAGATGTATATTTGTGTGTTCATATTGTTTAGGTGTGATGAATATTGAACAGCTGAGCCAGTGTAAAGGCTGGATTGGGACCAGTCATGGTTATGTATAAGAAAATTGGCATGCTGCACACAATATTCGATGATTCAATGCTTTTTATATATACATACATTACTACAATAATCTTCCTGGAAACAAAATAACAGATCACTTATGGTGTAGCATGTCTGGCATGTGCACAAACTAAACTAAATATTAATCTACAGAAGCAGCAAGTAGCTAATATTTGTAGGAAATTGAAATGACCATGTATTGATATTGTTCTTTTGAAAAATGCTTACATCTTTCTCCGATCTATATGCGCAGCTATGGATATTGTTCATTGAGCGTCTTACCCAAGTCCTGTCCATCCAGATGCAACTATTCATCTCGGCAAATCTGATTATAAGTTTATCCCCTGCAGATGACCCACGCACTTGTTTCTGTCGATGATTAATAAAATGTGCTGCGGCGGCCATGATGGATCTGGTGGGCTCCTACAGCTGAAGTTCATTAATAATTGGAATGTTGTAGAGTGTGAAGTAATGAATACTAATTATTCCTTTCATCGCTGACGGAAGACTACAAGCCAATCCATCAGCGCGGACTTTAATTTGGTGGAGTAATGGTTCTATCAATAGTACATTAATTCTGGCTTGTGAAGATATAGAGTTGATCCGCGCTTTGGCCACGAGGAACCTGAGTTGTAAAATTGGGGCCTTTGCCTGACATGCTGGGGGGCAATTAGAGGAAAATGAAAAGCCACCGGGTTTGTCATGCTAGTACTGCTAATTGAATTGAAATGCAAGAACAGATAAGTATTGGCTGCTGTAGCAATAATATGAGCATTATCTGACTGCACACTAACTTAACAATTACAATTGCTATAACAAACCTTTTAGAATTAAGACGATCATTGCTTTAAAAGTATTCTGAATCAAAATAATAAAAAATACAATTCTTGGGAATGTTGGGAATTCTTGGGAACTTTTTTGGTCTCAGTTGATCAACAGGAAAAAAATGGTGAGATACAAATGAAGTATGGGAAGAATGTATGACAATAGATTACTATAGTTGGTAAAAGATATTAAAACTTTAAAGAATCACAACCTTTACATTACCAGCTAGAGAGAGTCCTTTATATTGTATATGTTGTATGTATTTTTATTCTGAACTTACCATATTTTTCAGACTATAAGGCACACCAGATTATAAGGCTCACTGTCGATTTTTGAGAAAAATTAAAGGATTTTAAGTGTGCCTTATAGTGCGAAAAATACGTACTTATTTTGAAAGCTTTTGTTCCAGGTACATTCAAATTGGAGGCAAAGAATGTGAGTATAACAGCAAGTTTCGACTCATTATGCACACCAAGATGTCCAATCCCCACTTCCCCCCGGAGCTCCAGGCCCAGGCGGCCCTGATTAACTTCACAGTCACTCCAGTGGGGCTGGAGGAGCAGCTCCTCGGGCAGGTCGTGTCACGGGAAAGACCTGAACTTGAAACTTTAAAGGTAAACAAAACAAAAAAAACAATTGTGGAGAGTTGAAAACAGCAAGGTAACTGTTTTAAATTGCTTTGTGGCTATTACTTTAGTTGGAGCTAACCATGCAACAGAATCACTTCAAAATTGAGCTCAAGAGGTTGGAAGATGACCTGTTGACTCGCCTATCTGCAGCCGAGGGCAATTTTCTGGGTGACATTTCTTTGGTCGAGCAACTTGAAAACACCAAGACCACAGCAGCCCTCATTCAGCATAAGGTGAGCTTATTAAACTGTGGGGAGCTTTTAGTTGTGTGAATATACAAGTATTTAAATACATCATAAGAATGCATTGCACTGCTCCAGTAATTACTCTTGCTATGTACTAGTTTGTAATGAGAGTTATTTGGAGCATGCCTGTGCGCCTAAGAGCTCATTTTGTGCAATTGGAACACACAGGTGGTGGAGGCCAGAGAAAACGAGACAAAGATCAACGAGGCCCGAGAGCTCTACCGCCCCGCAGCCGAGAGAGCGTCGCTTCTCTTCTTCATCATAAATGACCTCAGCAAGATTAACCCCATGTACCAATTTTCACTCAAGGTAACATGTTTGCCTCTGGAACTTTGGAAGGCATTAGTAATAAAACCCACTAAGAGCTATGACTACTGCAGTTGCTTGTATCCCCTGCTAAATGTACCTCACAAACAACATTTTTAGCTACACCTGTTATAAAGCTTTCATAAAGGTACTGACTGAATGAATTCATCCCTATATGGTGTTTTTCCAGATGCTTAACATCACTTTACAATATTGTGCTTTATTAATTCACTTCATACTTAGTGGTAAGCTACTACCATAGCTAGAGCTTCCCTGGGGTGGACTACTGAAGTGAGGCTGTCAATCGGTCCCTCCCTTGACGACCAATCCCTCTTTCATGCACCACATTCATAATAGACACGAAGCAGGAATTGTCTTGCCTAAGGACAAAATGGCAGTTTGCACTATAGCCACTGTTGCCCCAATGTGGCACCTGGTCTCCCCAGAGCCAGCACTGCTTAACTTCTAAACTAAAGATTTTTTTTTAAGCATTGTACAAATGTTTTATTCACAATTTAATAAAATCGAATACACTACATAGCAGTTGTGATCCAGGGTTAATTTTATAGACAAATTATACATATTTGTTTGAATGTGTGTCTACTAGAATCCCTTGTTAATGCAGCCACATGGACAGATTGTTTATGCTATGTCAGTAGACCGTAGTCATGTACTCCTAACCAAAGCATTCCTCCTTTTGGATCTTTTCCAGACTTTTAACTCAGCATTTAACAAAGCAATGGAGCGTGCAGAGTGGGATGAGGATGTGCGGATCAGAGTGCACACTCTCGCAGAAGCCATCACCTACTCTGTATTCCTATACACCAGCCAGGGCCTGTTTGAGAGAGACAAGCTAACCTTCTTGTCACACATTACTTTCCAGGTAAGGCATTTGGGGCCTCCTCTAAGGTGTGGTCCTCTGTCATCCTCATCCATCACTGCACTTTTCTGCCCCACATTAACATCAATTAATGGCAATCAGAACGAGCATACGCTGCTATTGATTATCTCTCACACAGAGCGTCATGGCGGCTGTTCAGACAGTTGGTTCTGACAGGGGGGCTGTTTCTGATGGGTCAATGCAATATTTTGTCATTGGGCTTTGTCTTAGAATTAACTGGCTTTGATGGATGTCATTGAGGGCATGTTGAGGGAAAATGCAGCTGCTTAAGGTTTGGAAATGTTGCAGCAGTTTCATAGTTTTGGTTTAGAAGCTTTTGCAAGATGTAAACTGATATACAATATCATCTGGATTTACATTATATTTATTTTCATTTTCACAAAACAAAGCATAACATTTATACACGTATAATAGAGAATGTGATGGTATCGTAAAAGTGTCAACATCAACATTTTACCAACTTAATCCATTTCCTCTATTTCTGCTTTTTTCTGTAGATTCTCCTTAAGCAAGACAAACTTGATATCCAGGAGCTGGACTTCTTGCTGCAATTCCCTGTGGAGCCTAGTAAAGTTTGCCCTGTGTCATTCCTTTCACCACACACATGGGGAGCTATTAAAGTATGCCAGTTTATACAAAAATAAACCACCAAGTCTTTTTTATGCTGTACTTATCTTCATATGGTTTGACTATAGGTAGTCTCTTCTTTGGATCACTTGAATGGTCTGGACAAAGACTTTGAGATGTCTCCAAAACACTGGAGAAAAATAGTTGAGTCCTGTTGTCCCGAGAAAGAACGGCTTCCTCACGACTGGAAGAACAAAACGTCACTTCAGAAACTCATAATCCTGCGAGCTCTGCGGCCAGATCGAATCACCTACGCTCTCAAGTAATGTACTCATGTTTTTTGTTTTTTTTTTACTATATCTGTGTACTATATTACTGAAGGTCCAAAATTGCCTCTAACAGGAACTTTGTTGAGGAAAACTTGGGTGCCAAATATATTGAGCCTGCAACAATTGAATTTGAAAAACTATATGAAGACAGCAGCCCCTCAAACCCTCTCTTCTTTATTCTGTCTCCTGGAGTGGATCCACTTAAAGATTTAGAAAAACTAGGTACTTATTGTATATTACAGGTTAATTAATTTCTTGTTCATCATATTACAGATTTATATTATTTTTCCTTTTTTTCAGGATTAAAATTGGACTTTTCCATCGACCAAGGGACCCTACATAATGTGTCTTTGGGTCAGGGACAGGAGGAGATTGCTGAGAGGGTGGTGAAGAGCGCCTCTCAGTTGGGACACTGGGTCATTCTACAGGTACAGAGCATTCTGGTTTATTCAAAGGTTATTGCTACTCTCATGCCCGCTTCTCTAATGGTATTGTCTCACGTGTGGAGCTGGGGAAATTAACTCAATTTGGTTCAATAAAATCATAATTGGCTGAACTAACTCTATAATCATTTCATTAAATAGAGAAGCATCCAGTTGAGGAATTCAATGAGTTCTTCCTCTGTGTAGTCATCTTGTGTGGAGAAAATGTAGACATACGTATATATTATAAAAACATAATGTGATTTTGGTTCTCAGCCAGAAAAAGGTGGCATGCCCTCTGCAGGTGGGTGGAGAGTCTCTGCCTCAAGTGGAGGAGTTTAAGTATCTCGGGGTCTTGTTCACAAGTGAGGGTTGCATGGAAAGGTAAAAAAAAGGAGCTGAGTTGAAAGGCAAAGCTCTCAATTTACTGATCAATCTACGTTCCTACCCACACCTATGGTCATGAGCTTTAGGTAATGACCGAGGGAGGAAGATCGCAGATTCAAGAAATTAGTTTCCTCCGCAGGGTGGCTGCGTACTCCCTTAGAGATAGGGTGAGGAGCTCAGTCACACAGGAGGAAAACAGAGTAAAGCCGCTGCTCCTCCACATTGAGAGGAGACAGCTGAGGTGGCTCAGGCATCTGTTTTGGATGCCTTCTGGATGCCTCCCTAAGGAGGTGTTCTGGGCACATTCCACAGGGAGGAGGCCCTGGGAGGGACTACGTCTCTCGGCTGGTCTGTGAACGCTTTAAGATCCCCTTGGAAGAGCTTGAGGAAGAGTGTGTGGAGAGGGAAATTTGGACCTTCCTGCTCAGACTGCTGTTCCAGCAACCCGGCCCCGGATAAAGCAGAAGAGAATGGATGGATTTTCTCAGAAGAAGATGGACGGATGTTCTCAGAATGTTTTAAATAACCTAAAATGAATTATTTTCACCTTTTTGTCTATTATAAGCTCAGAAATTGTTCATATAAAAATGTGCATTTATGCATTTGCCACTTGTAAAAAGTTTTCTCAAAACTGTGATCTGCTTCTGATGATACTCTAGTTCATTGTGTTTGTTTAATTCATACTTGTATTCATGTTTATGTCCCTTTTTGTCCTTGTTTAGAAATACAAAAGCCATAGTTTAATTCTATATGAGGCAAGGTTTAGTCCTCATTTAGACTTGGTGTCGTCCTGATATAGACCTATCTTAGATATGGTGGTATTCAAAGAGCCAAATATTTAGATGGTAGTAGATGTGAATGACCACACTAAATGTGTTTTTGTATGATTTTTGGTCATCTTAGAATGTCCATCTTGTTGCGAGCTGGCTTCCCTCCCTAGAGGCTATATTGGAGACCACTGGCAAAAACAGTCACGCAAACTTCAGAGTGTTTATGACTGGTGAACCAGCCCAGAGTCCTGAGCACCATGTCATCCCCAGAGGAATACTGGAAAACTCTATTAAAATCACCAATGAGCCACCCACTGGTATGAATGCAAGTCTCCACGCTGCACTCAACAACTTCAGTCAAGTAAGTTTAATTTCATAAACATCTAAAAAGACTTTGGTCCTGGTTTGATCCTGGTTTAGTCCTAATTTTTTTAGACTTGATACGCAGATTATTCAAAATTTTGATGTAGATTATTCCTAATTTTAATCTGTATATTCATTGCGACCTGATTTAAGTAGACAAAAATCAGGTCTCACTTAAATCCTTTATTTTTAGATACATTTTAAAATGTCAATGTTAAAAATGGTTTATATTAAGGTAGATAAGTAGTAGCTATGGTTAAAGTTAGGATCAGTCTTTAGGAAGTTAATGTAAATCAATGTAATATCCCCAAGAAGCATGGCAATTGCAATTAATTTCCCTTGTGGATCAGTAAAGTCTAAATCAAAAATTTGTCTATATCCTGTGTTTTTAGGACACACTGGACATGTGCTCCCGGGAACAGGAGTTCAACCTGATGCTCTTCTCACTTTGCTTCTTCCACGCCAGTTTAATCGAGCGCTGCAAATTTGGTGCACAAGGCTGGAATCACAAGTATCCCTTCAGCACTGGAGACCTTACCATCTCAAGCAGTGTTTTATACAACTACTTAGAAGCCAATACTAAAGTACTTATTTTCTATTTCTATTTTTCATATTTAAACATTTAAAGGAGCATTATGTTCCTGTTGCCATCTGCTTGGCTCCATGGAGATGATATTGCTTTGCCTAGAATGTTCCACAGTATGTCAGTGAACATCTGTTTTACATTTATTCAATTGCAGGTGTTTTTTTGAATTTTTACAGTGAGCAGGGTCACCTCTCCACAAATCTGACTTGTAACATGGCTTTGTTACACCATTTCTTGTTTCCTACATGATAAATGTAATGCCATACTGCGGAACGTTCTAGCCAAAGCAATGGTATCTCTACGTTAACAAGCAGGTGAAAAAAAGTTGCATATTGCTCCTTTAAACTGTTATTTTAAAAGTATGACATTAATCTAATTACATATACAGTATACACTCATTTGTTACACATGGGCTTCTTACTTTTTTCCTGGCATGGAAATGAAACCTATAATTTAGCTTTATTTCAGAGAGACAAAAAAATCTATTCTTGGTTGATGCATCCCTCAGAACTTGTAATGATTTCTCTTAGAACTCCTATTACTCCGGTCACAACCAATTATGTCTCCTAGGTGTTCTGCCCTCCAAAAACGAATGTCCTTCATTATGTTAACCAAACACCAACCTGTATGTGCGTATACAGAGGATTCATTAGGAGGGCAATGAAGCGTCCTCCTAAATGTAATTACATGCAGCCAATGTGACAGTTCACAACGCTACATAAGTGATCACTGCAATTAGAGCTGATGAACGAAGCAATTTGCAAAACAATACAGGTACAAATGATTGTGAACCTCCAGCTTTTGTCATTTGTTATGAATCACAGGTTCCTTTCATCCTCCTTCACCCTCACGGATCATAGTCTCTGAGTCAGGAAGAGAAGCTCCATCAGGAATTAGTTCCATGTGTGTTTTTCAAGTCACTGAAATTATTGGCGCAACAGTAAATAATAAAGAGTGTGTTGATAGATTTAAAAATGACAAAACCTTATTGTAGACTTGGTTGCTGATCTTATTATGTCAAAGTAATACTGTAGATTCTGTACATATTTTGTATTTATTTTCTTCTATTGATTTTATCTTAAAATTTAATTCTAGTCTATGCAGGTTCCGTGGGAGGATCTGTGTTACCTTTTTGGAGAAATCATGTATGGGGGTCACATCACTGATGACTGGGACAGAAGAGTCTGCCGCACCTATCTGCAAGAACTAATGAATCCCAGAATGGTTAGTCAGTGTTCACTTTGAAATATAAAATAAATGAATACAGTATATAAATGGTTAAAAGTTAGCATAAAGAATATATACATTACTTACAGTAATCAATTGCAGCTCTAGTGCATATGGCTTAATATCCTCAAGGTAAAGACTGCCCTCTGGAGATGTAAATACATATTGCATTGTACCCAAGTAACTTATGTTGTGGATCTGCTTCAGATTAAAAACAAACACATATTATCCACATAGTAGCCACACAGAAACACCACAATGCCACAAAGGCATCAATACAACTGCATTTAAGACAGACACAACAATGAAACTGTATTTTTATACAGTAAATATTTGTATTTCTAGTTTGAAGGTGAGCTGCTTCTCTGCCCTGGGTTCCCGTCCCCTCCAATTATGGACTACAGCGGTTACCATAGTTACATTGATGAACATCTTCCTCGTGAAAACCCCACTCTGTATGGACTCCATCCCAATGCAGAGCTAGAGTGTCTCACCGTGACCTCAGACCACCTGTTCAGGACTCTGTTTGAGCTTCAGCCCCATGACTCCACCAGAGGGGAGGGGGCAGCCCAGAGTTCAGAAGACAAGGTGGAGATGCAGGAATACTGTTGTCACATGAAATAGCTCTGAATTTAAAGGGCTGTATTACTAACCTGACATTGTTTGATAGGTAAAGTCTGTTATTGAAGATATTATTGACAGGCTGCCTGACGAGTATAACATGTCAGAGATCATGTCCAAGGCAGCTGAGAGGACACCATATGTTTTAGTCTGTCTTCAAGAGTGTGAACGCATGAACCATCTGATAGCAGAAATGCAGAGGTCCCTGAATGAGCTGGAGCTGGGGTTGAAGGTACTGGTCATAATATACTGTTTTACACATGTTTCTCCTCCTTCCTTCATCCGTCATATGAATAATATTTGTTCAAAGGGAGAGTTGACCATCTCGTCCAGTATGGAAACTCTGCAGTCAGCTCTGTTCAGTGATGTGGTTCCTGACTCGTGGGCCAGACTGTCCTACCCTTCCACCAAAACACTGGCACACTGGTAACTTTTTCTCTTAATACAGATTTTATTACACACTAAGCTCTTTGCCATATGGTAATTTGCAGCAGAGAATGTTGGAGAATCTAATTCATAATACAGTGTAATATAATCATTTATTATTGTTTTGTTATATTATATTACGTATTTGATTTTATATGTATATTTTAAATTTGTGAAAATAATCATTTCCTCAGGTAGCTCATCACCTTGGACCATAGATGTAAAAGACTTGTTCATTATAATGTATTGACTTTACACATTGTACAGGTTTAATGATGTGTTGTTGAGTTGTCAAGAGCTCGACAGCTGGACCCAGGACTTTGTTCTTCCTGCTGTTGTTTGGTTGTCTGGGCTCTTCAACCCTCAGTCCTTCCTCACAGGTAACCTTTTACACTACATTAATACCACATATGACTTTACTGAAGTTCTATCCATCAATACCTAACCATCAATACCTTCGGTAGCTGTGCTCCAGAGCATTGCTCGCAGGAATGAGTGGCCTCTGGACCGGATGTGTTTGACTGTAGATGTGACAAAGAAGACAAAAGACGACTTTGGACATCCTCCTCGAGAGGGAGCCTACATCCACGGGCTCTTTATGGAAGGTCAGATTCATTTATAATATGGTTCATCTGTCAGTGTGAACATGCTCTATGTAGCTGTGTATGCTGGACGCTCTCACAGTCCTGACAGCATTGTGTCATGTCTTCCAGGTGCCCGCTGGGACTGTCAGTCTGGAGTGATCTCTGAGGCTGTGCTGAGGGACCTGACCCCTGCGATGCCTGTAGTCTATGTGAGAGCAGTGCTGTCAGAGGAGCAGGAGCTCAACAACACATACGAGTGTCCACTGTATCGCACTAAACAGAGAGGAAGCACTTATGTGTGGACTCTGCACCTTAAAACTAAACAAGCTCCTGCCAAGTGGATTATAGCAGGAGTGGCTCTGCTGCTGTCTGTCTGAGAGAGAGACAGTGAGTCTAAAGTATTATCAGTATTATAATACAGTATTTTTGTTTCTCATCAAAATAACTAGATCATAATACATTTTATATAATTATGCTGTTTTTATTTGTACAACATTATGTGCCTACATCTAATGTAAAAGTACCACTATAGCTCTGTAAATGTGTTGTAGATTTAGAGATTAAGTCAATAAAGAAAGCCGTGTTTAACCAGTGGCAAACCTGTTGTGTCTGTGTGTGACACTGCTCAAGTGCTCCCTGGAGAGGGTCGAGTCTGGCCGTGATTTGTCGGGAGCTTATGTCTCCATTTTAGACCATGTAATTCTGGATAGGAAGCATATTTTATTGGAAGGTCAAGATTAAAAAAGCACTCTGGCTGCCCTCTACTAACTGAATGATACACAATGCTGTCTGGAGGGCTCCCGGACAGAATTCCCAGGAGATGATGTGCATGGCCGCTATTGACTTTTAAATGAGGTGCATTTGACATTGACCTTTTGTACGGCAGAGCCAGAATACTAACAGACTAGTGTAATTCATTCATCCAGGCCTGATGAAGAGACCTATTCAAAGACACTGATAGCCTTCTATGAGAAACTCTTTAGATTACCCATCCATTATCTCTGTGCATCACTACTGGATTATGTGATATGCTTCAAATAATACAGCTAACTTTGAATGGAGCACTACCATTAATCTAGCTGTTGTCTTTTCAACAGATCATGGGAATCCTTGTAAGGATTTAGTTTGCCTAAGAGTATGTACATGTATGATGATTCATTTTCTATCAAATCACCTGCATAACAAAGGTGCCAGTGCATGTCCCTGTAACCTTAAAGTCAAGGCTGTTCTTATCATTCTGAGAGACCAGTCATCACAGACATTATGCAGTGTCAGAGAATACAAGCGACAATATTCTTTACCAGACAAACTGATAGAGAGATAAATTACACAAGCATTATTTCTTTGGTGAAAATCAGTGGTGTTATCTTACCAACCAGGATTTTCTCTACTCTAATAACGGCTGTGCTGCTCTTAATTTTCTCCGACAGACGTGTGGAGGACAGACGATTGATTTGGTGTATTGTGTTGCATGAAGAAAATAAAGAAGCAGCCTTCCTGTACACTGTTCGTGTGCCCTCTCTCTTCCTCTCATTAGCGCACCACAGCATCTAGCCACTAATTTGGTGACAGGGAAATAATACAGTGCCGCTGGTGTTTGGGAGGAAATGGCAGGGTACAGGGCCCCGAGCAGCAGGGGTCGTGCCACAGATAGTCATGTTAAAGGCCAGGCAGGACACCTGGCTGTGAGCGGGCGAGGGCATCTGGGTCACATCAAGTTCAACATGGCAACTTGCATACAACTACATTCAAGTTTTAACTCTAGATTCAGTTTTTTGATTTATTTGTATATATATTTTTGAAAATGTTGATGTTTTATTTTTATTTTTCCAAGGATGAATCATCATTTTAATGTGATATTATTCAGAAAATGGCATCTGAGTGGTTAGACAGAATGTTTGCATGTTCAAAGCTATGCCAGCTTCAATCAGTGCATACTATTTTTGTGTCCTTTTGCAAGACACTTCACATCACTTAAGTATAAATATGGCTAGTGCATGGTTAAAAGATAGCCGCATCTGACCTCTGCAATCAGCCTTGAGGCAGCTGTGGCATAAAGTTAATTATATAATATGCTGTACTGTAGACTATAATGTACTGATAATATATATAATATTTATGTAGCAGTTTCAAGTAGAATTTTCTGCAGTGTTTTATTGTACAGTATGTTGCGGCATGAACCTATCCACCAAACATCTGTGCAGTCCTTTTCCAGGATGCAGACATGGTACAGATCAGGGATGACCGGTTATTGGTAATGTTGGGGGGTTTCCACCGTCTGTGTATTATTCCCACTTTTTGTTCAGTGCATCAGATTTGTCTTTTTGAACAGATTAATGAGTCAAAATATGTCTGAAAGTTTACACAATGATGCAAGAAATATTCTATCCCAGATGAATACAATGTTAATATTTTGCTTATTTGTGAATGTTACTGTAACAGTACAATTCTGAATTTATACCATTTACATTGTGCTGAATTTATAAATGTATTTTGTTCTGAGTAACTGGGATTGTGTATTATTGTGGCATTGTATTCCAAGGCAGTTTTGCTTACAGGCACAAAGTTTACCTTACCTTAGAAACAAGGCTGTGCTAAACAAAAGCAATGTTTTATTGCATACACAGCTGACTAAATTAAAGGACAATCCATGGTTTGCTTCATCATGCAGACCAGTCAAACACTGTGCACATAACCATTACATTCAAGAGGACAAAATGTTTATGCATGAAATAAATAATTCTGAAATAAATAATACAATCCAGAATTATTGGATATTTACAAAATAAAGTACACAGTACATACTTAAAATACTTAAATTACAAAACCTGAATAAACAAAATCTGTAGTACATTCGGAAAAGCAACAAAATAATACTATAAAAGTTCTACAATTCCACGACATCTGGCCGAATACATAAAACTTTTCCATGTAATGTCTATCATCCATCAGCTCTAACAGTGGCTGGAGCTACAGTAGCCTATAATGTGCTGTTGATCAAATGTCTAATACCAGTACACAGATGGTGTTGCATCATTTCACTGATTGTCCACAGTAAAAGCAAATCAATCCTATCATGAGATATTATCTGATATTTTTACCACATTTGGCACCAAAATATATGATTGTAAGTCACACACAGAGTGGTTCATCACTACTTATAGCACTGTCCTACAGCAAAATCATTGTACTCACTCAGATATGCAGATTAAGATCTAAAACAAGGAGACGATAAAGTATAATTGGTGGAAATTGTTTACGGTAAATTAAGCTATGAGAAGGATTTGCCCTAAACTCTTGAGCTAACTATAAAAATGTTTTGCCTGAAAAATAAATGTAACTATCACATCTTATCATTATTCCTCCATATTTAAATAAATCCTTGTTTTTTTCTATTTTTGTTGCAAAAAATAGATTAAATCTAACATTATTAGAATCTCCACAGCTCAGGTTGACTCCAGTCAAGTTCTCCTGTTAACATAATCCACCTCTGAAGAATACTCTTCACCGTACTGCAGTCACCCACTGCTCCACACATATTCCCTCACTGAACTAGTCTAGGTCAGAAGCACCCACAGGGAACATATTTCTCCACTGGGACAGAAAAAACTTTACCTTAAACCTCTTCCTACATGAAAGCAGCTGGCACATCCCAGATCATTCTTTAACATGAAGTGAAAAACTGAATTGTTATTGTGCAGCTCAGACTGACTGTTGTGGCTGTTTACTGCAGGAAAGACTTATTTCTACTGAAAGACCTCCACCTCAGGATCATATTTATCCTTTCCCTGCAGAGGCAACACAATAACTGCTGTAGTTGACCTCAGGTCTCTCTTGCTGACTTCAGTGTATTCATTATTCTGGTATGGTGGCTCCCTCTTGTGGCTAGAGAGGGGAGTGCACTATCTGCATAGAGTCCTGAGTAACAGTAGTTTATCTTTTATATACGTGTAATCCTTGGACATTAGAACAGTAGAAGATGCCTTTAAGCACGTGGCTCCAGCTTCACTGAGAGCTCAAAAAGAGTCTGTTGATTGTCAATGATGTGAAGAAAATCCACGTATGCTCGTACTTCTGGACTGCTTTTCTGTGTGATGCCATTTCCTAAAGTGGTACAAAAATCAGTTATGTGTCTGTGTCCATCATAACACAAAGCTGATACTTACCCATCATGTCATTTTGACACTGTCGAATGATTCTCACAGCTTCTGCGATCATGTGCTGCAGGACAGTTACACATTAGCTGCTAAAATAACAGACCTTTTCTTAGGCTATGAACATAAGACTCACCAACTTCTCAAAATTGACCAGATTATCATGAAATGTCTTGTTGCCTTCATGGATAAATGTGATATCTATAACAAACAACCATGTTATTAGTATATGTTTTTATACAGTACATATCAAGTGCCAGTATTAAGAGTACCTTTGAGTAGCAGAAGAAGAAAGGGGATCTTTGGTGCTTTCATCTTTTTAAAAGACTCTCTGTAAGCTTTGTGGTTCAGCGAGGGATCCTGTCAAGACATTTTTCAAATAAATTACTCTAATCTTATGGGAGTTGGTAAACAAGTGTCTGCATGCCTGTTCTGTTAGAGACAATACATCTGAATTATAATTTTGATTTCAAAGACATCCAGTCAATTTACTGGAACTTAGAATGAGGACAACCACTTTTGTAGTAGCCACCAAAGAACTATCTTCCTTATCTATTGTGCAGTTTTGTATTATGTTATATTGTGCATAATGTTTTTTCCACTTACTGTTGTAGTCTCCAGCTCTGAAAACAACTTTTTAAATTTCCCTGGTATTTTCTAAAATGAGACAGTAACAAATCAAAAACAGCACTGAAACGTTATATAATAAATAAATATTAAAAAGATTAACAACACAAAAATCTGTACCTCCCATGTTTGAGTGAGGCGGCTTACAGCTGCAGAATTCAGACCCATGATAATGGCAAAGAAACAGTTGAAGTTTTTCAGAGCTTTACAGCTGTAAATAGAAAAAAAAAATGTAGTTTTGCTAAGTTGCCACAAGAGGGTACCATACCATTATTTATTATTATTATATTATTATTCATCTATTTTCAAGCATTTGGTTTCCGTGGTTAATGATTGAATAAAAATATAATTACTGAGCAGCTATCTTGATGAACTTCTTGATGAGCTGCACTCGTTTGCAGAGTGTTGGACAGAGCAGCACTTCGGTCATCACCCACAACTGCACCTCATTACAGCGTTTGAGCAGAAGCTCCAGCGCCACAGTTTGGCCACTACTGGCCATGCGGCTGAAGGTGAAGTAGATCAGCTGTTGCTGTAAAAGAAAAAGAGATTTCAGCAAATAGACTCATGTGTTTGAAACACTGTTTATTCTGTAGACAAACCTCGTGAATTGAGTCAAAAAGGACCCAGTCTAAGTTTGTGAGAGCCACAGCTACGTCCCATGTGTTCAGACTGAGCATGTGTGTGGTTCTCTGCTGAAGCTCAGAGTTATCTGTAAATGGGTTCTGATGAAAAGAAATGGTTAGTGGACACATAAAATAAAAATATCACCACTATATTTACAAAGTCCATACCAGAACATCACCGAGATCTTTCCTGCACACATGTAGCCGCCCAATTGGCCGTAACGACTCAGAGAAGACTTTGTCCTGAGGCTGCAGGAGCAGTCGACCTGCACACACAAATATGACAGCTCCTATTAAACCTGTCAGGAGCAAGACTGCAGCTTTCAGCGGTTAGACCAGACTACACTGTGGGGGATGTCATCTCAGTCATTGAAAGCATACAGAATAAGACAAAAGTATGTTTTATTTGAAAGAGAAATTACAAAATGTGAATCGTACTTATATATATACAAAATGTGAATTGTACTTATATATAATATTTCACTATTGAGAAAAGCAAGTAATAAAAGTCAATGAAGAATGACCTTGAGATACAATATCCTCCTGAAGTACACTGCTAATGAATGTGCATAATAATATGATGCTGCATGTGTATATGAGGTAAATAAGGGGCAGAGTGCAGACGTAAACTTAAACACTGTTTGTCCCCACATTAACCTGCTGCTAAACAGTAGATTTGACCTTTTGTCCAAAGTCGTGGTTTGGAATAATGGTGCAATGTATTGTATTTACCTCCAGGGTAAGAGATGGCCACCAGTACCAGATCCCCCAGAGGGACATCCATCCTCTCAGCCACTGCCTGCAGCAGCTCCTGTGCCACGATGCCTCCACTGGCCCTGATGCTCAGGTAAGAATCCATGGAGATGTACACATGGCACAGCACTACAACATACACATACAGTCAATACACTTCAGCAAACTACAGCAGAATTATTGCATCTTATACTATCATGCACACACTGTTCAGTTATCAAGACATTTTGCTGTGCTGTCAGAGGAAGCAAATGTTGAGGGTGTAGTTTATCTAAATGACACCAGAAACAACCCAAATCAGTGTACTGTATCCAATTTATAAGAATATTATGTAGATGTTTAAATTGTGTAAAGTTAAATAGTAAAATAAATCATAATTATGGTCTATATAATAATGCAGGTGCTTCACATTTGGTCTCTGAACATCGACAATTTTATTTTATTACAAATAAACTGTCATTCCAATTGATAGTTTCTACCACATCTATGTCACAACTATGTCTACACAACACATGGCTCTAGTTTATACTGTTGACTTATCATAGAGTTGGCCTAAAGTGCGAAACAGCTTGAGTAAAGACATGAACAATCTCACATCTTGGGGCTGAGGTGGCCATAAGAAAGACAAATGAACGAGTGCTCTGGTGTAGCCGCTCCTCGCTAATGAGGTCAGGTGGTTAGACTGAGTGACTCATGTTAAACTGCTTTAAGTCTGCACCTTCTTATCTGAAGGAAGCTTCTGGTCTTTTAAACTCCTCTAAAGGCTGAATACCAATATATGAACAAAATATCCTGCCTTATAGAAGAATCTTGTATCTGTTGTATCTGTAGTTTAGACCTCTCCAAACATTTGAAATTAATAGGATTGTTGTTTTAGTGTATCGGCTCAGATTTCAATCTTTCCTCAAATATTAATGACCCTGGAGCACTTTATAATGTACACTCTGAATAAAATAACAATTTTTAAACATCAAAATAATCACAATAACAATACTCCCTTTAAATTGTGCAGCCTTTCTAGTGGCAACAAAACATCCAAATTCATCCTAAAAAAGGCAAAGCATCTGAGTCACGACTGAGGAATTTGTTCTTCCCCAGACTGCTCTATTCCCTGAAAGTCCTCTCCATTGTTCAGGCTGCATGTCGTAAGTTTAGTAACAGCGTATGGTGTGAAGAATGTGTGGCTCGTGTCTCAGATCACAACTCACCCTCCTTGGTCTCCCTGTATGAGGCTCTGGGCTGGACTCCATTGTCTTTGAAACTCAACTGGTGGAACACTGCTTTGCTCTGGGAGGAAAAAATTTCAATATTTCAAAACATGGTCAATATTGTAATATGTTAGCATTGTTGGTAGCGCCGCAATCCGTGGCAATGTAAACCAACCTTTCTGTGCGGAGAATAATCATCGCTTGTACTAAAACAGAAGAAACAGAATATTTTATTAGTTTATTATCAAAGTAAATGAAATGCATGCAGTTCTTTGCTCCAATCAACCCATTATTCAAGAATAGCATCTCAATAGGATTAGAGTGCTTTGTAGATTTTTAACTGTCCGGCCTGGTCCTTAGTTTAATCAGGCTATTCTCATCACTTAGGCCTGTGAAGCATGATGGATGGTCCCAGTGGTTTTCCGGGCTCTGGATCACAATAGACATGTTGGCACAAAGCCTGCCCTGGGGGATCGCTCCTCACTGTCCAACAGCAGCAGCAGTGAGCATGGACTAATGAAAAACCTGAATCTCACTGTCATCTCAAACCTTGTAATCTTTTGTAATCTAGCTGCTACTGGGCAAAGTGAGGACAAGAGCGTGCCTTTCGAAAAAAAAAAAAAAAAAAAACGTGACCCAAGATTACCTCATAAGCTTTAGAACGAAGGCATTAATAATTTCCTGGTTTATAAAAAAATGCTTTTCTTGAGCAGATTGTCACAAAGCAGTCTCCACAGTCCTCCCCCAAGATAATGGTGAAGCCTCATAAATATTAGAGCATGTCAGGTAGCAACACCCACACAACATGCTCTTGTTTAAGGAAGAGAGGGTGAGCTGGGTCCTCCTTGGATATAAACATGAATAAGGGATTGTTGTCTGCACATGTTGGTGATGGGCGGCAGGTTGTGGCCTCCCCAGGGACAGAGGAGCGGTTGGGGGCTGTGGCAGGAGAGGGAGGAGGGAGGGGGGCAGTCGGGTGTGGCAATTTGTCTGCTGACTGGGGTGGTTTGTGTAGTACGGAGGCCAGTGTGGTGCCTGGTTTTATCAAGATCAAGAAAATGAAGCCGAGTGGCACATCATCTGTCACAACAGTAACGTCCACAATACAACGAAATTACAAGTGTAGTAAGAGACAAGGTGATGTATTTTGCAGTTTGACATGCTCCCAGGACACAATAAATATTTAAATAGCTATTAACCAGTATAGTGCAGACTGCTGGTGGAGAAGCAGTTATCCTAACAAAACATTTCAGTAAATTTGAAGCACACACATAATGCATGAAAATAGGGCTGTACAAATAATTTAATCTTCATGGAAGCGTTGAATTTATTGCAGATCAGTTATTATCACTGGGCTTTTTCATTAGAAGGTCTACCAGCCAATTTGGAGTTGATTGAAGCAGAGTCTGGTCTTTAGAATTGGAATAGGAATTTGTGTTAAATTGCACTGTAGTGGAACACTTTTATTTGTTTGTTAAGATGAGGTTTTGCTAAATGCCATGAAGGGATTGTGTAATTATTTGTGTGCAATGCAGATGTGAATATGTGTAAAAACCTTTTATTCTCTTGGTCAAAGGAATATATTGAGTACTATAGTTTGTGTGAAATTGTGTTGAGATATTATCTATTTTCATTGTGCCCCTGGTGCAAGAGAAATTTCAAATCAATTTGGAGACAATAATTATCTTATATTATAAACTGTCTGTCTTATAATAAATTTGCTCAGAAGGGTGAAAAAGTATTGCAGAAGAAAATTGCCAATGTAAAATAGAATTGAATGTAAATAACTTGATAATTTTTGCCATATCACCCAGCCCTGAATAAAAAAACACAAAATCTGTAATATAATCCATGGGGAACCTTTAACTTCAAAACAAGCCTAACAGAACAGCCCCAAATGAGACTCCAGCTCCCCTTTAGATTATTAGCGGGTACTGATTCTGCTCTACTTAATAACTATCTTTTAAGATGTTTTTCATTCTTTTCTTAACATTTCAGACTTGTCTTGGTGTCCTTTCAGCCAGGCTCAGAACAGTGGAATCTTGTTGAATAGGATCATTGACAGAAGGGCTAAATAAAGCCTGCAGAATAAGGGGAGTTCTGTCTTTGTGCACTGCCATCAGCCCCTCTCTGTGTCTCTGATTCACAGTCTAAAGCTGCTTATACTATACGCGCGGTGTAGGCTCACTCACTTTCGACGATGCATCTGATAGATTTCTTGCAGTTCCCTCAAATCCTTCTCCAGAGCTGGATGTTCATACAAGTCTTCTAAAGCGTAACGGTACAAAGTCTGAAAAGGAAGTAGCAAAAGGTTAACATCTTAAACAGTGCTTCTATTTTTTGGTATACAGTTCAGAAGTGGGTAATATATTGCCTAAAATATGTTTTTTCTCGGAATGTGTCCAAAATTATAATCTCAATGAGGATATTGTCTATGATTGATAAAGTAAACAAGAGATCTTCCAAACAAGGGTATAAGGCAATAACTGCATGTTGGTGTTTAATTTAAGTGTGATATTTTAATCTTAACCAACGCATTTACAGATATGGATTATGGATTTTTAAAATATTTATATTAACATGAAACTCAACAGTCATTGTAGACTGGTGAAGTAAATTTCCCAATATTTTCCCCCATTGACTTTTAGAGTTTAAAGACACAGCAGAAGGTAACCAGCTGTAATAACTAATGTCCAGAATGCCGTTGTTTTCAGTCGAAAAAGCTCCATTGCACTGCCCTTGTTGTGTTTTGTACCTTCAGAAACACTTTGACATGCTGGTCGTCCCTCAGGAAGCTTTTGCACAGAGTCATCCACTGCAAAACCAAGTGAAGGACTTTCTGTTTCCTCTGCAGCACCTCTTTCCTGTCCTCTTTTCCTCGGTATCGCTTGGTGCAGAAGGTGAGTTTTGGTTAAGGCTTTAGATGGAGAGTTTGATACCATCTGAAAATCTGCAGGGGGTGTAAATGTGCGCCTGATAAGAAACTGTGGTGCTAATGTCGCGGGATGGTTTGTGCAACATTCACGAAGTCTACCTTTACTGGAGTGGCTGGGTTGAAAGATACGTTTTAAGTACTAACCTATAGTGACTATGTGGGCCACACTCAATAGTTCACAGTATGAACACAAAAACATATATCACCATATTTTTACACTTTACACATATTTTTTCATTCGCTCCATACTCAGTGATGTAAGCACAATTATAGCGACAGCCACCCTAGCAAGCACTGACAAGCAAGGCCAGCAATCTATCCATGGGCTCCTCAGATCACCAGCAATCACTCACTCACACATCACAATCACATTAGGCAAAGGTGGTGAAGTGTCTTGCCTCAGGACACAGGAATTACTTCTGGCCCACTTTTTAGGCATTGGAGGTGTTGAAATTACCGAGACAATGCATAGTAATATTGAAAGTGCATGCAGAATCCCATATACCATATAGAATTTGATCAAAGAATAAAATAACAACAACAGTCTACTTGCAGCAGAACAGCAAAAGTGATAATAATGCTTTCTATATGTGCATGTGATTTTGAGTTCAAAGTAATGCATAAAAAGGATATTGTCCGAGTAGAGCTTGGCACAAATCACTTGTTGACATGAAGACTGGGTACGTGAGCAAGAAGTCGTCCAGAAGGATATCTAGAAAATAATAAAAATAAACACATATGGATTCATAATTACTGTAATCTTAATATTTGTATATATTTTTACATATTTGCAGGTGTATGTTAGGAAGCAATTTGTTTCCAATTTCCCAAATGGACAGTATTTGTTTGAGACAAAGCTATCAGACAAAATATCCTCTTTGTACAGTAAAATGAATATACAGTAATGAATTGAGTCAATGGAGAAAACACTGATTCCTATTTATTATGTTTATCTTCTCATTCAGACAATAAAGACAATTTTAAGTTTCTTGGATAAATTTAAACAAGCGTAAGTCGTTAGTGGTTAGTTAGTTGTTAACAGTGAAATCTGTATCAGTGCAGATAAGCCAATAATGTAAATGTGTCACCTTACTTGATGTGACCTCTTCTTGCTCGTGGTTTCCATCCACATTACCTGGCTCTTTCTAATCTCACCATCAGCCTAATGTGTTTGAAGCAGCAATTCACCATTCAGTCCCTTGAATTACAGTATCTACCAGGTTACGTGCATGCATAAATGTTTGTGGAAAATACAGACAAAGGTTCTAGATCAGTTATTGGCAAAATGTATTGGTGTAGTATTATAAGATTATGGGTCTAAAATCACAGGCAAATCAGTTTTCATAACTGATTTAATTTTCCTTCTATAGTTTCTATATTCTATATTTTATTAAACCATAATATAATCAGTGAGCAAAAAATTTGGCACCATCTAAGAATGTGATGTTAAACCTTATCACAGCAGAGTGGCTAGGTTATATTTTAATACATCTACAAACTTTTTGCAAAAATGAATAAATGAGTTTCCTATACTACAACAAAAACATCTCAGAGTTTCCCATTACAAGAGGAGAGGAGATGGTGTAGTGATCCCCCATAGTCAGATTTTGTCCTGTTTTGTTTTGTATATAAAAGTATTAAAACATGAATCCCTTGTGTCATCATAGTCTCACTATAAACCTGTGGGAAACACTGGAATCTACATCTCAACAAGAATTATTTCCATTTCCATTAAATAAAATAGGCCTATAAATTGTAGTAATATCTTTTGAAATCCAGCAAAGCATGCTCCATGGTATTGTACATATGTCGACTAGATGATTTAATGAATAGTTTATAGTGTATTTTATGATCTGGCATACAAACTGTTTTTCACACATTGACTTCCATACGGGATGTGACACTGGAAGCCAGCAATGTACAAATCCTATTAAGGAAAACCTCTTCTGAAAGCGTCAGAGTGAGGCTCCAGAGTCTTTTGTGGTCCACAAAAATCCCTGTTACAATTATGCTAATCCATAAACAGCAGCTGTGAACTCATCACTTACTGTTCAAGCCAATTAGCACACAGCTAACATAAAGAATACAGCCGCATACTGTCAGACCAAGCTTATAAATAACAAATATTGAGCTCTTCTTCCACTACTGTTATCACATAAGATGCCGTATATGTGCACCTCCGAAGGGAGTGGTTTCTGTACATTTTATAAGGCAGAAAACACTATAAATATTTAATTTGCAACTCCTCTAGTAAAGTTAATCATTGTATTATACAGAAATAATACAACAGATAGTGACACTTTAAGATAACTATTCCCTGATTAGACTTAATAAAGCATGAGGAAAGACTAAATTCAGTATGAACAAATAGTTTATTGACAATAATTAAGACAGTTAATTTTGTAGCTATTACAAAGTGTTACGCAGTAATAACCAAAATAGATTAAAAAAAACAAAAAACAAAACTACAATACACTACTACAAAAGCTAGTGCTTGATGTAATCCACCTGGCGGCATTCTGGCACCTTGATCAAATCAAAATGTGCTTTCTCAGTAAGAGGAAGTGTATAATAGATTCATTGATTCTGCATCCATTGGCTATGAAATCCATCAACCTGCCAATCCTTCTGCATTTCAATAAGTGCTTGTAAAATTGATCCAAGCTTGTCGTTTAAATAAGCATGGCCATTTGTCATAATAAGAGGAAATCATTTATTCATTGCATGGTGAAATGCTTGCAATTAACTAATAAAATGCTGTAAAACTCATCCCTGGATGCAGGGGGCCACTCACTTTTTGCCTTTGTCACAGTGCATATTTCTTATATTTACCATTGCAGCTTTTAAACAGAATATCTACCCCTGAATTGAAATAGTAATTATTATTCCTAAACAACTTCACACTAGTCTGACTAGTTTAGTTTAGTAGTTGAATTCTTTAATGCAGCCAGTGGTTTATGGACCACTACTGTTGTAAACAAACACTACAGATTGGGCACAGACCAAAGATCAAAGGAAGCTCAGCTACGTCTACTGTAAAGCAGTCATGCCTTCGGTGTTCTTCCAAAATATGCCATCTCTAGCAGAAAATACTGCAAGCTCCTCTGCATTCCTAATGTTGCCTGCACAAATGGATGTCCAATAATGATCCTATGAAATTATCTTGTGGATGAGTACTGCATAAAGACATGCCAGTCACGCTGCACTAACCTTACCTACAACTACTTCCGGTGAATTCAACAATCTGTCATGGTTATCCCGTTGTTAAGCCTCCAAGGGCACCCTGGACTGGTGTTCAGAGTGTCAGTATTCAGGCAGCGCTCCAAGGCCACAGGGAGACACACAATTAAACAGAGCTGAGTTTAGATCAATGGGTGCTGGGACTTTGTCCTGGTCTGGTCTCTGCTCTTTGACCTGGTACATCGCTCAGCCTCATGCTCTTCTGTGCTCCCTATGGAGACTCACTGTTAATGGAGTCAGACCAAGGTGATCTAATGGGGAATGATCCATCAACCAGCCATACCTACAAAGCTCACAGGCAATTAGCAGAGCAGTGAATGCAAAGATGAACTTTATTAAGTTGAAGGTATTGGTTATTTGCCATACCTACCCCCTGGTATAGCTTCTTGAATGTTTTTCTTTTGGCAGTTTTATTTCAAGTCTCTCACAAGTAATCGGCAATCAATCCAGCAGCAATTTGTATTTTGCATATGTTTTATGTTGCCCTTCTTAAAGGCACCAGCTCTCAATAAAAAAATGTTTTTCTTGGTGGATTGATTTTTACATACCTTCAGTGTATTTAATGCCTGTAAATTAGACTGCAACATCTTGAAAATTCTGTTCATTTTACATGAATTGTAATAATAATCATAATTATAATTTAATAATAATAAAATTATAATTACTACACACTACACTATATAATAAATTTGTCATATTTGCTACAGTCACCAACATAATAGGAGTACAAATAATATACAATTCGTGGTACATCTCCAGAGAGCCCATTCAGATCAATTTGGTGCTGTCGCTCATCAGCATGAGTAATCATCTGTAGAGGGCTTAGCGTGGCTCCATCCTGATGAACGATCAGCTGTCACCAGCTCTATTTTCTTGACAAACCTCAGGTCTCACCTTGTCTCCCTCACTGCTTTCTTTTCATTTCAGTCATTCCATTTCTCTCTGTCTTTTGTCTTACTGTGCCTCGCTCTCAATCATCATTCCCCATAAAGACAGCTCCAGCATGAGCCACAAACAAGCTCCTTTTGCCTTGGCAACAGTGTCACATTTCCATGAACCTGCTGGGAAGAAGGGATGTGTTGATTTGTTTTTGCTATATACTGGACTTGTTTCAAAGCTATTTGCACCAATAACCATAAAACCAATTCTTGTAAAGGAGCATGGCTCAAATCATTTGGGAATTGGCTGTAGATGATTAACCCAGTAAGAAGGGGAGGGGTGTCTGCCCTGCTGTCCCTATTATCCCAGCATGAGGAGGGGGAAGTGAAAGCTACATAGAAAGTCAAGCAACGTACTTTTAGTAGCCAAGAGTCCTGGGTTCATTGCTTTTTAAGTTGAACATAAAAGTAGTGTTACTTCTATTGCTGAAATCAAACATCATACCTGAAGAGTAAAACAAAAGTAAACATAGTTTATACTGACCTTCTCCCTGTGTGTTCCCCTGCTCGTCCTCCACTCTCCGCTCGTTTAACAGATGCTCCAGGATCTTCTCAGGGGTTCCTGACACCACCACATACCTGTCAGACAGAGCAGAGTCAGTGGAGGAGTCCTCCTCGATAGAGGACAGAGAGCGGCTGCTCCAGTCCTCCTCTCCCTCTGTCCCTTCATCATCTATGTAGCGAAAGTATGGGACATCAAAGGTGGGCAAGGTGAGGGGCTCCATACGACTTATACTGTCACTAGTGCAGCTCAGCTCTGAGCCCTCATCTTCATCTTCATCATCCTCCTGCTCCACCAGCGCGGCGTGCAGAAGCCTTCCCTCCTCCTCCAGCAGACTGTGGGGCTGAGCTCGAGAGCCCATCCTCGCAGAGTCCTGGTGCCCTCACACCGCCTCTGTCCCTGGAGTTACTAATGCATTCCCCTTGTATCAGTCTGTCCATCCATCGACTGCTCCCAACAGTGTCCAGTGCTGCCTCAGACGGCGGGGGATTGGCTGTCTTCACGCTTCAGAGCTCCTGGATGTGCAGGAGGCAGCAGCAGCACTCTGCTCACAGTCCCATGCTGCTCACTTCTATGTGTTCTATGCCAATTATGTGTAGAGTGTAGTGATGTAAGCATGCCAGAGACCACGGCTGACAGTGAGACAGGAGGGAGTGGGCTTACCTCTCCTCCACAGTGGCCCCTCCCCTCACAGATCCTCTGAGAGCCTGGAGCACAAGCACATCGCGGCCGCAGTCGCTCACACTCACACGGACTGCCTCGTCACTGTGGGGCTGAAACACAGAGGAGGAGGAGAGCTGTTATCACCGAGGAGATTCCCCTGTATTTCCTCCCACACAACCTCCACTCATTTCCATAATAATGCTCTGTTTAAGCCGCCTCTGTTGATGAAAGAAAACTTCGATATGCCTTTATTCAGTGCTTATCGGTGGTCCCCATTCATAGATTAACAAGACTCATACATATTTTAATTATACTAATGTAGTGAGTAGGTTCATTGTGATTCGGATTGTGAAATGGCACACTCCACTCAAAGCTAATATTTTAGAATGAAAACATGCCTGAGTATGACATGTTTGTTTCTATACTGTTTATGCGGTTGAGACCAGTGGTAAAGGACAAAACCATTCAGGATTATTATGTAAGAGGTTGTAATAGTATATTTTTGATGACAGTAGTATTTGGGTGGAAACAAAGATGCTGTTTGTTGCTTGACAAAGGAGGGTCTGGCAGGGATAATAGCCCTAATGAGGATCTGACCATGTGGTGCACGCATCCTGCTTCCCCCCTTTACCTCTCCTTCACAGACCACTCAAAGCACCGACAGTCTCTGTGCATGGTTATTTTTACATTGTTTTCTTTGACTAATAAACACCTAGAGCACTTCATTTTAGAATTCCAATCACAGACTATAGTTCTTGTGTTAACTATAACATAAGTATGGGCAGTAAATGCTTATTGTCTATATAACATGTTTCTTTTATAGACAACAATATTGAACACATTTGAGCTTGGACTCTGTCAGAATATGAACATTACACAGATGAGCAGTCGCGCCTCCAAACAGCAGGGATCAAACCCAGACAGGACCATTAATGGAAATGTTTGCAGCAGGCCTCTTCCTTGATGTGGTTTATCAGTCTGTACAATGTAATGGGAAAATCAATGGTGTTTTATATCTTTAGCAGTCTTCTATATTCAGGGAAGGCATAGACTAAATCAGAGCATTGCAGGAGAAAGGGATTGGCTTTCACATAGTTCTCAGTAAATATACCAATGTTGTAAATGTTTAAAATGTAAAACAGTAATCTCATACAAGTGAAATTACGCCTTTCTTTTGCTGTGACAGTGTTACAGTATCCACTGGGGATCCTCCCACTTACACTGAGGTATTCTGAGTGAGGTCCACTAGAAGCCTCATTTTTTCTTAATTCAAGGCAAGTCACTGTAGGTGAATAGGCACAAATCTTACATTTAGAGAAATCATTCACACGCCTGATCTCTAATTTTCACACATAAATAAGGCCAAAATTTCACATAGAAATCTGAGAAATGGGTAGAGCCAAGTTTAAATATTTTCCTTCATTTTGTTGACAAATATTTACAGAGGGGATTTTGGCTATAGTATCTGAATAAACTACTGTAGATTTGACTAGAAATTCTCATTTACTTAAAATTCCAACAAAAATCAGTCTTAAAATGATCTATATACATATCCTTCTGCATGATCCATTAAAATCTTTGAAATGACTAGAAGATTGGAAATTTTGGTGGATGTAAGTGCTTTTTTAAGGTCTGGTGATTGTGCCCGTGTGAGAAGGGTACACTTTGAGATGGCAAACTTTGAAATTACAATGTTCCACATAAATCTATAGATGTTGATTACATGAAATAATCAAACACTGATGGAACAATACACACTACAGTGTGAAAAGATTGTGTTTAAAGTATATTTTGCAAACTGACTAGTGTTTTTATTAAAAACACACACACACAAAAGGATAATGAAAAAAATGCTTTTGCTTGTGGTGCTTTAGCAGAGGAAGCACAATTCATATTCACTTTCATTATTGCATAATTTCCATAACCTCAGTATGGCTCATCCATTTCACATGTGTATGTTCATTGTATATTAAACAACTCTACTTCCTCCAGCTGGGATTTCGCAAATTCCTCGAAGCTCTTTGATGTCTTCTATATTTATATACATCATGTAAAGTGTGCATTGTACTGTACTGTATGAATTCTGGATTATGTTTTAGATTAAAACATGCTATAAACTGAAAATGCTCTCAGATAATCTCAGATAATCTTTATTTCTAGCTGCACATTAAACTCAAGGTCGTAATATCCGGCCATTAGGATTACCCATGATATGTTTTTGAATTTCAGATACTCTGTACACGCATCTGCATAGAAATTGCACTAATATAGTTTCACTTTCTACTTCTAAATGTTTCGAATAGACAGGATGGAGAATAGCACAAATTTTTCAATAAGCAGCCAAAAGGTGTCTGCAGTTCAGAGGATAGGTCAAAGCCCTACTGTACTGGAATCCACCCTCTGCTCTCACATACAATGGCATGAGGTTTGGCCCAGTTCTTCTACGTCAAGTTTTCCTGCCTTTGTCGACTGCTGTTGCTTATAAACGCAGCTGGCAGGAAAGGAAAAGTCCAGAAGGTCAGCCAATCAGACGCTTAGTTTAGAGCACAATGACAGGTGTGATGTTTCAAAATGAAGGAAAGGCGCAATCAGGGAGGGATGGGCTCACAGTTTGTCCTGGCACTGTTCCTAAGATAAGTTTAACATCATTATTGTCCTTAAGAGAATGTGTTCTTATGCCACTTGACATGAGCTTTGTCCAGAAACACAGGACATCTACAATACACAAAGAGCTCTGACTTGTAACCAGCCTCATGGATTCTACCAGCAAATGATTTTAATGCACAAAGTAAAATACTATGCCAATTGAATTAACACATCATTCTAGTTTGCCGTATTTTCCGGACTATGGAGGGCACCTGAATATAAGGTGCATCAACAAAATTTTAATAAAATTTTAAAATTGTACATATACAGGCCACACCTGAATATAAGCCGCAGGTGTCGACATCTTCAAGAACGTTATAAAGTTTGCGCCATCTGCTTTTATTGCCTCTGAAAGCTTTTGTCGTCTTTTTGCATTAAGTCAGTTTGTCACGCTGCCATTGCCAGAATCTCACCATCGACATTGGTGGCATTTTCTGCACTCAGGCTGTGCATATCCACTGTGTTGCCAAACTATAGACCATATGACAATGTGCCAAACAAAGAATCCATCCATATATTAGCCACATCGTTTTATTATCTGCAGGGTTCAAAGAATGAGAAAAAAGTAGCGGCTTGTAGTCTGGAACTTACGGTAGACTGCGTTCACACCACATCCTACCTTGATCTAAACCTCAACATGGTCAGACCTATACCAGGACTAAAATAGGACCAATTCAAGTAGACATCAGCACTAAACGCATCTCATAGACATCCATCTTCATGAACAATTGCTGGTTTGGGTTTACACCATTATTTTGTAAAGCGGATTGCCAGCAGTATTTTCAGTAATTCCCAGACACCATATAAGACTTTAGGTCTAACATATACCAGTATACTACATACACCATACTATTTTAATGATGTATGATTTTTGACACTTTACTATTTCTGAATAGATTAATTCTGCAGTCCCTGTGATGTAACAACATTGACATGCAACATCAAAACTTTGTCGCTTGATTTTCTCCATGGAGATGTTATTGTTTTGTCTGGAATGTTCTTCACAGTGAGTAGGATATTAAATATATCTATTTCCATAGAGAGAAACGAGTGGCACCTCCAGGCCAAGTTACAGGTCATAGTAACGTTCCATCTTTCTTGAGGTATTTTTCAGTAATGAACATGCAAGAAAAAACACCTCCGTGGTGACAAGCAGTTGGTGAAACACTCATCCAGAAAAGTTACATATAGTTCACCTTTAGGTTGTATAAGAACAGTAACTATTGTGACTAACCTCTTTTATTTTCTCGGGGCCCTTTCCGTGGATTTGGAAAAGGCGGCATCCGTCTTTGGCCAGTCTGTGAACCATTTCCAGTCTAGACAGGTCCTCTTTACATTGCATGATGCACCTGCTGCCGGGGTGCAAGGCAGGAGGAGGACCAAACATGTACCTCAGTCCACAGTCCCACATCACTGTCTGTTTGGCTGGGTCTTGCTTTTCATCCTGTAAAACAACATACAAATGGTAAACCTTGCACTGTACCAGAAGTCAATGTGACAATTATTAACAACAAGAATCTCATAAAATAATCAACATACTCACCATTTTTTCCTTTTATGCTATGAACTACAATGTCCTTATGCTGTCCAGAATTGGTAGAACAGTGTGCTGTGCTTCAGTGAGTGACTTGACTTGTTCCTTGCCTTTCTTAACCGCCAGGATGGGAGTGAGTTAGGTGGGTTCAGGAAACATCTGGAGTACAGGACAGTCCCAAAAAGGAAGTTTCGAAATCCTGTGCGGACAGGAGAAAGGGCACAGTACAATGGGTGGTCCTGCAGTTTGGTAAAAGTGTTAAGTCTTAGAAACACTGACAAGCCTCACTGTTTAAGCATAGCTAAGACCAGTCTGTGGATGGGAGTTCACTCAAGTCCTATTGTACCCTTATGTCTTCTGGACTCAGTCAGAGTGTGGGTGGCTTGTTTCTAGAGCATAACAATGTCATATTCGCAGATGAGGGCTAGGGCTATTTTCCCACATAGACTACATTGTATTTAAAGGAATATCTAAAAGGAACATCTTCCCATGTTAAACATAATAAAAGCAATTTACCTGCACCCCCATTTCTTTTAAATTGTGTTGAGTGTTGGTCCAATGAGGTTAATTTGGTTTTCCGATAATTTATGTTTTTAGGTTATTTTCTCAGACCAAGAGTTTGTTTTCATACCTGACAGTTTCAACTGCTCGCTAGCAGTCTTCCTCAGAGTGGTCACGTGATGTTTCTGTGACGTGACCGGTCTGCTGATTTGTACAGGTTTTGGTGCGGTCTTCCTACCTGAGGAGGCAGGATGACAGCGCCATCTGCAGTCCGACTTCCTCAGAACAGTATCCCAGGTGTGTGAGAGTGAAAAAGCCCCCTCATCCTGGTTTATAATCCCATGGGCAAACAACATGTGTTGAGTGTTGTAATGGTACTTACCTAATCTCTATGACCACTGATACAGTGCAGTGTGTATGTACAAGGAGATCAGTGGTCTTATGTTTTATTGTTGCAGCCTTTGCTTCATTGTCTGCATTGTGATGGTCCAGTGAGTCACTGAAAACTATTCTATGGCACAGAGACTTTAAACTGCTGATACAGCAGCAGAGTGTAGAAAGAGCAAAGATCTGTCTTCATGAGCAGCTTCTCTTGGCAAGATTAAAACACTGCAATACTCCTCTATTGTTTTTCAGGGTTCGGCTCATATGTTGGGAAAAGTATAAGGTCCTTAATAATGCAAAATAATTATAACCCTTTCTTGTAGTTCCGCAGAGCACCACTTAGTACAAAAAGCTTTAACAGTTTTTCCACTGACCTACTTTTAACTAAATGAATTGCAAAGTGAAAATGCCTAAAGTCAGGTTTTCCAGTGCTGGTGTCTTTGAGGACTATGACAAATGCCAAGGGAATTTACACAGTTACAGTTCTGCCTGTGGCACCAGTGATGAAACTTTACATGGTTTCTTACAGTAACCTGAAACAACCCAGATATCATCTAATGCAGTGTTTCTGTAAAATGTGTCTTACCACCAGTAACTATTATAGCATAATGTGTATGGGCCTAACATAGGCTTCTCGTCAATGTGCATTAAAAATGCATTGAGAAAATGTGGCGGGAATCTTCTGGACTTTGCAACGTTAGGCAAGCGAAGCATTAACAACTCATTGTTATAATGCTAACCCTGGTTTCAAGATGAATTAATAATTTGAAATAGGCTAATATTATAAATTCACATAGTTAACTCTATCAAATATCGGTGATTTTGACACCACCTGGAGTCTCAACAATCACGATGAGCGCGTGCGTGGGCGTAACCTCACTATAGCATCCGAAGATCAACAGGACGCACCAGGGTGTTGTGCTTTTAGCTATGTGTGAGCTCATGAGCTCAGCTAGTCTTCAAGTTAGAATACCTTATCGACACGAAATGTGTAAGAACGGGTGTTTTTTGAAGACTTACTGATGGGCAGTATCGTGACTGGTGAGTCTGTTGTCCTCTTTATGTAGGCTATTATGTCTTATGAAATTTGAGCAAAGCTGACAAACCATGTGACAAACTTGCAAACTTGTAATATTTCTTTAATATTAGTATCAAAATCTAATTCCGCTGCTGCCACGGCACTGCTTTTATTTGTGTGTCGTGGTTGGGCACGTGGCAATGTGGCTCAAATAGGACCTCTACTGGACCATTTATGTATTACAGCCATTTGGTTCTTAAAACCAGTCCAGTTCATGTGTAGTGAAAAATGTAACAGGACTTATTTCATTCAAGACAATGGTTTGTGTTATGAATGATCTATTTTATTTTTCACAGACAATCTAGTACAAAAGTAACAAGATATTGGTTAAAATGGAAAAGGCCCTTGTTATTCTTATGAAGCTGTTCACTGGTTGAGGTAAGCTTTTTAACCCAACAAAAGTACAGAAAAAGTGGTACTGCGGTTAGAGGAATACCATACAATACATGTAGCAACTCTGAAAATACAACTAGAAAGTCATCAAAACCACTACTAGCACTCTAAAAGTGAATGAAAATAATTTAATTTAATTCAGATATTAATAGAAGTAAACTAGGATGTATGCTCTCTGTGTTGTTTCTATAAAGACATTTAGCAAAATGTTTGATTCATCCACACAGAAACAAACCAGGGGAACACTTTCACTCATGTCCATTAAAGAGAGCTGAAGAATGTAACAATCTTTTGTCAAGTTCCCTTTATGTTCCTTTAGGACATCCTGGAATATTTCCAAGTGGACGGATCAGTAACATCTATGTTGTCTTCACAAAACAATAGTTTGAACTGAAAGTTCTTTGTATCTTCTTTGGTTTAGACACCAACATCCACATTTGTAGGTTGCTTCAGTTTGCCCTATCTGCCCTGTTGTGCCCCTTAGTAGCATGGCTTGCCCAGAAGGAGAGGCTATCCCGCTCTTCTTTACCTGAGTTATAAACAGCTGAGTTGGGACAGACACTAGCTGAGATGTGCTTAAATGAATGACTATGTCACGAGTGGATATTAAAAGACCTGGAATAAGACATTCATTTCACAGGCGTTAAGTGTAGTCAGTGCAGATAGTCCTATATGTCTACATGTGTGACACACATACACTGTGATTTTTATGTGTCTAATCTGTGTTTTCTCTTGGTTTTGTGAGCGTACATGAAGTACATAGTATGTCCCGTGGCAATGAATAACACAGAAATGATGACTAGGTATCCAAAGTGCTGCGGCTGTGGAGCAGAGATGACCATGATGAAGTGAAGCAGATCCATTAAGTAATTCATGGAGCTTTGGACCCCATTGACCACCCCACGCTCAGACTCTGAGATGTTCTCCTGCAGCAGCTGTGTCACTGTCAGGTCAAACGACCACAGACCTGAAATATACACACATCTGTGGCTTACTGGTGTCTTACCATTTAATTCACCAATAGTCAACAACGCTTTCTGTTTGACTTACCTATACGTGCTGTAATGACGCCTAGAAAGAGCAAAATAATGGAGATGTATGACTCTGGTTCAGTGCCGGTGGGAACATTGTCGAAGAGCACAGTGTTGTTGGTCCAGTGAATGGAGGACCGGTCCGGTAACAGCGGCTGGTTAGCTCCTCCCCTCAGTGGATATGTGTGTTTTTGACTCTGGCTTGTCATTCCTCCTAGCTCAGAGGAGTTGGAGTCAGTGAATGGCCTCAGAAGGCTTGTGTCCATAGGGCTGCCTGGAGCAAAAACAGAGCTGACACAGAGCAACAAGCAGCCCAGGTGCAGGCAGCTGGAGATGATCCCTGTGTTGACCAGTCCAAAGGACTTCCTCAGTCTGGTGAACAGCACAGTTCCCATGAGCCCGGTGATTGCTGACACGCCCATCAGAATACTGAGCAGGGAGCCACTTATGCCCTGAGTGTAGGCATAGCCTGTAGTGATGCAGTCAAAGCCCAGTACTGTCGTGTAGAGGAAAGCCAAGCCCATACCAGCCAGGAACACAGGCTGGCGGTAGTAGGACCTCCAGCCATCCTTACAGGTGCTCACAAGGCACTGCAGTCTGCGGAAACCCAAAGAAAACTCTCTGGTATGTTTCAGACCAGTGTTACTAGGCTCCTCTGTTGGAAGTGGAGGTAAAGTCCCATTTTCTTGAGCTGATGAAAAAAACAACAGAAAGTAATTTAAACTTTATCCCATTACTACTGCAACAATGGTATTTAAAAGAAAATACATTTTAGCTTGTTAGCTTTATAAGCAGTAACTGACAATATTTGTAAAATGATTTGCTTTACTTGCCTTGTGACCTTCTGTCTCTGCTCTGCAGATAAGCCATATCTACCTCCTCAGCCGGTGGTTTGACTGAAAGTGCTGGCACGATTCGATACACTCTTGATAGGAAGAAAAATTCCACAATGAGAGACACCAAGTTCCAGCCCAGGATGAAGCCACAGCCCACCACATTAGAAGCCAGGGTCATGACCTGCCCCACTGCCAGAGGGGCCAGGATGTTGGTCACCTGATCAATCCTCCTCATGGTGGCATTCATCCCTGTTTCAAAATGATAGGAGTAGGTTAGTGTGTCTTTTTCATGCATACAGTGTTTTGAAGCATATTTTCAGAACATGCACATCTGCAGCCAAAAACGCTGTTGTTTCTCTCACCAGCTAAGTGGCCGCGGTTGTACCCTGTGATTACAACAATCCAGTCCCTCTGAATGGCAATGGTCAGTGCGGTGCTCGCAAGATTTGCCACATCTGCCAGGACGATCACCACCGTGTAACAAACCACCTTGTGTAAGTTTTGTGATGCAACAGGTTACTATGACAGCACAGAGTAGCCACAAACTCAGAGGCATCAGGACCACCCAACATATAGAAAAGCAGAAGTAGTCCATCATAGAAGACAGAATATTCAAAAGGTTTCAAGTCAATTATGCCACATGTTAAGAGTCTACTCACAGTGAGCCATCCATCCCAGATCTTCTCAATCCAATTCTTGTAGGAGAACACCAACATGAGAACAATACTACAGATGGTCACAGAGATGTTCTGGATAAAGAGGGATGCATGTGCAACTGAAATGAAAAGAAAGAAAAAGCCTTAAGATATACATAAAACAAAGGTGAGAATTAGGTGCTTGCCTTTATTCCTGGGGTTGCGGTCGACCCAGTCACCGATCAGAGCACCAAGTAGAAGCACTGATCCAGCCAGCACCAGTCCAAACACTGCAGTCAGGAGCAGGTTTCGGCCATACAGCTCAATCAGAAACACTGAGATTGCAAAGTGCCACATGCGATCACCCTGTGTCACACATTCGATGTGTTTGAAATCTGAACACTGGTCAAATTAGCTCATAATAGCCAAGGGTGTGCATAAAACAACCTTACCCACATAGATAGTGCTCCACTGACATAGATGAGAAATTTAGGGCCTTTGAGGTAAATAAGAGCGGAACCTTCAAGAAAAATAAACATTTAGCCTGTGTTATAAAATACAAATACATTTGTATTCATAGTAGCATCACCTGATATACTGTTGGCTTTTTTTTCTCGTTTTGATTGATCATTTTCAAACTCCATTTCACCCCCTCTGCATGCAGATTCCTCTGCTCGGTGTGACATTGCTTTCTAGAGAATTACAAACACAATTCAGCCTTATAACAGGCATGAATTATTGGATATTTAAAGTAAGCTTTGTCCGCCATTGACTGGGAATATGATGCAACATTAGTTGTGTACAGTAACAGCACTGTTGAAATTCACAAGTATAAAGACAGGCTAGTCTTACCTTTGTGCTGATATTTTAATCAAACCGTTTGCCTTTACTCTGTATATCCATGTATCCTAGTTTGGGATGTTGCTGTTTCCTAAAGGCTGGAATTCAAGCAATAGTAGCTTGAAAGGCTTAATAGCATCACAGTGTTGAGGTGCACCATTGTATGAAAACGCCAGAAAAGCAGAACATGCAGCAGGAAAACAAAGGCAGCCAGCATATTCCAAAGCACGTGATCCTGGACAGACAATATCCGCGTTCACTCGCGCCACAAAAAGCACAACTGTGTAACTGGTATGACTCAAAATATACACAACATAACACATGGGTAGGGAGGCTACACTGACCCTCATCAAGGGGGTCAGGCTGCTGCTCTCTGCTGCTCATTAACCAATGCACTTCCATATACAAACTTTGAATATTGCACAAGTCACAAACCTCACGAATAAATCCACTTACCTCTATATTTATTTTTATGATACACTGGAGTAAAATCACATACAATTCAGTGCAATATGTCAAGTTACAAGTTGATTTAGCACAGTACTGTCTGTCTATACTATTTTAAATTTCAAAATAGCTTTAGTGCCTGTTTTGAATATACGTCTTCAGATAAATACTACTTTTGTACAGTGCCACAAGAGGAATGGACACAACAGGGAGCACAGATAGGAGTATGCAAATAGCAGCAACCCATTCTGAATAATGAAGATCTTCAGCCATGGGGAAGTGAACCTGCAACCCAAGGTGAGAGTCAGTTGACTTGTTTAGCAGTTGTAGAGTTCTTGATTAAACTTACATAATCTGGATTCCAGGCTTGATATGCAAGTGTAGTTTCTGATTCCACAAAAACATATGCCAGAAAAACAATTAGAAGCATGAGGGGGCTAATGACGCACCAGCATATTTGCCACAGCAGGTTTGGTCTTTTGCCTGTCATCCACTCAATGTCTGCGATAAACCTATGGATACATGGACACACACATAACACTGTATTATATATATTTTTGATATTAAAAGGTGTATTATGCAACTTTTCTTGTGGACGCTACACTACCTACTTGTCTCTATGGAGGAGTTATAGCTTTGCCTGGACTGTTCCACAGAATTAAACTTGTCTTATCTCATGATTTGTCTATATTACTTCTTCTATATTATTAAATTTTCACCTTTTTATGCCGTAGATATAGGCCACACTAATCATCTCAAAGAAGGCTATAATGAGCAGTGGCAGTGACCCGACATAGCTGTTGAAAATCTCCAGCCAGTAATTTCCAGATCCTAAGGTGAATATTAGCCCCACACCAAATGAAATGAGACAAATTAAGCCTGTAGATACAAAATAATAATTAGACAATATATAATTTTAATCCTTAAAATATTCGGTCTAACTAAGCAGGTAAAAAAAATGTATTTGTTCTTATACCTGTTAAAAGCTCTTTTGGGATCCATGGTGGTGTCACATGAAGGTCCAGCAAAGGCGTGAGGACTCCCTCTAGATTCCCGAACATGGAGGAGAGACCGAGCATAAACAGCATCACGAAGAAGAGCACGGCCCAGACTTGGGACCCTGGCATTTTGATCACCGCTTCAGTGAACACTATAAAGGCGAGTCCTGTCCCCGATGCACTCTGAAGGTAGTAATGGTAATAATAATAATGTAATTTAGTACAATATTATATCACCTCTCAGATGTCTTACCTGACTAAGAAAAGTTTGTAAGTCACAGGTTTTCAGGTGAAGGCTTTCCACCATAGAGGGATCAGTGAAGTTTAAATGTTCTAACCATTCGTCATAGTTTTGTCGAGTTATGTTTTCATCACCAATATTAAAGGCATTGGTCAGTGTAAGTATGTTACTAAATAAAAACAAATGAACCATAATTTAAATCCACCCATACTGATCTAGTATATACTATATTATTATAATCACTATGTAGGACTATTGAAGTGTATGTTTGAATACCTGTTTTGACAGTTAATATAATTTTCATTTGCCAAAAATCCGAGAATTGAAAAAATTGGAATTGATGCATATAAAGAGGTGAAGCTGTTGACACATCCAACAATCAAGGCATCGCTTTCACAGTTGTTCCTATAAAAGATGAATTGATATTATAGCTTATCGTAACAAATATTATGTTAATGCTTTTCATGTCTCTTACTTTTGTGGATTATAGCTGGAAAAAGCAATAAGTCCTCCAAATGCCAAAGATAGTGAAAAAAATATTTGAGTAGCTGCATCCAGCCAGACTTGAGGATTTTTCAGTGTTTCCCACTGTAATTGTTAAATATTATCTTTAGCCCCTCATAATCCCTTTCTTCTTAGTGATAACAGAGTGAGCTAAAACAACTTACATTTGGAGTGAATAGGTATTTTAAGCCATCAGCTGCCCCAGGTAGAGTTAAGGACTGAATTAAGAAAATGGTTAAAACGAGGTATGGAAATGCGACTGTGACATAAATGGCCTTTCCAATGGTTTCGATTCCTCTGATAAAACAAATATACACGAGGCACCAGGCTGAGGCCAAACACAGCACCAACCACCACTGCAAACCCCCATTCATCTCAATGTTTGGTGTGATGTTCAATGTCTCCCGGTACCAGAAGTAGTTCACCGGAGAGCTCTCCTCACACTCCGGTATATAGGCTGCATTAGAGTTTCATATTATATTAAAAGATAGGTATTAAGTTGGTATAGGTATTAACAATATAAGATTGTTTGGTACCACTTTATAACAACTACACCTTCAAGGCATGAATAAAGACTTAATAAGGCGAGGCACCGCAGGGGAAGAAAAAAAAAATCTTAATTTTAGTCATATCAATTTGATACTTGAAAAAAAATATTGTACAGGTTTCCCACGATATACTGTAATGTTGGTAAAGCATTTCATGTGCGTTGGGACATTCACAACAAAAACATGAAATGAGCCAGGTTTAAACGTCTTGCTTCTTTTTGTTGACATATTAGATTCTAAAAAATTAAGTATTTTATTAAACTAGATCTGACTGAAAATGTGCCTAAAAATTATACTTTTGTCTAATTTTTTGGAGTTAAAACTGTAATAAATCAGACTTTGACTTAGATATTTAAAAAAAAACAACAACTCCAATGTCCTATATAACTCTGTAGAGGTAAGTTGATTAAATTAAATATTAAAACATCTTTCAGTGCAGAGTGTATGATTTTGTTGAAAGCGTATATGTTAAGAGACCAAACTGACCAAAAAAACAAAACAAAATTAAAATTTGTTTTGCCTACAGTGTCTCCCCCTCATAATGAATAGCTTAGTACTTAACTAAAGGGTAGGAGTTAGGGTATTAAAGTTACTAAGCCTGAATCATTCTTTTATTCTAACTGCTAATTAGGAATGAAGTATTTGTTCATGCTTTATTAAGACTATTGGAAGTGTAGTTATTATAAAATATAACCAATTTCTTAGTATGTAACCTACCTGTGTCGTTGTTGTTCAATGGGCAGTAAGTCCAAGGAAGGGGATTTTGGAATGAGTGGAAAAAGTACCAGAGTATCCAAGCAAGAATCATGTTGTAAAATAGGCCCACCAGAAATGATACCAATAAGGAAGTTACACCTTTGTATACACAAAAAAGACAAATATATAAGAATTTAAATTTAATGTATGTATTTGTTTATTTATTTACCTAAGCCTCCCATATATGGTGAAATGGAGATCCACACTCCAACACTTCCTGTTCGGAGTCGCTGACCAATGGCCAGTTCTAAGTACAGCAAAGGGAGCCCTTCAAACACCAGAGCGATGGCATAAGGGATAAGAAAGGCTCCTACGAAAAACATGACAACAGTATGACTTAACCTTGACAAAAAAAAGAAGAAATAAAAAAGTAATTCAGTATAGCCAATAGCATTTTACTTACACTTTAACATGATATAACATGTCTTACTTCATAACACAGATATATGTATATTTTATAAGCAGTTTTATAAGCATTTTTGTATGGATTCTTGTACTTGTTATGTAAACATGAATTTAGTTAATTATCTTTCAGATTACATATTTTTTTGGGTATAAATAAGCATATTCTTACCTCCTCCATAGACTTGGCACAAATATGGAAATCTCCAGACATTACCGAGACCCACAGCAAATCCGATACAAGTCAGCAAATACTGCACCTTATTGTCCCATTTTGGCCTCTCTGAGTCTTTATCTTCTGCAACCACAATCTGATCAGCAGATTCATTTTCAATATCCATTTTTTAGTTTTTAATGCCTGGACTTTTAAAATTCTTGACCTCCTTCCTCTGTCTGAAGCAAAACTAATTCTCACTGTGACCATCTGTGGGAAAATCTTTTGAGTGAGTTGCTGCTGTATGCTTTTGATAAGAAATGGCAAACAAATAGCAATAATGGCTCTTAAGACTGTATTAAAAACTAACTAGATCTAAGGTAATGTAAGGTACACTTTATTGTCCCGTAGGGAATTTGTCCTGTATATTTAATTTACATTTTAATGCCTCTGGGGCATCTCCTCTGGAGCAGTGGTCACATAGTCCTGAAACCCACCCAGACACAGAGAGAAACATGCAAACTCTGCACAGAAAGGGTCAGGATTGAACTCGGAACCTTCTTGAGTGCCTTGCCACTCAGCCACTGTGCACTAACATAATCACAAAAAAAATCTTCTAACATAGTCATGAACTATTTACTCTTGTATTTTAAAATGAAAAGTGAAATTAGCAGAAATAAGTAAAATATGTCATATACATTTAACACATAATCATTGGAATTAAATAATACAACAAATAAACAGTGAGATTGCTTTAAGCAATATTTCAGTGAGACAGTTCCACTTCTGAATAAAAAAAGCACAGAATGAGACTAGAACAATTATTTACTACTCTGGGGAGTTAATAATATTTAAAGTATAAAATTATACATAATTTGTCCAAATATAACATAATGATATTTTTATATAAATAAAACATCTTATTTTTCACTCATGGTTGATGTAGAGTTTAGAGAAAAACTGTTGAGATGTAACTTCTCTTGTTTCCTTGATTTGCAGCATTTTAAAACAGCTGCAAAAGGAATTGCAAGGCACGGTATCCCCGCCAGTATGAAAATGATGACATAGATCCATGATGGGTAAGTCTTTTCTACCAGTGTTGGGAATTTGTCCTATGTACAAAAATGAATAATACATATTATAAACATTTACAATGTTATCTAATACAGAGGAATCTGAAAATATTTTACCGATTCAGGGTCCCATGTTTTGTAGAGAAGCTTCTCTGAAACTTTTGTGACAAAGTAAAACACCAGGATTAAGAACATAATAACTGGGCTGATAAATCTCCAAGATATTTGCCAGAAGAAGTTGGGTTTGTGCCCGATCATAAACTTGATATCATCATTAAACCTAGTAAAGAACAACGTAACATATGTTCAATTATGTGATGGTATTAGTCATTGGCAGATGTGTGCTTACAGTTTTATTTACCTGTCTATGCCGTAAATGTACACAATGGAGAACATTTCACAGAATCCAACCACCAGCAGTGGGATGGATCCTCCGTAAGTGTCAAACAGAGACAGCCAGTAGTTTCCAGACGCTTGGATAAAAATAAGCCCCACCAAGCAGCAGACCAGACATGTTACACCTGATGGCAATACATAAGAATAGATGTTTATTAAATCAGTTTAAACAAAAATGCACTGTGCAGAGTGGAAGGGCAACTGAGTGAAAGTCTAGACCACTGTTGAAAGGCACGGAGCTGGGGATTGCAAGATTATTTGAAAATAAAACAAAAAATACACAGTATTTAATCTATTTAAATGTTAAGCAATAATATTTGGTTGATTTAGGTCAAAGAAAGGTTTTCAACACATTAAACTATTCAAATAAATACAAATTAAACCTTATTTTAGACCTTTTCCCAGTCGAAATTCAATATATTTAGTGTCATTGTTTTCATAGTAAAGCAGTATTTATTATATCGGTTGCAAGGGAAACTGTATGGATGTATTTATGATGAATACGATACATGAAGTCAGACGTTTGGGCGTACTATTGAGAAGATGCATGTTGAGTAGAGGTTGGTGACAAAACAATTGTCTTAAAAATGTCATTATTGTTACCTGTTACAGCTTCTTTTGGCCATGTCTTGGGAAAAACTTTTAGATCTTGGAGAGGTACTAAAACTCCCTCAATGTTTCCAAACATGGAGGACAGTCCGAGGCAGAAAAGCATGATGAAGAAGAGCACAGACCACAGAGGAGATATAGGCATCTTAGTGATGGCCTCTGTAAACACAATGAAGGCAAGTCCTGTGCCTTCAACTCCCTACAACATGGAGAAAAAATAATCATTTTGATAATATTTGAAGATAGTCTTACATAAAAATAAGTGAATTACCTCACTAAGAAACGTATTCAGGTCACAAGTTTGTAGATGTAGTGCTTGAATGGCATCAGAATTTGTTTTATTGAGATTCTGAAGAGCCTCAGTGTAGTTACTGGTAGTAATTTCCCCCTCAGCTAGATCAAATGCATTTAGTATTGCTAAGATATTCCTAAAACACACATGCAAATTGAAGTTTGAACATTTTAATTAAACTGTTCAACATGTAAACAAAAACTACAAAAGACAGAAAGTACCCGCTTAAACAGCTGTCAAATCTGTCTGTGGCTCTGAAGCCTATGATGCTGTAAATGACAGTTGCAGCATACACAGAAGTGAGGCCATTGATGATGGAGATAATCACTGCATCCTGTTCACAGTTGTTACTGAAAAGGAAAAGTCAGTTTATGTTCATATTTTACTGTTCATGTAAGAATTGTGCAATATATTTTATAACTCACTGCACTGAGTTGTAGCTGGAGAAAGAAATGAGCCCTCCAAACGCCAAAGAAAATGAATAGAAAACTTGTGCACCAGCATCAAGCCATGTGGATGGTTTTGACAACTCTGACAGCTAGAGGGAGTTAGATGCAAAACTGGATCATATGATAATTATGGTAGCATACAGATAAACTGTTGCCTTCCTATACTTAAAACTACTATTTACAATTGCAACTACAATTTTCTATAGGATTTAAAAAAATATTTTTAAATACTCCACTGTAACATATGTAACTCGTACAGGGCTTACCTCTGGTGTAAAGAGGAACTTTATTCCATTCAGAGAGCCCTTGAGTGTTAGTCCACGGACCAGAAAGATTGTCAGTACAACATAAGGAAGTGTTGAAGTCACATACACAGCCTACAAACACATTTGTTGACATAGAGATGTGTGAAGAATGTGTGAATTACTTCTCGCCACATTTGTTGACAGAAGTTATACAATGGATAAATAATATTGACGTTAATATAGGTTTGCCTTATGCAGTACCTTTCCAGTTGTCTCTATTCCTCGTATGATGCACAGATAGAGCACAGTCCATGCACAAATATGGCACAGCAGAAGCCACCACTGCAGCCCACCGTCCTCTTCAATGTGTGGAGTTATGTTCAGGGTCTGTCTGTACCAGAAGTAGTCCACAGAAGAGCTCCTCTCACACTCTGATACTGGCACTGGACCTGTCAAAGTTCATAGTGCATATTTAAAACCAGCAGCATTTGCCATTGTTGTCAGTAGGCCTCATTAGACGATTATGACTATAGTTACCTGTTAGGTTTAAATTGATGGGACACTGACTCCAAGGTAGACTATCTTGAAATGAATTGAACAGGTACCACAGAATCCACCCAATGATGGTGTTATAGTACAGACTGATTGTTAGAGACACACCCATAGATGCAATACCTGAAAATAGTTTACCAACATGTTGTTTTTCAGTATTGCATTTGTGCCGGTATTCCCAAAAAAGGTCAACATACCAATTCCAGTTAGATAGGGATTAATAGCTGCCCACATTCCTAAACTGGCTCTTCTTAAACGTTGACCAATTGCAAACTCCAGATGCAAAAGTGGGATTCCCTCCAGTACCAGCAGAATCAGAAATGGAATCATAAATGCTCCTATAATGTCAAAAAACTGTGTGATTCAGCATATTATGATAAGCAGGTAATGTCTCTGAAGAGTGTCACATACCTGTCAATCATTAAGGGTCCTTGTCAATGTATAACATGTAAACTGCTTTTATCAATTTGTAAATCCGGGGCATTTTAAACTTTTCTAAAACTAGAGCTGAGTCAGAATAGTTTACATAGCAGTAAAAATAAGAGTTGTCTTATTACTTTCTGTGAATGTACAAGTAACTAAAGCTTTATCTTGCAATATAAACAGATTCTCTTTAGATATAATTGACAATGCTTTACATATTTTTTTGTTGTTACGATCAGTTGTTACACTCAGACATTTACTTTTACAATTACCATATACTTGAGTTGCAGTTTTCCCAAATGCCTCTACCTTTTTCTCCGACTTGAGTAATTATTTTGAAATAACTGTACTATTTTTTTTTTCACGCATTACCCTCCTTACTTGGGATGTTGCTGTTTCCTAAAGGCTGGAATTCAGGTTCCTCCTAACCTGTTTTACCTTGTTTTAGGTTTAGCACTTTTTTATATAATCATCTCTTACCTCCTCCATGACTCTGACAAAGATATGGAAAGCGCCACACATTTCCGAGCCCTACACAGAAGCCCACACAGGTCAGCATGTACTGTGCCTTGTTGTCCCACTTGGGCCGATCATCTGCCTCCTCCTTCTCCAGGCGCTCCAGCTGTTCATGGGACAAGATTCTGTCCTCCAGGCCTGGATTTGAGAACTGAAGCTTCATGATCTTTAAGGGCAGGTCTCGCCACCTCGTTAGAAGAACCTCTCACTGTGGGAAGCAAAGGTGCTCTGTAATAGATTGACAACATTTAGTGCCACTGGTTATTGGTTCCATGCATGGGGTCTTTATGCTTTTGCTGAGTAAGAGAAAGCGAGCTTTATGAAAGTCCAAAGCACATTGTTAATTTTGTTCAATGGTGATCTGCTAACAGTAGTAACATCATTTTTATTTTTAAAACAGTTTAGACATAAATAGTTAGGTTTTCTTTTATTTCTATTGCTAGTTTAGTATCGTAATATTATTTATTTTCAGTAAAAATATTGGTTCCACGGTAAGTTATTACTATGCTGTTCTAACATTAGATACATATAGAATATTTTCAGGCTACTTTGATAAAAGTTATTCATTAAATTATATCTAATTTTTGAGCTAAAGTCACAGCATCTCCAGTGTCAGCACAACAGTAGCCGTCTGGTCAGTAGGCAGCGGCACTTGGCGCAGTCCTCTCTTGTGCCACAGGAGGCCGCCAGTGCGCCTGTAATCTGAGCTCTCTTTGCCGGCTGAGCTCTGACTCCCGGTCCCTTGGCTGAGTTTGAGCGAGAGGAGCGAGCTGCGCACACATCGCCTCAGTACAGGCGCCAAGTGTAGCGGTCCCGTCGGCAGAGTCCATCAGCTCCGCCCGCTATGCCCTTGGATACTGCGGCAGCGTGCGTTTGTCTTCTCATTTAACTTGCTCTGTGCCAGTTCTCCGGACCATTGTTTTGAACTGTGGTAGTCACTGTCTGCAGTATCGTGCACTGCGTTGAACCAATGGAGAAAGTCCAAGGATAACCCGGGCTGCATGGTTGTGCTTCTGCAGGAGTCTGTCTGGCGCATCTGATATTCTGATGATCTGACGCTGCATGGATACAGTATGGCGACTTTTGTGAGCAGGGTTCAGTTCTTAGATGATACTGATCCATTCAACAGCACCAACTTCCCCGAGCCGACCAGACCACCTCTGTACACCTTCAGAGAGGACATCCCTCTGATCAATCAGATCTCTGGAGTCCACAGGCTGCTCAAGGCACCACAGAAGGTATGCACGACTACTGTCAGTTGATTTTTTAGGACTCAAGTTTTCATTGGCATACACTGAAGTTGATGATGTGGCTAAAATGGTACTAGACCATATTAATAACAATAGCCAATAAAAAACTTGGTGATAATAGTAATAATGAATGCCAGTGCAAATTTTAAAGTTATGGTGAAATATTTGTGAGTCAAGTTTTCACCTTGAATGACTTTAATTATTCTAAACCTGCTTACTAATCCTTTTAAGTGTTTATCCACAATAACTTTTGAATTGAGCCCTTTCTTCATGTTATCTCATCTGTAGTGCTGTGTCCTGAGTTCGGTTGGCTGAATAAGTCACGGCAGCCTCAGGATGTTGTGGATCACCACAAGCCTGGCTTCTATTCTGGTGGCCACTCAGACAGAGCAGCGGGGTGGGATGGTAGCACTTACTACTGTTTGGGGAAGAAATGGGCGGAATTAAAAACACAAACACAACAGGGTTCAGGCTAGATCAGGTTTAGCAATGACTTTCCTGCACCTTAGACTGAAAGAAGTGTTTTCTCTGTTAACTTCATCATTAACTTTCAGAATAATAGCAACAACCTGATCAGTCGCATATACTTTGAACTGACAGATTTCAGTTCAACATGTGATTCTGAGCAGCTGTGACTTTAGTGTGAACCTCTAAATGTGACCAAAACCAAACCTGGTGTCTCATCCTTTCTTGGTGGATGCCCTGTTCAGCCCAGTATAAATAGCTCACTGCTAACACATGGTGCGGAAGGAGTCCAAACAGCTCACACATGCTCTGCCTGGACTGTCACTGTCAGTTTCAGTGTGGAGATTGGGATAAACTGGATGTCCAAGAGTTGATGTTAGATTACATCAGTGATTCTAACATTTATTATACACAGGCTGCCTAAATGTTTAATAGGTCATCTGGACTGTAGAATAACATGCCAGTAATTATCTTCAAACAGGCATTATTGAGCATCTGTATCAAAGGAGTGGGCTATAACTAAACAGTTTGTATTGCAGTTTGGACCATATAAACAAACAGTTATTAATTGTTTTTTATTTTCTACTTTTCAGCAGTGTTAAATCCATTTACACCATATGTTAATTGCAAACTGGAAATCAATAGTTGTAGATTTTATTGCAGCAAAATATTGCATAAGTTTCTGTTTGGCTTTCTCATTTAGATGAATAGTCTTGGCCTGTGGCTTAGTGGCCTTGAGGCTTCTAAAAAGTAAATTCAAGGATGGGAGAAAGCTCTGGGAGTGGACTCTCTCTAACCATCTTTGTTTGCTGTGTTTCCTTGTATTTCTCTCCATCAGGAATTACAGACTCCCATAATGAGAAGTTATGCTAAATGCTCTAAAGTACAGGTTCCTTCTTCTGCCTGTTGGGACTCCTTTAAATTCTTTTGCACATTGTTATGCAGAGCTGAGGTTTTGCTGGTCAGTGCATCTGGGAGTGTTGTCTCAGCAGAGGGCCCAACACCAGGCAATATCAAACTGCATTAAGGGATAAGGTTATGCCCCTTGGTTCATATTAAAGATAGATGTAATCAATGCTCTGCTGTACTTATATTTTGGATCTTTCCTATAGAAACATAATGTGCACAGAATACAAAAAAAAAGTTAGTTGGTACTGCCTGTTTTTGCTTTTTTGCATAATGCTCAGGGCAACCTTTTTGGCTTAATGCTTCAGAGAGATGAGGACCAAATACTTGCAGAGAGCTTAGAGTAGTGTAAATTTCTAAACAGACAGAAGAAAGGATGTGTCACAGTCAGTCAGCTGTTGAGAAATGCTGTTATTGGTGGAATATATTGGAGGAATAGATTATAGCTGCATTTTGAACAAAAATCAATTGGAAATGGTTTTCTGTTTATTTTTAGTCTGATCCCTGACTACCACCCGGTCAGAGCACCACAGTATGGTGGTTAAAGGGAGAGGCCAGACCTCAGTGTGAGAGACTTGTGGTCTGGTCTTTGGACTTGGCCTTCACAGAGACATGCTGGGTTCATGTCCTGAGCAGACTATAGTTAAGAGAGCTGCTGCTCCTGATAATCTGTTTCCTGGATTTAAGGACTTTTATTTGTATCACCCAACCTGTTCTGAGTAATTAGTAGTGATGACAGATTACACAATCTGTTTTTTACAAATTGTGTCTTTGAATATTGGAGAGGCTGGAGTGAATTTACTTCCATATATCCAATCCATATAGTCATAAAAAACACACCAATACAACTATTTATGTTCTATTAGTTGTGTGGCCACAAAACATCCCATATTTCCATTTTCTATTACTTGTGATAATGTTGATCATATAGTTTAACTGCCCTGTATTTCCCTGTACTTTTAGCCTGATGACTGTGCCCTGCAGTTGTCCCATAATGGAAGTTACCTTGACCTGGAGTCCACCCTGGCAGAGCAGCGAGATGAACTGGAAGGCTTTCAGGAGGATGGAGGGTAAGGAAAGCTCTAAACCATGTTACCTGTAAATGAGGTAAAACATGTTACCTCATCAGAAACATACCAGGAACTGTGTTTTGTTTCATTAACACATGTTTGTGTATCATTGCATTATAAGTTTGACTACATCTCCAAAGCTCAAAATGCTCTGTTCCACCTTAGATCAGAAAATAGCGTAATATGGGCCCTTTAAGATTCCTTCTCTAAGTGGGGGACAATGGCACTCAACAAGTCAATTCAAAATGCCTGGTCTTTTTATCAGCCATATGAAAGGAATGGTGCCCTACATTCTAAGCAATTGTGGCAGAATTTCCGTGGCATGTGCTCAGTAGTGACCCTTGAAATATCTGGCTCAGAAGCAACAGTGATGTCATGCGGCCACTTAGGAGGTGTAGACATATCTCATAAGTAATCGTTCTCATTGCTGTGTCCTCATTAGATACAGACCAACCACAATCATACCATCAGGCTGGAGTAAATTGCTTATACTATGATTTAGCCATCATATAAGTGGATCTGGATCAAGAAAAGAAAGCATTAAAATGTTTTACTTTCATACATATATGCTCGCCAATTGTTTTATTAACCCCACATGTTTTTCGCATGTACAGTGATCTCACATATCACCATTTTATTTTGAATTCTCATAGGCTAAAGCTGGCATGAGTGTGTCTGGTTGGCGGGACCACAAACACGTAAAGATTTATTTGTCCAACTTGGAATTCATAAGTTGCTCTCTGGATGTGATGTTTCTATTGGACAGTGGAGATGTGTCCTTTCTTCGCTCCATGTGAAATTGTTAGGTGCTTATTGAGCACTGTGAGGTTAGAGTCGTCCACTTCTTCTGGTTGGGCCGTGTTGGCTGCCAGCTGGCACAGGCAGGTATGGGATGTGTGTCATTAAACCCACACAGGGTTTTCTATGGAGGCTGGGGTGAAGGTGGTTAGCCAATTATTCTGTAGAAATAGGGCAGTTGTGTTTGGTGGTAGATTCTGGCACTGTTTGCACGAGATTAGACCCCCACAGCTTGGTATTGTTGATATGATGATTATGGAGCTAATGAAATGGTTTCAGGTAGGGTTGTTATTTTAAAACAACAGTAATTTTGGGCACCCTCTCTATTAAATTTCAGAAGGATTTTTGACGGACATAAAACATAAGAAGTAACATTTTCTCTTATATTCCACTTTGCATTCTTTAACTACAGAAATAAGTTCTATTAATTATTAAGCTATCATTGTGTGTATATATAATAAAATACAAAAGAACATATATTTTACAGACTTGCCTTTTCAGGTGGTGTTGGATACATTCAGCTTCTACTCAGTCCAGTCAATTTACTTAAATGTGCACTTTGTCACTTTTGGTGGAGAGTCTGTCTCCTGTTTGTCTCCATGGAGATATTATTGCTTTGTTTGCAATGTTCCATAGTATTGTGATAAACTAACCCCATGGACACAATCAAGTGATGCCACAAGGCCAAATTACATATCAGATCTGTGAGCCCACTCCCACTCTGTGGAACATTGTAGGCAAAGCATGATAAATGTCCATTGAGATGTTCAACCAGAAAAGTTACATAGCGCATTTTTTACTCAAACCTTGCTATAACATACCATAGTTACCTGCTCTCTTAAGGTACTGTAATGTTCCCTCATAATACAAAATAGTAGAGATAAATGAACTTGATGATTGTATAAAGACATTCTTATCTGGTGTTGATGATGATTTACCACTAATATGCTTTCTAAAGCCTTATGTAAGGTCCAAATACAAAATGGTTTGTCCATAGCAGTCATACCTCCATCACTTTTCTTGAACCATGTTATTGTAGTGGTTAGTCTCCTGGGTTTTTCTGTAATCTTAGCCCTGATCCACAGGAAAGCAGAGTCTGTGCAGTCTGCGTTCCTGCCTCCTCCTGATCACTGGCCATGGGCTGCACTGGTAATTGATATTAATGACAGATTACATTCCTAAGGTGCCTGTGTCATACCTGGTGTCTGTACAATCAGATTATAGTGACAGACCGCCGCAGAGATCCATGTCATAAGAGCTTTAGGGCCATAATCACTTCCACACCACGTTAGCCGGCCCAAAGGTCTATCCTGGTTTTGATTCTAACTTTGATTCAACTTTGCAGCTCAAACATAAATCATAAAGTGTTGAAGGTGGACTGTGTAATGTTTCTCGTAGAGGTCTGCACGCAGATTAAAAAAAACAAAAAACATTTGGAGAGCATGGACAGCTACCAAAGTTATTATTGTTCCTAATTATTATTGACACTTCACAAATCACATAAACATGACCAATTTGGCATTTCCTGAATAGAAATTGCTTTAGAATATCTATCTAGTTTATTCCTTCTTATCAAAATCAACACTGAAAATTCATATTGTGAAAGCAGTAGACTTTCTTTACTACAGGAGTAAATGTGTCAGGTAATTTAACCACACAGTTGCTAGTGTTTTTGTTTGTAAGTAAGTTTGTGTCCTCATGTACTGAATAAGTTAAACCTCTTTAACTCAAAAACAGTGGCCTAGAACTATGCTCACCACAGTTTTTTTTATTCTAAAATATGAGTTTGATATGAAATCTTTTATTACCCAGTGTTATTTTTCACACACACAGTTTTGCACCATTTACAGAGGAGGGAGTGTTAGCCAGCGGAGAATTTTCTGAGAAAGTTGGATTTGCAATAGGAAAATATACATCTACTATACATGTGTGAAGTTTTACCTTTTTGCTTGGGTATTATTTTCACTTGGCATTGATTGACATATGATTAGTCAAATCCTCAAGGACACATATCCCCTGGCTTGTCTTTCGAAGATCACATGTTATTGATGCCTAATTGATTCAGCATGAGAAATGTCCAGCTGGCACTACAGAAGACACTTTTTAAAATTCCTCCGCCTTGGTTCTGAAGTGAAAAACATGCAAGCAAGCCAGAAGCCATTGTGTCAAATATGCCCTTCATTCTTTATTGACTGTTCTTGATGTGTCTGACAACCAGTTAGAAGTCTATATTAAAGTGCCTTCTCTGCAGACCGCAAGTATTTTGGGTTCCTAATCGTACCCTATCATCTCTCACTGGGCAGTTTTCATTATTTTCATCTTTCTGACCCACTTGGACATTGTTACCGAGACACAGAGCACACCAGACTTTCATTTGGAGCAGAAAAACGGAAAGTGCATTTGAAAAGAACCAGAGGAATTGTCAAACATCATGGGGCTTAAAGTTTTAGTAGGCAAAACACACTATATTGTCTGTTTGCCCAGCAGTTTAAGTGTATTATTAACAGAATTCAATAGCTGAGTTTAATTGGTTACTGGCTGCAGTAGTGCTGGTAAATGGTTAATGAATGAACCCTACTGTGAAATAAAGCTTTTTTGTAAATCTTGTGCCTAATTTTTCCATCTTTTGCCCCCTTGATGCCGCCTTGCTGGCAAGAGGTGAAAATGCTGATTCAATGGCTCTTAGTGGGGCCTTCCTGTCTGCTATTAATCGCTCTGTAAGCTGCAGTTAGGCTTAGTTTATTTGTATTCACGTTCTGTGGACTCTCATTTGTGCATGGCTGTCTTAGACAAAGCCAGAAAGAGCAGTGCTGGCAGGCATCCACTGGTACAGCCACTGCTGAGTTACTATATACTTTATGAGGTATACAGTTGCAAGCCTGGGGCGATATAGACATTTTGTGTCACAGTTATCATGGCCAAATAATTGTGGTTAACGATAACTTCTCATTGTAATAATCATTGTGATATTATCATGAATAAGTTTGATGTTTTTTAACAACTACTTAAATCTAAATAAACAATATAATGTTTTATTTTCCCATCCCTATATACAGTACACTTGAGAGAAATTATGAGAGCCAAATAGTGAACAATTTTTATTCTGCTGTATACTTTTCATAGCAAATGGCATATTGATTTGAGTCTTTCCCTGGAAACACTTGCTGATGCATCTAGCTTTAGGATCAGTACAAATGGAAAAGTAACCTTAGGATCCTTGTGCCTGGAGAGGTTAACTGGTTACAAAGTTACAAGTTTAAAAGATAATTTTAATAAACAGCATAAATGTCAATGTAAACATTGTCATTCACTGCCACAAACACATTTCAAATGAAAAGTGATGCATAAATCACCAAACGCAGTAGACTGGATTTCATTGTAGATAAAAGAAAGATATGCATCTGAATGTAAACATTAAGTTAGAATAATTTAATAATAAACTGATTATTGAATAATGTTTGATTAGGGCCTACTGATGTCTACAGTAATTAGCACAGTAATGATGTAACTCGTGTTCTCTCCGTAGTGATGATTTGTACTGTACATGTTCAATAGAGTCTGACATTCTTTGCTCGTGTGGATACCATTTGTTTGAGTACTTGGTCTGTGTTGCCTCAGGTCAGGTTTAATCACAGAGATAAAGTTGCAGCAATGGAGGAAATAAAACAGGCATTTGGGAAAAAATATCTTACCCATTTGCTTGCATAGCATCTGATCTGCAGTCTCATTTTGACAAGATCTACTCTGACAGATAAGATCCCTGCGTCACCTCAGCTTGTTGGTGCATTTTACATTTGATAACAGCAGGTATATCAAATCTCCTGCCATGTAATCTGCCTCATGACAAACTGTAGCAGGATAATGGTGCATTAGCATAGTTAATGCTATGCTAATACTGCACTACTGATAGTGTGAGTGGTCTTATATGTGAGCGGTGCAAACTCAGAGAGCCTTTTGTTGGAGCAGAGCCAGAGCTACCCCGACACATACGGCTTTTGTAATAAGGGAATAAAAGCCTATTTGTCAGTGAGTCCAATTAAAAGTGTTGCACAACTGTACCTGCTGAGCTGTCAAGAGCCAAATCTGCAGCTTTAGTAGCAGGACAGTAATTAATGGATTAAGTACAAATATGGGACAAGATCTCTTACTTAGGGCATGTTCACACTTGGTTTGGTCCTGGTTTGGGCCTAGTTTGAGTCCTAATGTATTGTTGGTTTGGTCCTATTTTAGTCCTTGTTAAGTCATGAACTAGTCTTGGTTGAATTCCAGGTTTAGGTTTTATTTTTTTATTTTTTTATTTTATTTTTTTTTGTGAAGTGTGAAAATACCCATACTATTTCAGGTGGTGGTAGGTGTTATTGTTTTCCACAGTATGGCTTTAAACTTATCTATTTTGCATTTACTCTTTTGCAGGTGTTATATTGCAAACCTGTAACTTGATCTGGGGTCACCTGCTTGTCTCCTTAAAGGCAGATAACTTTAATGTCATATTGTGGAACATTTTAGCAAATCAATAACATCACCATTAAGACAACAAGATGACATACCCTTCACCATAAAAGTTACATAGTGCAGTATAATCATTGAATTGCTCTGGTCCCCATGGAGACTACAACAGCATTGTCAGTGTTGTTGCTTTTGTTTCATATTGTATTGGTGTCTTTGTAAGCTGCTGACAGGAGGTCACAGGGTCTTCTCATCTTTATTAAGACAGAGCTGACCTGTGAGTCACTCCCATCCTTCATAGACTCAAAGCTGTGTGGTTTGGCTGGGAAAAATATATTGGATGTAGTGGCTTATTGATACATAAAATGAAATTACCATATGCGATGAAATGCTCTTAAACATGTCAGTTACCAACAACATTGTTTGTCATATTACACACTTGGACATTTTACAGCTAAATGCACCCTTAAGTAGATCTGATAATTACTATATCAAAAGCTGGAACTATATTTTTGGGGGTCAGTATTTATCGTGTGCACATTTTCTTTGCACTACTGGGAGATTTTTGGTTATTTTTTGACTATATGATAAGATTTAAGCTGTAAAATAATAAATGAAATATCTTCCTTGATTACGGATTTAAACTAAGTACGTAAATGTTTCAATTGACTATTTATTTATGGCAGTTCAAAATTTGTAAAAATATTTTTCTGTTCCTGTTAATATTCTTATAGCCTTAAATTGCATTACATGTGCATTTGGAATATTTTTTGTGGTTTAAGTTTGCTCTTGGGTTATTTTGTCATAAATTAGTTCCAGTTGTTTTGGGCTACTTTGGATAGAAAGTGACTACCACTGCTGGAGTCTTGGTAATAAATGTTCTGATTGTGGTTGGACAATATGATGATAATACTCAAATAATTATACTATAACAGTGCACATGGTAGGTGATCAAATTGAATTTTTAACAATATTTTTCTGTTCCTGCTAATATTCTTAATAGCCTTAAATTGCATTACATGTGCATTGGGAATATTTCCTCTTGGGTTATTTTGTCATAAATTAGTTCCAGTATAATAATTTATCATCTATATTTAATTCCGCAATATATCAAACTTCAAAATTTGTTATCGGGACAGGCCTACCCTTAAGTTTTACAGTTTTTACTGTTTGTATCATATCAGTCTGTAAGAGAGATGGGCACAAATTACAACATTACAACACATTACAACTGCATTCATTCACATTGTCATTTCCAAACAATTTTCTTTCTTTTTCAGGAGAGGAAAGAAACACAGCATTATTCTTCGGACCCAGCTGTCAGTCAGAGTCCATGCCTGCATTGGTGAGTAACAAAATGACCAGTACTCATTATGCATTGTTTCAGAAGGTGATTCCTATCAGTGCAAAACCAGTGACACAGTGGCATGTAAATCTGTTTGTGAGGTCGCACTGGCTTTGATCAGGAGTCTGAAACAAGAGCGGGGGCAGTAAGCAGATGCCTTAAACACGTTTCTTTATGTTTCGGAGTTACTGTGTTCTGTCACTTGGTTTTATTGGGCCTCCCGGTGTCTCTGAGTAATGTGAGGGAACTAGTGCAAAGAGCTGAGTGAAACCATATGCAGCGTGCACCCAGGCCACATGTGCTGACACACACGACACACACTCAATACCAGTCCAGCTTTAATAACATTAGGCCCAAAATGGCTTCTCCTTCACTAACAGATGTGTCAGTCTCCTCTCCGTTTACGTTGGATGTCTGATTGATAAACAAAGTACATGAAACACTAAAGTTAGAGACAAAATCTGCAGTAATTTCATTTCGGTTTCATGCACTGTATGATCTCGCAAAACATGAGGAAAACTGTGCCCCCGCAAGTGCAAAAATAACCCACAGCCTGGAAAAGCTATTAGTAAACTCTCTGATTTCATTTTTTTCTTTTTGGTTTCACCAAAAAGAGTACCGCAAATGCAGATAAAACTACCAAAAAGGAGGAGCTATTGCATTTGTACTGTTGTGGCAGAAACACCTGGCAGAAACAGCAATTTACATCTCTATTATCCAGCAAGTATTTTTCAGTGTTGTTGTTTTGGGCTACTTTGGATAGATAGTAACTACCAGTGCTGGAGTCTTGGTAGGAAATGTTCTGATTGTGGTTGGACAATATGATGATAATACTCAAATAATAATACTATAACAGTGCACATGGTAGGTGATCAAATTGAACTTGTCATTTTGCAGACTTTTTTTTTTTTGATATCTCCCACCCTAAATGAAATTTTGATGCATAGTCACAAGGTTTATTTATAAAGCATGTTTAAAATACAGTTATCACTGCCCAAAGTGCTGTACAAAAAGAAAAAAAAGCATAACTTACTTCACACATGTCATGACACTACTGTATTGTATTTTGTCATGCGCTGTTACCATGTACAGGTGTAGTAAATAAAGGAGTAAAGCTCTTGGAGTAGAGTAAATGTCATTGATGGGATCTGTGGCTAAACTGGACATGAGGACTCTTCAGTGCCCCTGCTGTTACCTGGGCCTGCTTAGTGACTCCTGGGCAGAGGCAGGCAGACTGTGGCCCTGGCCTAAGTGGATGATGACCCTAAGTTGACAGCCACCTGTTGCGACTTCCAAGTAGTTCCTTGATTTATTTAGTCTGGGCAATGTCTTCTCTGTAACATAGTACAGTAACTTGTTCCAACATTTGAGTTTAATTGTGGCGAATGGTCCTGGTGTTTTATGTTATTTGAAGAGATTGTCTTTTAATCTTACAATGATAAACAAAGTGTCTCTGTCTGAATGAATCCATTCATAAATCAGCTCTGTCCCCAAAGGGAGCCCCTGGATTGTCTGTGCTTTTCGATCCAAAACGTTCTCTTTTGTTTTGCCTTATTAAGTTTGTTATGCAATACAAAGTTTTGACAGTAGGGTTTGGAGAAATGTACTATGGTGGATGCACATGTTGTGAAGTCTAAACACAATTAGACTGTAGTATTGTTTTCATAATAATAACATTTCAAACTGTAAAATAACAAGGAAAAGGTCAGATATTAAATATTAATTTCACACTCTCTTTTATATAATAGTTTTTAATTATGTAATAATAATTGTAGTTGGTGTGGTTCCAAGCCATTCTAAAACTATTCGGGGGAATAGACACTATAACATGATAGTTTGGACAGTATAGTTTTAGAATGTATTATTATCTAGATAACAACAACAAACCTAGACTATAGGTACATTTTGTCATTGTGGACTATGACAATACCTTTGTGTTGTGTTCTGTTGTATATCCTGTCTAGTGTCTTTGTGTCTGTCAGGCTAAACCAAAGCCCAAACCATAGCCGTGCTTCTATAATGATAGTCATTAGTGTTCACAAACACATAGATTTTAACATGGGACAGCCTCAGATGTGTGTGCTATGTCTGCAGTGAAAGCTCCGCCACAGGTCTGATTTATGGAACTGTTTTGTATCACTCCACGTCCACACGCCTCCACAATCCTGCACGCTTGATTTTAAAAGTTGAAACTAAGCTTAACCAAGCTTAATTTTAAGACTGAAAACTGAAGTGATTACACAGCTGACTGATGGATTGGCAGCAAAATATATAATAATAATACATACACAATATGCAAGAATACCTACTGTATACACTATCAAACTCATCACAGTATGTTCTATATGTTGCGTGACATAATATTTGAGGATCCAAGGAAGAGCAGCCATGCAGTGTCAAGACAATAGCCAATGAGGAACTTTATAAACAAAGAGTATAGGTATTTTACACATTATATATTAAAAACAAACACAATAGAACCTGACTGCTCACATTATCACCTCATACTGTCTGTCTCTGGCCTTTAAAGGCAGGTTCATCTGTCGACACTGTGATCCCAGGAGAGGAGTGACGGTTTTAATAAGAGGTGACACATTCTGAGTGGATTATCTGCTTCGTCTTTTACAACTTTTATAATCTCTGTTCTACACTGTGATTCACTGCAATGCCGGGATTGACTTGTGGCGCTTTCTGTGGCTATAATTTAGTTAAATTGGTAGTTTTAATCTCCAGGTTGACAGCTCAAAGTTTTGTGGTTGTGAAAAGGAAAGAGGATACACTGTAGTTTTTCTATAATAACTGTTTGGGTTCCTGCTCTAGTGGAAATATGACTGGTAGGTGTGTGTTTGCAGGGGGCAGTGGTCCCAGATGGGGAGGGGGTTGGGACCACGTCTTAAAGGGATCAGATCACCTGTGGATTAGAGTGTTTTTCTAAAGCCCTTTTCCAGTCCCCCCAGTAAGTCCAGTGTGTCAGTGTGTCAGTGTCACATATATGCTCAGCCACCTGCAGCTTTGTAATTGTTCAGTAAAAATATTTGGATTCTGATAAATGCAGTGTCAATTGGTAAACAATATTGGTATCATTTTTCAGACAATGTTCGGATGATTAAAAAAAAAAAAAAAAAAAAGTTACCTCATCAGAAACATCCCTGGAGTTGTGCTTTGTTTCATTCACACATATTTGAATAACATTTTATTTTTAGACTCTCAACATCTCCACAGTTGGTGAAGGTGTATGGAATTTGCACACAGAGAAGTAATCGACACAGTGGAGCACTTTTTGTGTATTACCATTTGACATCACGAGGTGGATTTGTTTCCTGTTTGAGAGAAGAACTCAGCCTAAATATGCAGGGTTTGTTTGTTAAACATGTGTGAATGAAACAAAACACATCTCTGGGTATGTTTGTTATGAGGGAACAACATTATAACAGATCAGAAGATAGTGTAATATGAGCCCCTTAAGTCTTGCACAAAAGGTGAATGGACTATAAAACAAATCACAAAATTTGCAGAAAAAAATATCTTGGCTTCCATAAGTCTTTTGTTTGTTTTTTTACAACTCTCGATATTCAAATTTTGCATATCTTGAAAATAACAACTTTGAAACCCCTCGCTTTTATCACTGGCTTATTCACGGCATTCGGCAACACAATAAATAAACCTGCCATTTTGATTTAGACAGCCTCATACTGATTCATCCTGGGACTATTTCCTCAACTTTTGTTAATGCCACTGACTTCTTCAACTTTAAAATTACAGCCCAGGGGATACAGGAATTATCTTGGTATTTTACTTTGATTGTTTTGAACCAGGATGTTTGAGAAATGAACTAATAGAGACATCCTAACAGACCCTAGCACCTTTAAAATAGTCCGATTGCTATTACGTTCCTGGAGAGCGCGGACCATCAAAGCAGTCATATGAGGTGTCCTGTCATGTTCTGTCACTGAGGAATGAGGAATAATTAAACACATTGAGATCGTATGGCTCCCATGAGATCCTCTTTCTCCTCCTTCTCGCTTCACTCAAACACACCTAAAATGGGATCAGGCGCTTAGAGTCACACTGGGGGGCCAATGCAAACAGCACCAAGCCAGGAAGGAGACATGTGAGAGGATCTGTCTGAATTTACAGCCAGACCATTCACTCTCCTCACGTGGGCTCCTTATGTCCGACATTTTTTTTGCTTTCGGACAACCTCTACGGGTTAAAGTTATTGTCAGGGCTGCACAATGAAGAAAAAGAATTGCAAAAAAACACGTCAAGTTGCGTGATAAGTGCAGTATGCAGTAACTATGACTGAGTAGTTGAGTGCTTGCCGCCAACTCTCTAACTCTCGCTCTAACTCTAATTGTGTTTTTTTGTTGTGTCCTTGAGCAAGACACTTCACCCACCTTGCTTATGTATGTATGAATGTATGTAGTTTTCTGCTTCTGTGATGATGATGTGATGTGATGTTGGCAGCCATGTTTCTGTCCTTCAGTCCCAGTTCATCTTAACTCCAGAGTGTGACTGAGTAGTGAATGATAAAATGCAATGTAAATTTGTATTATTGTTAATATTCTGTATTTTCTGTATATTCTGTGAGCAATTTTAAATGCATCTTTACAGTCATAGTACTCAACATAATTGCAGTTTTGCCTACTTTTATAGTCAAATGATTGGCTTCCCTGTTTGCTCCATACCCCCTCGCACTACTGTAGTAATCATAATTCTTGTAAGCGTGCTCACATGCACATACAGTATATACGACATCCACATGTAAGAGCTTTCTCATATTAAGGGCCCATCTGGTTTCAGTTGTCCTGAGTACAGCCGCACAGCCATACAAAATAAAAGGTGCTCTAGATTTTCATTTGAAGAGGTGCTTTTTCATCTGTTTACGAGAGACAATGTTTGAATTCACCATGAGCTCCAAGCCTTTACTAGTGATTTCTTTATTGGTGCATGTTCACTGTCTATCTATAAAGAATATATTTTATGCTCCTACTTAAACT